ACGGCCATTTCATATAGAGTGGTAAGGCCTTCAATGGACCAGTTGCACGAACGGCACAAGGAATGCATTAATTGAACGTGACGTCACATCCGGAGTCTCGTTCGGGCTCGGGCTACACCAAGTAGATACACAAGGAGAGAGTGTGTTGAACAAAGCAAGGTGGCACGCACATTGTAGAGAAGGATCGTAAAAAATCAGCCAGAGGGGTTGGGATAGTTTTACAAAGCTTTATGATGTGTGTGTCATTTTAGAGGTCAAAATCTCAGACGCATGGCACGAACGACCTTGCTAAACTCTTTACCTTTACCTCTAATACCCACTACCATACTGTGTCTTTACCTCTAATACCCACTACCATACTGTGTCTTTACCTCTAATACCCACTACCATACTGTGCCTTTACCTCTAATACCCACTACCATACTGTGCCTTTACCTCTAATACCCACTACCATACTGTGTCCTTACCTCTAATACCCACTACCATTAGAACATTACTGTGTCTACTTATTAGCTATAATGTACATACTATAGACGAGTCAGTAGTCACAATTGTACAAAGCAATATTCGGGGCCAAAGATCACTACAGTTCACTACGTACTACATATGTATATACAGACATGCTACATCTATGTGCAATAGCAGACAGGTGTAGGGGGGTGCTGGGTCACATTACTGGCACATACGGTAGAGGAAGTGTGCATAACAGTCTGCCTCCACATCCCAACTGACCCTGGCTGGACCCTAATTTAGCTTCTTCCTGCTCTCGCTCACTCACACACACAGCACTCACACATGCACACACTCACAGAGAACTGTGTTCATGTGAAAACTACGAGGCAAAGGCACAACAAACAAATCAACTACACCCAGGACAGCTCTTTTTCTCCAAGGAAAAAAGAAGAGCTGCCCTAGGTGGGATTCAAACCCACAACACTGCAGTCTAGGAGAGTGCTCTACCAACTGAGCTACCAGGGTAACTCAGCTGGCAGGGGTTCGAATGTACAACACAATAGCCTGTGTAATACAACACAATAGCTGACAGGTAGGGGGATGATGTCGCACTACACAAGCTAAGTGTCGGAATATGACTTTCTCTCAAAGCCTTCCTCTCCTATTGGAGCGTGAAAAAACCACATGTCACTCTACCAGCGTGCATGTGTTCAGGCAAATGTTCTTTACAAAACTTCAACAACTTCATAGCAACTCTGTTTATGCGTGTACATACGTTGCCCTACTATGTATGTACATTGGCCAGGTTTCTCAAGCTGCCCAGTTGCCAGGATGTTGTATACATACCTGATACCTCCTACGGACGAGCTAATGCCCTACTTTCAGCTACTTGCGTTGAACTGTTGCCAAGCCTGCACTCTCTACACCAAAATACCCTGCCCCATACAATCCTACTGGGTAAAGTCAGAAGCCGAAAGCACCTGGTAGAGACGGGCCCCTCTTTTAGCCACGTAAACACAGCTAAACACAAACATTGATGCCGTCACCTAGTTTTCCCTGCGGCTTGCTCTGCTCCGTCTCCCGATAATATCTCCTCCATTTCGTGAAAGGCAAACGCGAAGCCGAAGAGGTCGTCCAGATGGCTTTCGTAGTGGGACTCGTTCGTCCGTCCCGGGGACCGTCTCATGATCGGCAGTCTCGTGTCGATGTTGCTCTGGCCCTCCGCCTGCCGCAGCACCAATATCACTAGTACAGCCGCGACTCTGAGGCCGTTCGCTCGCTCCATGACTAGCTCGTCTAGTGAGTCCGGTCCCAACAACAGCGGCAAGTATAAACCGAACCGCACCCAGATGATCAAAGCTGACAGGCGCGCGAACGTTGCGCGCATGCGTACGAGTCGGTCGGTCCGAACCACTAAAATGACCCACAAAATTTTGGTCAGGGTTTGGTCCGACGTGCAAGCATCGCTCCAAAACAGGACCGACCACAATTAATATAGCACATGCTGAGGTTCAATGTACAAATCGCACATGTGACGCTGAAAGTCAAACAGCGGACCAAAAAATTTCAAAGGGGGACAGAAAATTTGCCTGCTCGGACTAAAATTTCGATAAAAATGGTCCTACATTACAATCAACGTACAATGTATGTGCGCCTTTTTTCGTATTAAATTAACTACCCCACTCAGAGTGTGCGCGAGTTTTACACGCATTCATATATACCACAAAAGCAGTGGTTAAGTGAAAAACAAGACAGAGACACACAATTAATTAGTCGGTGTGCTAAAACCTCTTTTTCTTCTTGTGATGTTTGTGTGTCATTTTCACTGGTATAGAGTTCCTGTCATACACGTGGGAAGAGCCAAACTGTACTGCACAATTTGTCTCGAGGAAGGTGGGTGGGACGAGGTTACTGGGAACAGTTTGACAGAGAGAAGTGAGCGAGCGATCGATGGTCTGTTTCCGAAGAAAGAGCTCCTCGTACTCCAGTGTGCGGTAGAAGAGATGAAGAGAGTAGACGTGACCAGGGTCTTTGATAGGATGAATTGTGATTATTTCCCTCAGCTCCGGTTTTCTCCAGAGTGTCTGGGTGTCCAGGCTTTCGCCAATGTAGTCGGTATAAAAGTATCTCCTTCCCTGCACGGAAAGACGAGGAGGAAGGGGAAGAGAGTTGGGTTTAATATGTGAGCAAAGTAAGTGGTCTGATTGATTATTTATATGTGACAGGCACTGAACATGATTCTAAATACGCATGAAAAGCGTAACTGCTTCCATTCACTAAAAATCATATTGCATTTTTGCCTGCATTTAAAAAAAAAACGGGCTCACTGGTAATCTGCTCACTTTCATGTCAGTGAACAGACAGTGACCAGACCAGTAAACAGACAGTGACAGAAACACTTTCCTCCTACTAGAGTAAGCACCAAACATTAAAGCGCATACGCAAGTAGCATCATTGCTGAGTTTGTTCAACGGTGGAGCAGCAGCTGTATACATTATCACCACAGACCAACATAACCAGATCCAGTTTTCTCTTAAACAACATTAAATTTTGCATGTGCAGACATTCCAAGCAAGTCCACATGGAGGTCATGTAACCAGGGTTTTAGCTAAAGCAGGGGGTTTACCCTCCTTTTTTTTATTCCCCCCTCCCTTTTTTTTAAAAATATATTCCCCCCTTCCTTTTTTTATTCCCCCCTCCTTTTTTATTCCCCCCCTCCCTTTTTTTATTCCCACCTCCTTTTTTTACCCATCCCTTTTTAATTCTCCCCCTCCTTCTCCCTGTTTTACAGAAGTGTATATATCTAGGCAAATGTGTATAACAGATATGTACATATAGTATACTATTTTGGAAGTGAATGTGTGGCAAGTGGTCAGTCGACCCCCCCTCCTTTAATTGCTCCCGGGCTAAAACCCTAACGCTCTGTTTCCACTACAAACAGACATGCGTGGGATTACTAGCCAATGAAGTGGACGAGAAAGTGCTCAGGTAGTGGGGTGTGGAGGTGTGTGAGAAATGGAGTAATAATATTACTCTATTTATCACACACCTCCACACTGTATATATTATATCAGTCCAAGGTAATAGAAGACGAGTTATGTGGTGTAATGTAAGAGGCACAACTAACAATATGCCTGCAGTAAGTGTATAAAGTACTAGAATGAATGCAACACATTATTGACGAGTGAAGCGATCTTTAACCACTGTACGTGTGATTTTCGCACATGCAGATAGTCACTGTGCATGGTCAGTCATTAAACATGGCAATTCAGACAATTCACTGGGCTCACTTTGCTCGCAAAATGATAAGTTAACCTACACTTCTCTGTGTGACTCAAACAAAGAATGCAATGCATTTTTGTGAGCAATGGAAGCTAAAAGTGAGTGTTTATTTATCTGCGATAGTGACTGCAATGCATTAATGCAAGCTAAAAGCGGTAGTGACTGAAATGAGCATTTAGGTGAGCAATGCAAGCTAAAAGTGAGTGTTTATTTATCTGCGATAGTGACTGCAATGCATTAATGCAAGCTAAAAGCGGTAGTGACTGAAATGAGCATTTAGGTGAGCAATGCAAGCTAAAAGTCAGTGTTTATTTATCTGCGATAGTGACTGAAATGAGCATTTAGGTGAGCAATGCAAGCTAAAAGTGAGGGTTTATTTATCTGCGATAGTGACTGAAATGAGCATTTAGGTGAGCAATGCAAGCTAAAAGTGAGTGTTTATTTATCTGCGATAGTGACTGCAATGCATTAATGCAAGCTAAAAGCGGTAGTGACTGAAATGAGCATTTAGGTGAGCAATGCAAGCTAAAAGTGAGTGTTTATTATCTGCGATAGTGACTGCAATGCATAATGCAAGCTAAAGCGGTGTAGTGACTGAAATGAGCATTTAGGTGAGCAATGCAAGCTAAAGTGAGTGTTTATTTATCTGCGATAGTGACTGCAATGCATTAATGCAAGCTAAAAGCGGTAGTGACTGAAATGAGCATTTAGGTGAGCAATGCAAGCTAAAAGTCAGTGTTTATTTATCTGCGATAGTGACTGAAATGAGCATTTAGGTGAGCAATGCAAGCTAAAAGTGAGGGTTTATTTATCTGCGATAGTGACTGAAATGAGCATTTAGGTGAGCAATGCAAGCTAAAAGTGAGTGTTTATTTATCTGCGATAGTGACTGCAATGCATTAATGCAAGCTAAAAGCGGTAGTGACTGAAATGAGCATTTAGGTGAGCAATGCAAGCTAAAAGTGAGTGTTTATTTATCTGCGATAGTGACTGAAATGAGCATTTAGGTGAGCAATGCAAGCTAAAAGTCAGTGTTTATTTATCTGCGACAGTGACTGAAATGAGCATTTAGGTGAGCAATGCAAGCTAAAAGTCAGTGTTTATTTATCTGCGATAGTGACTGAAATGAGCATTTAGGTGAGCAATGCAAGCTAAAAGTGAGTGTTTATTTATCTGCGATAGTGACTGAAATGAGCATTTAGGTGAGCAATGCAAGCTAAAAGTCAGTGTTTATTTATCTGCGATAGTGACTGAAATGAGCATTTAGGTGAGCAATGCAAGCTAAAAGTGAGTGTTTATTTATCTGCGATAGTGACTGCAATGCATTAATGCAAGCTAAAAGCGATAGTGACTGAAATGAGCATTTAGGTGAGCAATGCAAGCTAAAAGTCAGTGTTTATTTATCTGCAATAGCGACCGAAATGAATGCACTGCATTCAGGTGAGCAAGAGTTAAAAAGTGTGAGTGTTTATTTATCTGCGGCATTTCTGGTGAGTGAATTTAAGCTGTATAGAGTGTTAACTGGCTCAGCATACTGACGTTTGCATCGTCCAGTTTTACAGCATCAGATATTGCACATAGAGAAAAAATGAAGCCCGTTTCGCTTGCCAATAAGTTTAAACAGCGTACTTGCACAATCAGGATAATAATGCACTGCAAAGAGCGTTGCCTAACAGCACACATTATACATGGCACAAATGAAACGGAAAGGAAAGCATGACATCATTAACACCACATAAAGAGTATTGCGATTATAGAAACAAGAAACGTGTGTGTGTGTGTGTGTGTGTGTGTATGTACCTCGAGGGAAGTAGAACACTGTACATTCAGTTCTCGACTGATGCACCTCCCAATCTCTACATCGTCGTCATTCCAAGGGAACTGGGGGTCCAGACTGTCGTGATACAGCACTGCAACAAACACCAGAATAATGTCACTGGGGGAGTGAATAAGTCGGCCTAGCTGCCGACACTCCATCGCGCTCTATGGGTGCATCTTTATGACACGAAATACAGTGGAAGCTTCGATAAGGGACCCTAGGAGATATGGCAACCCCATGCTAATACTTTAGTGTATTATTTGACCTCCGAGATAGGGAGGACCTCTCTACAAGGGACAAAAGCATTGAACCCTTGGTGTCCCTTGTTCAAAGGTTCCAACTACTATAAGCTGTAGAGAGGGTGGAAGGTTTTCAGTTAAGGGACAAAACCTCTGACCACTATATCATACAGACACAGGGTCCCCCCCCACTCACATTCTTTACGGTTAGTGCTCTTCTTGGAGTGTTCCTCCCTATGGTAGTTTTTTTTACAGAACTTGCATGTGTCAACAACAAGGCATCAGGGCAAACCAAACAACACCCAGGACAACTTTTTCCAAGTTAAAAAAGAGAGCTGCCATGGGTGGGTTCGAACCCACGACACTCGGCTTTCAAGGCGAACGCTCTACCAAGTCAGCTTAGCGATCATTGATCATTCACAATCTGAGGTATGTACGCACTATTACTGAGCAAGATTTATAACACTCAACGAAAGCTACATCAGGCAAGGAGGCCTCAGTGCGTACACGACTCGCTGTTTGTTGCATAGTACAAGAGCATAGCTACCAGTTGTTCTTTTTTTCTTCTGCCAAGTAATACAGACTCCTCCCATGCTGAAAGTGGGCGATGTAACTAACAATGCAATCATATACTACATGGGGTTCCTGTAATTAAAGGTTCATTATACTCCCAGAGCTACTGTATGTTGAGTCTGTGCAACATCCAACTGTTGGCTATGAAGCCCCGGCTTACCAGCTTTGAGGCAGAGGTCGAGGTAGGGACCCAGAGCTACCATCATCCCCCGACTGAATATCATCCCCGGACCACCCATACAGTACTTCTCATGCTTCAGCAGGTTCAGTCTGTCCGTGTCCTCCGCACGACCCTCTCCCGCCCTCCCCAAAGATATGAGCTCCCCAGCGTCCATCATGTTCAGCAGCTCAATTAGCTTGTTGCCGCGCAGGTAAATATCGTCGTCGGCACGTATGAACCAATCGTAGTCGTCGACGTAGTGTTCGTACATGTACTGCATGACGGCAAACGCTTTCTTCAGCGGAGGATACACGGCGTCGGGTACCCCGGGGAGCTTTATTACGGGGAGGTGGGAAAGTTCAGAGGGGACAATGCAATCCTCCCCCACAAAAAAGGCGAGCATGCTCACGTCTTGGCCCCACGTTTCGAACATTGCCTTGGCCCGAGTGGCCAAGTACATCTGTGAGGAGAGGACACCCACAAACAGAGTCTTCCTCAAACGGTACTCCTGCCTGAGGTGCGTCGGGTGCTCCAGGCGGATCGGCTTCCCGGTGTGCTTAGGGGCAAACTCGGAAAAGAGATACTTTTTCGTTTCCAGGTTCTCCAGATCGAACTGCTTGGGCTCGGCGGGTTCCGGGTCGGGGAAGAGAGGCGGAGGAGGAAACTCGGGCTCATGGAAACGTTCTCGGGAGCGGCAGGCGGAGGTCCTAGAGTCGCTGGCCAGGAAGAAGAGAAGGGAGAAGACTATGCCAACCAGAAGGCCTCCCGCGAACAGCAGCAAAGACGCAGCTCTCATAACGAGGCCGGTTTTAGACTCCACGCTGCCCGGCGGGTAGCCGTGAAGCTCTGGTTTAGGCGTGGCTTTTTCAACCATCCACCCGTGTGATCGCGCATGCGCACATAAGGTCAGAACCACGCATGCGCAATAGGCGGAGCGATACGGTTGTTGCTAGGATACATAATACGGGACGGGTCTAAGTCGTCGTCGCTTCACGAACCCACCCCAGACTCAGTATATGCATGCTCTCTAACCATGTCCAAGGGGAAAAAGGCCAGTAAAACAACTCCAGAAGCAGTCGGCTGGGACGAAGGGTTGATAAGCGCTGCAGTGCAAGAGGTATATGTAGCTAGCGGTTTTTGTACTGGGCGTTTCGTTCCTGAACTCGTAGCTGCAAACTGATTGTTATGTACCTACTAGGATGACTGGAGGGCGTGTCTGGTGTTCGTGAGCCCGAAATCTCCGGACGATGAACCCCACGTCCGAGCTCTTGCTGGTGCAGTCGACGCAGGCACGCGGAGAAGGTTCACCGTCGTTGATAAGACTACACTACTCCAGTCGGTAAGGCCACTAGCCAGCTAGCTATATGTGGATAATATTGAGAGTTCTAGTAAGGTAAGTGTTGGTATTATGAGTCGGGGGGGGTATTATGGGTAAATATTCTAAAAAGCTGCCAAACACTGTGTAACTGCTTCCTACCGTTGGGACATTAGCCCAGCAAATCGTCGCCACATTTTAACACATGCCGCGGGTTACTTTTGCGACAAAATAGCCAAAAGTCAAGAGGTCACAAAGATTGCATCACTGACTCAAAGGGTTTAATTTGGGGGAGGTTTTAAATAAATGTTTTGGTCAAATTATGATTAATTTGTGGTTTTTTGCTTTTTTGTATATCTAAGTAATTATTGTGAAACACGACTGGGCAACTGTTTGCTTCATCAAAGAATACGTTTTAAGTCGACTCATAATACCATCACTGACTCATAATTGCTGCTTTTAGAGGGTTATGAAACAAATATTTTGCATTACCTACCGTGAATATATTCTGAAACCGATTTGATTTTTAGAATCGCCATGTCCTGATAGTCATGTAACATAAATTTCACTTTAATTCACCGGTATTTGTAGGAAAAATTAAGAAGAAAGTTTAGGTGGCTCAAAATACCCACATTTACCTTATGCCTTCTACAGAATGTACATGCAATCATAATGGACAGAAGAAAGCTTTAATGGGGGCTCCACTGTGTATTCTTAGGCAGCAGAAGATACCAAATTGGCTCAGTCAGTTGCTGGTGGAGGAGGCAAGAAGAGCAAGGTTGGAGCTGCTCCTCCTGCTCAGAGACCCATGTTTGTTGAGGTATTTACACATGAACAATCACATAATATATGGATCACTCAATAAAGAAGGAAGGTACAAAGTATTCACAAAAAACACACATCGAATTGCAAGAAACAACAGCTTGGAAATCTTAGCCTCAGTTATGACTGAAGAGACAGCTTGTGCGAATTTCCACCAGCAGCTATATTTATGTATTTTACACTGAATGTATACAGGTGTGTGAGCAGGTGGTGGATGCAATGAAGTCCAGCGATCCCTTGCCCCCCTCGTTGCTGGCCAAGATGATCAAATACAAAGTCCTCCGCGAAAAGGCAGCCCATCGTTCAGCCATCGCCCAGAAGGTGTGTACTCAATAATTGGTGAATGAAGCAAGAGTCGTCTGAATGCCCAATTTATCTATGTACATCCGAAGGCATTGTCTGTTACCGTACTGTTTTTACACAGCTCTAAAAAGACAAAACGGAATAGAAATTTCGCAATCACTGGCTCGTGTATGAATGTGTTAGTTCACCAAAAAAATTTTGCATTCGTTCTTAGCAACTGTATGTGTATTTGGGTGCACCCTCAGGTCTTACACTTTATCAACGTCTATTAGACATGGTAAATGTAATATATACTTACCATGCAACGAATGTGTGCAGGAGGCTGAGGAGGCAGCAAAGGTACAGGCTGCCAAGAAGGGAGGAGAGGGGAAAGGAGGGAAAGGGGGAGGGAGAGGGAGCAAGGCAGCGGGGAAGAAGAGGTAAAGAGACACCAGCTGTGGACGCAGACCCAGCTATTCCTCTGCCAGAGAAACCGCCAGTCTCAATGAAGAAGAGAGGGGAGGAGGACACTGACTCAAAGTACATTGGTTAGTACAACAGGTCTCAATGCATACTGTGTTGTGTTTTGGGTAAAAATCGAATGTCAACTGACTTGAAACACAACTAAAATTTAAAGCCAACCGTTCGGCATGGCATAATTTTTCCCCCCAATTTTGATACATTAGATGATGAGCCGGCTGATGGGCCCACTTGCTACATCGTAATGATAGGATTCTCCTCAATTGATCTCCTTGAGCAGTTGTCACCCATTGGACTCACAGCTCATGTCCTGATCAACATCAACGGTGGATCAGCACCACTGCCAACTGGTGAGCCTTTTTTCTATTCCAGGGAGGACATGCTTCAGTGCAGTACATATTTCTGAGTCGGTGAAAACAGAATGTTAACTGCCTTGAAACACAACTCAAGTCAACCATTTGGCATCACATCGTTCTCTCCAGTCTTGGTATAAATAGCTTATGGAGAGTGATCATACAACAAAGATGATACCAACCAGTGCTATATTATGGTAACTGTGCCTCTCAGGGACACCACGTAACCAATGCCTTGTAGTTTTTTGAGCCAAAATTGGGCAGTGAGTGGAAAGATCTGCAGATATTTCAGTAGGCTTTACTAAAAAATACCAGGCTTTGAAGCCAGCATTTAAGTCACACATTAGGCACAATACCTATTGTTTTAAATTATATCTATCCCGGTCAGATGAAGAAGAAGAGGGAGAGGGAGAGAGAGAGAGGGAGCGAGAGAGGCAGGAGTGCAACCTGGCCCAGTTCTGGGGGAGACTGGGGGAGTGTGTGCAGGCCACTAGCAATGGTCACATGCTGAGAGACATGGCCCAGGTCAACCTGAGACTGCCACAGCCTCTGGTGCCTCCTGAACATGGTGAAGAAAAGGTGGGCCTCCCTTTCTATTGGCAATACTGAACAGAAACAAAAGTACATACATAGGAGGAAGACAATAAAACATGCATCCAAACTGCAGCAAATATCACATGTTATAATCTGTGTCAAAGCTTATAGCCCAGTAATTTACTAAGGCATTCTCCTCTTATTACACACCTAGGCTTCAGCAGGCAAATGTTCTATATATCAGTTTATCCAGCTTTTTTATGTGAAGAGTTGAAAAGTGGAATAGGAGGGTGAAAGAAAGAGAAATACACCATGGGTGGAGGTTTTGTTCTACTAACTGTGCAGGAGCTGTATGGCCAGTCTCTGTTTGACGCCGTGTCTCGGAGTGTGTATCGTGTGCTGGAGCAGCGAGAGCAGTATCACCACTACCTCAACTACCTGAGGCTGAGGCAACTCTCCCTGCCAGCCTGTGGGGGAGAGCGGTGGGGGCCTAGTCTCTCCACAGATCTCAGCTCCAATAGCCTCCCCATACAACTGTGGGTCCACTATATACCATAGTGTATTCAAACTTTTCACAATGTCTCTCTTGTTGCAGTAGTAGCGTAATGGGTGAAGAGCCACACAAGGTGGACCTCAGGCTCTACAATGAATTGCTCAGTTCGGTTCCTCCAGAGAGCACAACCGTCCCTCTCATGCTTCACTGTATGCTGGAACAGGTAACTAAAAGTCAAATGTGTCTGTTGCTGTGATAATTCTCTATCAGACAACTCGTGTGCATGTAGTGACCACACTTCACTCCTTGAATCAGCCATCCATTGAATCTGTGTTATGGAGGTTGTGCTGTATCTCTACAGTTGTGTGCAACCCTGAACCCTGAAGCGAGCCAGACGCACACCGCTCCAGCTCTGACCGTGCACAGCGACGTCCTGGCCGAGATTAGCGACTTCATATCAGGGCTTTGCATCCCCACCACTGAAAAGAAAGTGAGCACACTTATGAAGGAGTTTTGCATATAGGCTTCTGTGGTTTCAAGGCTGCCCATGAGATTATATCATTGAAGAAGCATACTCTGTACATTGTCACAAAACATTTTCTTCTATCACAGGCTCTCCTCCCCAAAGAGAAACAAGAAGAAGCCTCTGACTTGGTGTCCCAGAGAAGCACAGTTACCATAGAGCACTGGAACACTATGGGGCAGAGGAGTCGCAACCTCTCAGACTCCAAACTAGTCTCGGGCCAGACTAACACAAACAGCAGAGCTCTACTGCAGAGGGTTCTCGCTCCTCCACGGACCAACACGGACGAGAGGGACGCTCACCTGGCCATGCTGAATGCAGTCCAGCACCACTGCACTCTGGCCAGCATGTCAGAACAACTCCTCAACCACTGTCTCCTCACACTCTCACTGGAACATGTCTCTTTGCCATCTGCCACCTCCCTCCCACACCTCTCAAACTCTCCTCCTCCTCCTCTACTCTTTGACTATCCTCTCAATATCCCTCTCAAGGACAGCAGAGTCCAAGCATCCGGGGCTCTTGTTCCGTACAGGAGAGCCACTGTGGGAGACAGTCGGGAGCAGGATGATCGTCACGAGCTCAATCTTCCACCTGCCCACCACCCATCGCTGACCGAGTTTTCCGTCTGCGAACCCATGAGTAGAGATTCCCTGCTGCAGCACCTCCAGTCGCTCTGCACCACTCACCCGTACCTCTCTGTGTTCACCCACAGTTTGAGCGGGTCGACTGTCGCGGTCGCTAGCTCAGGGTTTGACGGACAACCGCTCCAGGCTTACACGTGGCAGTCGCTGGCCCATTCACGAGTGGGATTCAACAACTACCTCCAGTATGTGGCCGAGCAGTGTGGAGGAGAAGTTGACAGAGCTGTGGAGGAGGACCAGGAGAGGAGGGAGGCTTTTGAAATCGAGCGACAGAAACTGGTCGAGGCCAGGGAGAAGGCACTCGAGCAGCAGTCATCAGAAAAGCAAGCCGAGATGGAAGCAGTGAAGGATAGTGCAAAGGGGGGCAAGAAAAGCTCGACTTCAAGCGCCAAAAAGACGCCAAACGGCAAGAGGAGCAAGGCAGACGTAACGTGTCCCACTCCGGAGCCTGACAAGGCACCTGATAGGGAAGTCAACGTCCCCGAGTTTGAAGAGAGAAAACTCTACGAGGCTTACGACGTGGGAGACCGAGTCCTCCTGAAAAGGGGTACGGTTTCGGTGTGCAGTTTCTCGGTGATGGCTCTCAGGTTATCACAGAAAACACAGAGAACCTCGGGCAAGAGAGGATAGTCACAGTGTCAGCAGTGAGCAATGGACACAGCATCACATGCTCCATGACCAAAGAAGATCTCAACAACAGTAGCTCAAAGATAGAAGAAAGCGAGGAAAAAGAAAACCAGGAAGCAGGCACTGGAACAGAAGGTGGCGACCAGCTTCCTACAGCGCGTGTTGTTGCAGGTATCCCCCAACCACCTCTCGGAGTAAAGTTCTCCTCGATAACTGCCCAGTTCCGAGACAGTCTGCGCGTCTCCCTCAGCCAGTTTGGTCCCGCAGGAAACGGAGAGCTCCCGTTCCAGCCAGTGAAACCGGAGATTCTCCTCGAGACTGTCACAACGGACGGTGCATCATCCTCCTCAGAGTCTCGGCCGCAGTCTCAACAGACTCTGCAGAAGATGGGCAAGAAACAGATGGAGCAGTTACTGGAGCAGCAGCGGCAGCTGGAGGAGCAGAAGAAGAGGGAGAGGGCCGAGGCGCAGGCAGACTTTGACGCCCGGTGTTCAGCTCTTCAGAGGCAGAACAAGTACCAGCAGCTCTTTGCCAGCACACCATACGGACTCCATGTACGTCTTCAAGTCGACGTGGATCTCGAGGCCGACCCTGAGACCACAGACGGGAGCGACGGTAGGATCGTGGTGAGTCAGAGCTACCCCGCGCAGGGCCCTCGGCGAAACATCCCTAGTCTCTCTCTCGCCACACGGGATGAGGTGGAGAGATACTGCCTCCCCGACGGATCGGTACTCTGCTTCCTGAGAGATGGATCTGTATCCGTCCTCTGTCCCGATGGACATGTCTACCACACTGCAACTCAGTCTCTGAGTAATCTCTATCAACAAAACGACTCCAGTGGAGCGACAGACTCACACAAAGAGGAAGACCAGAGAAACGAAGAGAACTCGACGCAACACACTTACTCCGACACAAAGGTCACCTTTGCCGACCATCTGATGGACAGGGTCGGGAGCAAGGAGAGGAAGAAGCTCTCTCAGATGGTGTGGGTGGTCACAACTCCTTCCGGCCAGCGATACCTGTGGAGATGTCCAACACCTGCTAAACCCACCCACCAAACTCAAGATAAGGGAGAGAGTGAGGCAGCTCCTGCTTTGGGCGAGGCTGACACTGATCCTGATGGGGCCTCTAACACAATAACACAACAACAACAGCAAGAAAAGCAGGGAGGAAAAATCGTGCCTCTGCCTGAAGCGCAGTTAGTGTCAGCTACCGATCCAGTCACAAAACAAGTAAATATGCACGCTGTAATAGACCAGGGCTTTCGTGTTGAAGAGAAAAGGACTAATTAGGACCAGGGCATGGAGACATTAAAAAACCTAATTTTAAACTCTGTCCCAGATTTACTTTTGAAATATCAACGTGTGGCAGAAGCCTAGTTTCAAATCCCCGATTTCCTTTTGAATTTCAGTGACCTCTATTTCCCCACTCCACACAGGTACTGATCACTCGTGAAGACAACGTGACGCTGTTGGAGTATCCAGATGGGTCGTTTGTAGCCGAGCATGCCGACGGTACCAGAATCACCACGGCGACAGCCCAGGAGTCTGACTCCACCCTCCCCTACGAGATACTGATAGAGTGCCCTGGGTTCGCGAGGGTCACACACACGGCAACCAAACAGTCCCTTGTTGAGTTCCCCGACGGTTCAACAGTGGTTGGCTCCACCAATGGGAAATACACTGTGGGGAACAAAGCGCAGTACAAACTGGAGGTGGAGCCCGGTGGAGAGGCCCGCTGTTGTCTCCAGCCAGCTGACTCCACTGCCTACAGCTTCACCCTGGACCACACCGGTACTGGAAACATCCTCATTGCCAAAGCCAAGAAGTCTAAAGTCAAGTTTTCCGTGGACAGAGATGGAGTTCCTTCTGTCTCGGGGAGTGGGGCGATCTCCCTTCACCCTGCGTTTTCACCTCGTTATTTCGTGGTCCCATCCACTGGTAGTCCGTACCAGGTTCTGAGCAAGAGTGAGGCTGACTCCTACCTCTCTGAAATGGAATCCCAACCTGATACCACGATTATCAAGGGAGAGGCAGTACCCGGATTTGAGGGGACAACCATCGCCGTAATGACAAACCTGAAAGAGGAAAACCCTGCAATAATGCCCTACAAGAATGGTAGTATTGTCCCCGAGAATCTCTCCCTTGCTTTTCCTCCAGTTAACGGCCAGAAAAGGGCAACCAAAGACAGGAAAAGATTTGGTGTTGGGGTGGGTAAATCCCTGCACATCCTACCAATTACCCATGCGAAGGAGGTGGAGGTGAAAGAAACCGAGGCTCCCAAGGCTCTCCGTTGCCGTCAGTTTGTAATTCTCGATCAGTTCAACGAGACGTCACGTGATCAAGTCTGCAAGGATCTTGCCAGCTACATTTCCTGGAGAGAGCAGCAGGAGGCCAGAGAGGACGACCTGCTACCAGTGGATCCCAGAGACCCCTCTGAGATCAGGGCTGCACAACAGCTCAAGTCACGGTGGCTCAATAAGACAACTGGCAACGTTCTGAGTTCAGCTCTTCTTCATGTCCAGCAGTCGAGTGACCCAACAAGTGATGGTAGACAGAAGGAACAAGGTGAAAACTCGACTAAATTCCTGAATGGTATCAGATGCGACCTGGAAGAGGCAGAGCGAAACAGAATTGCCTTGCGCAACCACACAGTTCCACAGTACTTTGATTCTGACAGTGGGCGGGAATTTCTCCGCTCACAGTCACCTGACATGACTGCACTGGCAAAGCAGCTCGCTCAGCCAAGGGTGCGACAGGCACACCATCCTCCAAACGACCCCTCCCACTCTTCCACTCCTTCCTCACTCCAATCCACGTCGATCATACTCCAACCGGATGGTGGGGTAGACTCACCCTTACTCCAACAAGGTGAGGTAGAGTCCCCCGACATGGGGGATATCGACACGGCCTCGGTGAGCTCTACGAGCAAGCTCCGCCCCACCCACCCCACCCCAGACCACGCCCGGGGGCTCTGTACTCCGACAGACGTGAGACCAAGCAACCCCACCCCGTTTGGTGCCGATAGACAGACACACTCACCTGCACCCTCCCTCATCTCCAACACTCCTGGGGCCACCCCTCAGAAGATGGTTGGAGGGGTAGTAGTAGATGAGCAACAGGGAGAGAGAAGCGTATCGTTCATCTTGCCCCCACGAAGACCCAGTCTCATTGTGGGAGAGAACTCTCCCGATCACCCTGAGCTCCAGAGAGGATCAAAACCACACAATACGGTGATTAGCTACCACCGCCACAATACTGTTAAATCTCTGAATAAGAGACACCTTGGGGACATCAAAAGTATCCTTTATTCAGAGGTTATATACCCTTGTTTGAAGATAAATAGAAAACAAGTAGTATGTGGTAGAACTAAGGGTCCTCTATAGAGAGGTGTCCTTTATTCAGAGGGTCCATTTGCAGAGGTTTAACTGTGTTTCCTTAAGCGATATCTGCTGTCGTACTTTTCTTTCTCAGTCAGTCAATATTTGTTTTGCTGTTCCAGGTTGAAGACGCCACTCGTAGGAAGGTTAGAACCTGCTCAACGATGGGGGTTGGAAGTGGAGTGGTGAGGGGACTGGAGGCTACGCCACAGAGCCTGGACTTTGGGACCATACAAGAAGGCCGCTCGTATGCCAGGTCTCTGGTGCTCAAGAACGTTGGGATTGACCCGTGTCGATTCAGGATCAAGCAACCTCCACCTTCAACCGGCATTAGAGTTATCTACACTCCTGGACCCGTGAGTCCTGTGAAAGAGTCCATGTGTTGTACTGCAGCCTTTAAGCCCTGCCTCCTGAGAGGCCTGGTGTAGCTGTAGCGTAGAGAGCAGAGTGTCGTGGGTTCAAGATCCACCTAAGGCAGCTCTGTTTGGGTTGTCTTGATATGAACTTGCCTTGTGCTCAATAGGAGTTACTTCCTTCTGCATGGTGGCTGCTTTATGCAGGCAAAAAAGACAGGGGAGAGGCAACATGAAATATGCACTTTCCATTACTTGGTCTCATGCACACATTATAAATTCAAGAATTGGTTCTTTTTATCTTTGTTGCATGTTTGGGAGAGCTTCTCTTTCAATATTGAAATGGCAAAGTGCTTTCTCAACGTGAATGAGTGTTATAAAGTAGCCTAGCTATCTCTGTTTGATCCCCACAGGTGGCGGCAGGGATGACGAGAAAGTGTGAAGTGGAGCTGTTTGCCATTGCAGTGGGGTTAGTGGGCAGGAGTGGGACTGGGCAAGTGAGCCACTCACTGGAGGTGGTCTCAGAGACCAACACCCTCCACGTCCCCATACTGGCAGATATCCCCTCCAGCTGAATTTCTAACACTTAACAGTCCACTTTGTACATTGCACCACCAAAGCTTCATAGACCAAAGAATGCAGCGTCCAATTTTCACTACTAGAGTGCACGTGCAACCATAAACCCATGCAAGATTGCTAGCTAGAAGGTTTAGTAATGAAGTACACTTTTTTCCAATGAACACTACATTATATGTGGAGCCTCAGATAAGGGACTCTCCGAGATAGGGAGAGATTACCTCTCTACAAAGGGCACTTGTTTCAACCCCATGATAATACTCTAGTGACCTCAGATATAGGGATGACCTCACAATAAAGGACAAATTAATCACTGGCCCTATAGTGTCCCTTGTTGAGAGGTTCCGCTGTAGCTATTCTAGTAGCTATCAGAAGCTGAACATTGGTAGCACATAAGGTTAATCCCCAGTGAATAGCTCCCCAATATCTAACTGGTTTATAGTGGCCTTGACTCTCGGTGCACCAGTACTAACAGCCTCAGAGGACAGGCATAACTCCCTGGCTCCAGCCGAGGGAGTGCGCCAGATCCAAAGACCATCGTCTTCCAGAGAAGACTACACTCGACCCAGAGCCATTGGAACCAAATGAACCCTTAGACTGACACTCATCATTATACTGAAATTACATATCTACGTATTATGCAAACTCGCACACTTTCTCTGCGTGACAGGTAATTAGTTGTTTACGGACGACCGCATACCGCGGCAGTGATGATTGCTTTTTGACGGAAGCCATTTGCGCGGGTACGGCTTCGCACCTACAGCACACACGCCCATTCCTGCGGTCGGCCCGACGGTCTAATAAACCCCAGGTTTTCCAGCGCAGAGTCTCACTCTCCTGCACACACCTGCAGTTGCTCCTTTTCTCTTTCCCTGACAGAGCATCGTGGTGTCTGTTAGTAGTTCATCTTCTTCGACGCCAAAGCCGATTCTATGTGAGTTGGATGCATGTATGCATATGCATGCAGTGATGTTGATTTACAAGACTGCATGCGCAAAGTAGTAGATCCGAGAAATTGCCTCTATTGCTGTACAGAGACAAGTGGTAGCAATCCCGTTCGCACCTGCATACGAGCTATCCGCCAACGCCCCCGCAACCTGCACGCAGCTCTAGCTTTGCAGAGCTCCCGCTAGCTGAAGCTCAGCATCAAATCGCTGTTTGTGTTCTTGCAGCTCTGGAGAAAATCATGAGCATCAGCAGTGGAGAAGGCAGTCCCGTGTGCTCTCCGCCGGGGCCCGAGAGCGTGGCGTGCTACGAGGAGTGCACCACAGACGAGACGTTCAACATCCCCACCTCACCCCCCCTGGCCGCCGGAGCCCCAGTCGACGAGGAGCCCTCTTCTTTGCAGCCCGTCCTCGGCAGCGGTGGTTCGGTGTCACACGGCGTACCTAAGTCCACTTCGTCTGGGAGGATCACTAAACGAGGTTCGTCAGTATCTATGGGGACCTCAACTAGCATACACACACACGTTAGCTGGTGCACAGCTGATACGCTTTAGCTACTCGTATAGCTAACTGCGTGCAAATTCATAACATCTGGTGGTGTCAAATTGCAGCTCGCTCCAGACCAAAATCACTCAAGAATCGCAAGTGCTCCAGCCCTCTCATCCTACAGTGGTAGGTATCAGCTTATACTTAGCTCTAATCCAACATGTGTGACCATCACTCCCATTTTGTTTCGCAGGCTGGGAGAGAACTACGAGATGGTGGCCGGGTCCTGCCTCCCTCGCTCCGTACTCTACACCCACTACCAAGACTTCTGCAAGAAAAACCAGATGGAAGCTTCTAGTGCAGCCAGCTTTGGAAAGGTAGTGTGAAAAAATCTCTCTCCATCTTCTCTTTCTCTCCTCCAGTGTTTTATTGTGAATCTCTCTGTTTACTAGATAATTCGTCTGAAGTTCCCCGATCTGTCAACGAGGCGCCTCGGTACACGAGGACAGTCCAAGTGAGTCCAGCTAGGAAGTAGAGCCCACATTAGTGAGATTCAGTGCCCACTATAGAGGGCTAGCAGTGGGGTGGCTCTGTACCACTCTCCGGTGACCGTGTGTTGTGTGGTGTTCTTTGAGGGTTGCCCGGAGTAGTAATGGTGGCATAAGAGAAGACTCTGGCACTCTATGTGGTTCCCTAAGCAGTGCAGTATAGTGCTGCATAATACGGCAGCCACAGCACAAGAGCTGTATTGACCACTAGGCAATAACAGGATAGCTTTTACATGCGTGCATACATGAATATACGCATGTTTATGTCCTAGAGGCTTGTATACAGAAATGAAAGCAGTTTATCGTCTGCAGATACATACATACACCCGGACGTGCTGGCTGTGCACGTCTTTATGCGCATGCAGAGCGTGGTGTATTGTCAGAGTCTGTGTACTCGTGTGGATCGCATGCACTAAAGCGTACGTCTCCATGTCTCCTCAGGTACCACTACTATGGACTTGCCATCAAGGAGACGTCAATTTACTATCGTTCAGTCTACTCCAAGAAAGGATTAACAAGGTATGTCCGAAACATCACTGTCCCATGTATACCTAGCTGTCCATGCATGCTGTATATACAGTTGTGTACTAGCTCTGGGTAGCTTTACTAACTGGTATATAGCTGCTGCTGCAGAAAGTTAAACACTATGATAGACACAGAAGCCCAATCAAGATCTTGTTTTGCTCTTTTTTCGCAGGTTTTCAGGAGTAGCAAACAAGAGAGAGGTACGACACTAAACATACACACTGCAAAAAAAACACCTGCAGAATGTCCAAAGACAGAACAACTGTTATTCTCTCCATTGCCAGTTTTTCACCTTCTGCTGCTCTCCTCCTGTAGAATGGACAGACCTACAACCCAAGCTCCAAGACTGGGATACTCCTCCCCAACTTCCCCAGATTCTCTGAGCTCAACTTAACCAGTCCATTCCCTGTGGACAAGGTATGTATATGATATAATACAACGCGCATGTATGTTGATGAACACGTACTAGCACAATTGTTTCTTTGTTGTTAGCTCATTGGTACAATAGAGCGCTTGCCTAGAGTGGAGAGTGTTGTGGGTTTGAATCCAACTCTTCTTTTGCAAGAGTCTTTCTAGGTTTATAGTTGCTTTTGCCTTGACGTCGTTGATGGTATATCTAGAAATCTCCTCTAGCCTGTGTACGTATACCCCAAGGTCCTCTGTGTTCATGACTGAGGTTTCAAGGTGTGATTCCTTGGGAGAGTAGAGAGACTTTGATTCTCGTCTGTCCACTAGACTTTGTTGACACCCGAGACTGCAGTGTTAGTAGACTGCACAGGATGCGGTATCACTAAAGACACGGCGGCGCTCAGGGCTCTTGCTCACTTTGCTGGCTTGTTGAGATACATGTTTGCTGGCTTTTTTCTTGGGATTTTTTTGCTGGATTGCGGACTTCTGTTGGCCTTTTTCTTGATGGCTTGCTGCATTTGCTGGCTTTTTTGTTGGTGAAAGGTGGGTAGGGAGCAATTAGAGAGGAGTGTAAGAGTGGGAGTGCTTTTGATGCCCAACATTGGCTGATTGCTCCATGTCCATCCTTTTGTATATAGATATAGTTCTACTGTATCATGTTGGAACACAAGGTGCTGTAAGAGGCAAGGCTAAGGGGGGCAGCACAGTTATAGCACCGCAATTTTTCCTGAGGTTTAGTGTTTTCCAATAGGCTCCATTTATAGACAGCCAAAGCGAGGTGTATGTTTGAATGGTGAGTGGGACCCAGACTAGATGAGATGTTGGCAGTGGATGTAATTGGCTAAGTGGGTGTCTTATTATGGAGAGGCATTTCGACCACTTGCCACATACTTGAGTCAAGTGCATGTAAGTGAGGACTACTTTGGGGAAGTGGGAGTGTGTGTGTGCTGTGTGCAGTGCGTTTGAACATGCAGTATTGGTTCAACAGTGAAATGAAAAAGGTTTAGGTTCTGTTCGTTCGGGCAGTGTTTGTGTGTGTTTGCGTGTGGGGTCCCCCATATTGCACCAGACTGTGCTACCACTACCGTCTACCGTGCTAAGTAAAGCTCCCAGTTATGAATGTGTAGCTCACTCTCTCTGACGACCATCTCAGGTGGAGACTTTCCTCATCATGTACAACGCTCACTGCCAGAGAATACTGGACTCTGTTGTGAGAGCCAACTTTCAAGAGGTAAACTCCCTTCTCCCTATCACCCTGACTCTCCCTCCATTCAACGTTTTCAAATTCGGGCGACTAGTGAAGATTGCTGTGTACTTTCTATTAAAGACACCTTTTCTCTTCCCTCTCTACTTCTTATCTTCTCTCTCTCTCTCTCTCTCCTCCTCTCTACTTCTTATCTTCTCTCTCTCTCTCTCCTCCCTCTCTCATTCTTTACTTCTCTCTCACTCTCATCCCTCTCTCCTCCCTCTCTCTCCCTCCTAGGTTCAAGATTTCCTGATCCACTTCTGGCAGGGAATGCCGACCCACATGCTGCCAATCCTCGGCTGTCAGGCCATAGTCGATCTGGTCGTCATCTGTGACTTCATCCTCTACCGCGTGAGTCATAATATATACAGTCAATTGTAGCTTGGAAAATCAGTCTGTCAGTTGACAATAGGTTTTGGTACAATATTTCTGGAGGAGGCGTTCCGTCTCACTTTCTATAGCTCATTGCTTTACACTGTGACAATAGCACAGTTTTGCTCTTTACTCTGAGCATCTTCTGAGGTGGAGTACAAAGGTGGTATAGTTGGTTGATGTAATGGTCGGCTTGAAATAACAGTCAAACTGAGGCAATTACGAGGTTGTAACACAAAACGTAACTTGAGTAGCTTAGCTCGGATACTGGATCACTGTCTGCTAAAACTCATCCTAACGAACATGTACAGCTTCAGGTCCTCCTACACGGCTAATAATAATATAATGAACATTCAGAAACCATCCCTGCACACATGCACATTATAATAGTCAAGATTTTCAAGACGTTTGCCGTCGAAAAAGTTTGATACTAGCTGGAAACCTTGTGCCAAGATGGTGTATGCACCGAACGTAACATGGAAATACAGGGTCTGTCACGGGAGGTGGGGCACAGAGGGAGACCTCTCCACTTACAGTTGATCTCATTTGGTCCATTAGAGCATTGCCCACGTAGGCATTCCTCGCATATTCCCCCACGCTTAATTGGGCCAGCAAATACTTAACCCCTCGACACCTCAGAATTAGCACCTCTGACCATATCCTGAGACAGTGGGGCATTCTCTTGCCGAAGCCCTTGTTATGTCGCCGGCAGAAACCGGTTTAAACCGGTTCTGGCCTGTGTGTGTGTGTGTGTGTGTGAGTGAGGATGTGAGAGAGTGTGGTGCATGTGCGTGTGTGCTGCAAGCTATGACATTAAAAATCGGACTAGCCAAATGCCTGGGGGTTTTGACTAAGGCCTATATGTAGAGGAGAGAACGGAAGAAAGTATAGGACAAAGGGAGAAAGGGAAGAGGGGTAGAGAAGCAGAGTGGGGGACCTGACCAGATTCGCTGTGTTTTGGTGAAGTGCCTCAGATTCACTATGTTGGGAAGCTAACGTAGTGATTCTAGGGAATGCCGGAGGCAGGAAATGAGGGTCTTGACAACTCCATCCTTTTGGATATTATTTGTTGTGTGTGCGGGAGGAATCTGGCATTATACTAATGGTCTTAGATCCCCACTACTTAGCATTAGAGTCGTTATAGAGAGTGATGTAACCTCTTGTTTGTGTTGCTGCAGACTCTGTGCGAGGTCCTCATACCAGCCAGTCTACAGTCCCTGCCTGATAAGTAAGTGGTATAATACATACACATACCTAGTTAGCCAACAGTTTAAATGAGATAGAATGACAACTTTTACTGAAATATTACATGGCTAGAAAACACTCTGGACGTACAGTTGCAATGTTCAAACACTTTTCAGTCACCTCCTAGCTTTACTCACAGTAACTGTTAAAAAAAACAAGCACATTAACTCGTTGTTGTTGGTGCAGTCTGATAGAAGAGATCACTGTCTTCTCACACAACATTGTGGAATGGGTGTTCAACGCCCTTCAGGACCTTCCTGCCGCTCTCGGGATCCGCAAAGTCCAGAGTGAGTCTCCATGAGTTCCTACCTACCTCTCCTTTTATTCGCTCACTCACTTCCTACTTACCTCCCTCACTCCCTCCCTCCCTCCCTCCCTCCTTACTCCCTCCCTCCCTCCCTCCCTCCTTACTCCCTCCCCTCACTCACTCACTCACTCACTTCCTTTTTCCTCCCTTTACTCCCTCCCTCCCTCTCTCCATACCTCCCTCCCTCCCTCTCTCCCTCTCTCCATACCTCCATCATCTCTCTGTCTCCCTCCTAAAGAACTAAACAACACTCTCTGTTTTGGTTGACTAATGATGATGTTTTCTTCCTGTTTGTGCACACAGCTTGCGAGATGTTTGGGAAGTCTCTCCGCAGACAGACGGCTCTTGTACAGCTGGCTAAGGTGAGAAAGAAAACCCACAAACCACTACTCTACATAATACTCCATACATTCTCCGACCATCATACACTGTGTTATTATGCCGCCTGTTTTTTTTGTCTGTGGACAGGGTGTCCGTGGTGTGTTGCGCAATTCCGACGATGTCACCAGTTTACTCCAAGACTGGAGGATGGTGGACGTGGAGTCAATGTTACTCCAGCCGGAGGCTTGCAGCGTGAACCCTGACCTCTTCAGAGAACGTGAGAGCTTGATTTTTGTTGACACTCAAACCCACGTCTACTCAGTCTATAGTTAACAGGGGGGTCTCTCACTTAATTAGCATTAGTTGTTCTAGAGCCTCTTACTACTAGTTTACTATGATTGCATGCATACTTAATTCATCACTTGGTGTTGGTAATTGGTTTGATGTGCTTTGCTTCATGACCAGCTGAAGTTAGGGGGTGGGAGTTGTGTTTCAACAACAGACCTAAGATTTTGTGTTCACTCAATAATGAGTCTGTATTTTGTTCCATGTGCAGTGGCTCACGAGATGGAACAACTCTTCATAAAACAGTCTTCACTGGAGGTCTTCTTCGAGTGGCTGGACAGCATCATCGAGAAGCAAATCAGCGAGGTATGACCTCACCATGACATCATCCCTTAAATCATCGTTATGTGACAATATCACCGAAGTGCAGTTAGAGACTTCAGTAGCACCTTACTTCACATTGGCTATATGCCGTGTCTTGTAGCATAGATACTATACTGCAGTGTGAGTGAGCTGTCGGAACAGATACTTGCTGTCACTCCATATTGGTAAGATACGGGACATACATAGGCGGCGTCAGTAGTCTACAATTCCTAGTTCTGACTCAGCGCAAAGGTTGAGCCATAGAAATACACACACAACAGAGCCTGTCAGGGGATGGCTGAAGCCCAGGTTGAAACTCTGTGGATACATAGGAACTGAGTCATTGCGGGCCACACGCGTACATACGTATGTGTAAAATGGCTGCCGGGTGCATAGCAGGCAGAGCGTGATATGGACATTGATGACCGTAAAGTGTGGGGAAGAAGGTAGGGCCGGTAAAGTGATAGTCGCTATGTTTGTACGGAAAGTTGATGTCATGTGTCCTCCCATAGAGCAGCTTTCACTCGGTGCATAAGGGCTAGCGTTGGACCTGATGCTATACATACACATAGTATATGTAAGGTGTCTTACACCATCAGTGAACCGCAAAGTATAGTAGGAAAGCTATCTGTGGGAGATGCGTGTTGTAGGTTTTGGGACTGTATGTAGCTGAGGATACAATGCTTGGGAGACTATGCGAGTGCATATGCAGCGGAAATTGACCTAATAGTACTTCTTTGTAGGCTACACAAAATCTTGGAAAAGTGTACTACATTATGATGCTGGTGTGCAGGTATATAGTAGTTGTCTTTTGAGCCTCGAGCAAGAGAGCGTCTAGCAATAGCCAGTGGCTTCCTGGCCAGCCACCACTTCAGTCAAGTACCCCTTTTGCCACATCAAAGGCGCGAAGCCCCTGGCTCCAGATTCAGTGGTATTCTGTGTGGAGGCAAGAATTCCCAATCAGATTATGTTTACGGCCACCTGCCCTCTTAGCCTCCCAGGAATGGAGTTTGAATGTCGTCAACGGCAACTGAGCCACTTCTGTATAAGGCGACTTCGTATTGAACTCAGTGTATGGCAAGACATGCTTATAGCATGAGAGATCTGTGATCTGTGTCACTTGCTGTTGAGGGTTTAGTGGTTTAGTTAGATGTTAGTGTAACATCACCTCACTTTATTTGCTACGTACATGCAACATAGTGTGCAGTACATCTACTTTCACTAGCTATAGTGCAACGTGGAAATATAATATACTTTGGTAAAAACAATCATCTACCTTGCTTACTATATATAAACGTAGGAAGTGAAAATACACTTTGGTATAGGATCATCATTTTGAGTCTTGAGTCACTATATATGTCAATCTATCACTGCCTCATAATTCCCCCCCCACACAGCCTGGAGAACGAGGTCTGAGTCTGGTGCATCTCTCCCATGACTTCATCGCCTCCTGGACCACCTTCTACTCCCTGCTCCAGGGACAGTTCTCCTCCTCCAGTACCAGTCTTGGTAAGAACAACAATATCTTGCTGTGTGGTGAAACACTAAGTAATAGTAGCATGCCATGAGCTTTGCTAATGCTGCTATGTAGATAGGGCTGCAGCCTCGGCAAGAGCAACTTCTGCTTCTCCTTCTGGTGGCTATGTGGTGAATATACTAGCATGGATGGGGAGGATAATGCTTTTCCTTGTGGCTCTGTGTCGAATTAGTGTGGGTGTGTGGTGGGATTGAGGTAGCTTGCTAGGCAGCAGTGCAGCCTTGGTAACTTAATAACAGTGCTTCCTGTAGATAGCTAACAAAGGGAGCTTGCTAGGCCCGTATATAGCTAGCAATGCGCGGAAGCATAGTGGCCTGGTTTTGTCTCAAAGACCCGATCAGTGAATTAAGCCTTCCAGTATGATAATACAGTTACTGCTGGTGCAGTTGGTTGTTTGTTTCCCCTACCTTAACCCACTCAGTATAGAGAAACCTCTGGTATAGATTCTCCCAAGCTAGACAGAGGAGCATACGCACTGCAAGTCTGCACTTAGTTCCCTTGCTTTAGTTATGAGCAACCAATTTACTATCTCTCTCTCTCTCTCTCTCTTTCTCTCTCTCTCTCTCTTCCACGCACAGAGCACTACAACAGTCTGCACAAGTTGATGGACGAGTACATCCACTACGTGATAGAGCTACTGCAGTCTCAGGCCATCGAGGCACAGTATAACGAGGCCCTCAGGATCTCAACAAGTGAGTCATATAAATATCTACTTGAACTCTTAGTCACGCATTGCCTGAGAGAAAGATGGAGGCAATTACATGGTACCTTCTTAGAATGGAGCAGGGCTAACAAGAGCTAACACTTTACCTCACAAACCTTGGTTTGTAGGGTGTCCCAGGTTCAAACTCCTCTCTCTTCTCTCTTGCTCCAGGCAGTAGCCAGCTCAGCTCTGGCACCCAGGCCCCCGGGTCCCTCCTCCCTCCCCTACCCTCACTCCACTACCACCCCGACCTCTACCCCAGCGGAGGAGACGAGGACCCCAGACTGGTCCTTCCCCCCACCCCTGACCACACCCCTCTCACTGCAGCTGCGGCAGCGGGCTCCGAGCACCACGACCTCTTTGCCTCACTCGGTGGACACCCTCACCACCACGGCTCCGGGAAACTGGGCGGGGGAGGTCCGGAGCTCCACCCACACCACACCCACCACCATGGCGTCAACTATTTCCCCGGTGAGCTCCACAGTCCGTTTATCCCCGGGGACGGGCTCTGCGATGGACTCATCAAACACGAATTCCCCTTCAAGTGCGGTGGAGTCCCGATGAGTTCTGTCCCACATAACTCCCCGCTTACCCCGTTTCCGCTTGACTCCACCCCACTTACCCCGCAGTCGTCTCATTACTCCAGCAGTTCTCCGCTGTCGCACGTCTCAATGTCGGCTTCTCCCGAACCCCCCTTCTTCTCCGCTGGCTCCGAGCAGCTGGATCTCTCCCCGTCCTCCCTCCCACACCTCTCTCCCCACTCCTCCCTCCACCATCACACCATCTCGGTGATCGGAGGTAGCCCCGCCCACAGCCCGCCCAATATGAGCCCCGCCTACCACTACCACCACCTGGAGACCGGTGTGGTACTGGCACAAGGCCATGCCGGTGGTGCCACGAGCAGCGATCTCGACATCGTCCGTTCCCTCGAACTAATTGCGGGGGCTCCCCACTCCGCGGCAAATTCCGGGGCCCACACCTCAACAACCAATACCATGGCAACCGAACCGTACCATGCCCTCTCGTCAATGTCCCCACCCGTCATAAGCCACGCCCCCTCCTCGGCCAGTTCATGTTCCACGTCTCCAGTCCACGTCTCCAGTTTCGACCAGTACGAGTTTGAGCTCCTGCAGCTCATGTCCAATCCAGACGACCTCTTGGCGGATCCAAAAATCCTCCTCCACTCATCCCCAGCTCCAACCCCCATACATTGAAGTAAGGCCCACCGCCACCACATGCACACATCAACATGCCTCTGTAAGTAGAGGGTTGGACAAAATCATCATCCAAAAATTTTTAATCTCCATACAACCGACAGCATCATCATCCGGGCTATATTATATCATACAAGTAAAGCATTTCCGACAACTGCTATATTTTTTTACCGAGAGGGTTTATCTAAATCAACAATGCTTCAGACAATATTTACCAATAGCTCTGATTCAACGATATACAATTTTTGAGATTTTTACTTCATCGAAATGACTATTGCGTCCTATATGTAATGTATGTACATAGTACAGGTGTAGGTATATAGCATTGCCTTTTTGTATGCCCTGTAATATGCACACTGGAACACGTCATTGTGTTTATAGTCACTCATAATTATGCCATTTTACTAGTTGTAAATCATTGAACCACTTTGCTGCCACACGATCATCACTAGCTGTACTCCATATCACTCCACTTATGTCTGTAATTTACAACCACGCGTCTCTTGTCTTTGCCTCAAGCACTTCGTTTTTGTTGTTTAATTACACATACTTTAATTTTGCCGTTTTGTTAATAGACATGCACATTTCACTTGATCATGCATATATAGCGATAATTAAAAACATTTTTGTTATGTGAACTGTTGTTAATAGCATTGTGCTCCCTGTGATTATGATCAAATTTATGAAATTTTAAAAGGCCAAGATTGAATGCTGCAGATACGTAGAACACCAGTTCAGTTCGTAGATGGAAAAAGTGATGGTATAAATAATTATGAAAAAGTGATGATTTAAAACTTGCACGTCAGAATTAAAAACCCGCGTCTGTTAAACCGAGTTTGAAAAATTAAAAAAGGCGTGTATATAGTATCAGAGGCTCCACATTCTCTCGAGGGCTAGGTAAAGGTGATGTCTCTCCCAGTTAGTTCTTGGTGGTGCAACCCCACCCGCACGGAACTTTCTCCCAACAAGATGGTGGAGGTGTCTGATTAGCTCCGAGTATTTCTGGCCGTCGGGGGACGGATAGATCCTCCGATAGTTACCACGGTGAATGTACTCCCGCCGAGACTGCACGATGTCCTGGAGGTCGCGAAGGTCGACGCAGAGGACGTGGTCCTCCCGTCGGCAGAGGGGGCCGGGGGCGAGACCGACGCGGAGAGCCTCGAGGTCTCGTCGGACGGGTTCCGTGACCGACACCGACGAGTTGAACAGGATCTGTAGGGTGTCGTGGAGAAGGCCGAGTTTCGTGGCCGTGTAGGGACTGGTGGGGTCTGGAGGAACTCCGAGGTCGTTGGACAGCTGCATCGAAGGCAGGCCGTTCACCTGGAGAGATGAAACACACACAAAAAGAGGATCTACGCATGAACTCATACAGTGATGGGCCAGTAGCATTCAAGCCACGGAGTTTAAAAACGTGGTCAGTAACCCTCTAAAAAAGAGGGACTACTTTGGGTATGTAGTCGGTTTTCAATTACACATTATACTTCCCGTTAACTGTTCATACTGCAGTTTTTTTAATCAACTGCGCTGCACAGATATATCCCATTCAACTGCATTGGGTGGGATAGTCTGCCACTAAAACTCTCCCTGTTGTATGAGATAGAGAAGAAGATAGAGTCTATATATTGGGTTAAAACGGAGCATATGTGACTTGAAACCCAAGCACCAACCCCTACACACATAGGACTGCAAGCAGATCACGTGCTGGCCTGGGGATTCACAATTAGACTGTTTTCATTCACGAGGCAGTTCAATGTACCGACGTATTTGTGTGCGTGTGAAAGTGCACATAGTCAGTCGTAACACTCCCTAGCCAGCAAGACTTCAGCCATATACCCCCCACAGAGCACGATTACTCCACACACACACACACACACAAACACAACATACACAACATGGGCTATATAAGACATGTGACGGCAGCAGATGTGTCTGCAGCCCTCCAGAGCCACTTGTGGTTTGCAGGATGACACCCAACACCCTTTGGCCAATTACGCCGCTGTTGACGGTATCGGCAGAAATGCTCAGTCCCGTGTTGCATACTTAGAGATCTTCGCTCAAAGTTCGCGACTAGACCACAAGCGTTGGAAACACATTTGAGGCAGTCATACGTGTGCACATGATATGCGTGCGTACCTTTCCCATGACACCAGAAACTTTGGGATGGCCAGTAAATGTGAATGCCTCGCAAACTGGTGCAAGCTCCGTTTTCATGCAAGAGCATGTCTTCTCAACAACTTGGTAACGAGGTAGAAAGGCAAGGCAAGGCAAACAAAGTCAACTACACCCAGAACAGCTCTTTCTTCAAAGAAAAGAAGAAGAGCTGCCCTGGGTGGGATTCGAACCCACGACACACTGCAGTCTAGGCGAGCGCTCACCAACTGAGTAACCAGGCCGTGACTAAAGTGCCCCAAACATCAGACACAAATGTACCCAGCCTCTTTCCCATGCCTTCCGTGAGGGAGAAGGAGGAGAGGGATTGAGGCTATCCACCACTGAAAGAGGCGCAACAGTCCAACCCTCGCATCAGTCAACCATCATCAATCGCGACACTAATACTAGAACAAATGCAACGCAGCAAAACCGTTCCATTTTTCGCACATATTTCACGCAAACTTTAGTATGTGCAGTGCCCAGTACCAATCACATAAAACCTTGCATTCAGAAGACTAGGTAGGCTCACTTTGCTCGCCAATTATACCCAGAGTCACAACACCTAACCCCCCCACATCAATATTTATGCATCAAAGACCTCTAAATCTCCATCCATATTGCCTTGTCCCCCTCCCACCCGAGAAGGGGCGGTGTTCCCATGATTCCCCTCCCCAGAAGGACTATAGACAAGAGAGATCTAGTTGTTCTCACAGGATGTTTGCTTCAGGAATAACTGGATCCCTATAGCACACATGTGATCCCACCCGTTCATCTTATGGTAATGTGTTCGTTGACTCAACCTCCATAGAAGTAGGGTGTGTAGGAAGTCGGCACCGATACAGATTCAGACAGACTCTTTCCTTTCACGGCGAACGCATTCCTCGGATGCCTCGGCTTGTTAATAACCTTGGAAACTGATTCGTCGTTTTCCTACACCTATAGACGTGCAATGTATCGGTTAACCCCTCTCCTGCTGTGCTCACATGTATGCATGATATGTACGAAGCTGTAGGTCTCTCTCGCTCACGTTCCCAGCAATAAGGAAACGTGATATACGATAGTTTCTTCAAAATCCTTTGAAGATGTAACACAGTTTATAGCTTCCCTGTTTTGGCTCATAATGTGCACTAATTGGATACTCCCCCACTCTGAGAATTAGTGCTTCTGGGTATACATGCACACACATTTCCTCAGATTTCCTGTTTGAAAGACGAATCATGATAAGAGAACTTGTGTGGGTCGTTTCAAGTATATGGTGGTTCACAGGTCCATGTAAAACATGCGGAAGTGAGGAAATTGTCCTCATCCATGAAATTTTGTCTAGCGCACTAGCCTCATGTACGTACATACATCCGAACAAACGCACTCGCAAGCCTTGGCATTGGTAACAAGAGTGCCTAACTAGTCCAGAAACTATTCCTTTCTCCCCGAGAGATAGGTAAGCATGCATGTCTCAACAACTTGGTAGCGAGGTAGAAAGGCAAGGCAAGGCAAACAACAAGTCAACTACACCCAGGACAGCTCTTTCTTTTCAAAGAAAAGAAGAAGAGCTGCCCTGGGTGGGAAAAAGAAAGAGCTGTCCTGGGTGGGATTCGAACCCACGACACTCGTATGTACGTCCTTGCAACGTGCACACCAGAAAGTGTGGCAAGTATTTAACAACAAAAGACTGGTACGAATAGCACATAAAACTGGGGGCCCGTCTACAAAAGATAATTATGTTATAATGTTGACTTGAGGCCCTGGATGAGTAGAGATAAGTATAGGAGTGTGTGTATGTGGTGTGGGTATCATTAATTGCATGGACACAGGGTCTGTTTTAGGCTCAATAAAATGGAGTTTAATGCTTTTGCAGTACCACTATTCTATGTACTAAGTATTTAATCTATAATTGTCATTCTTATAAATAGTCTATGCACATGGAGAACAGATGAGATTTGAGACTCAGTCAGACTCGGAAAAGATGAGTCTAGTGTGCTTGTCACGTGCAAAGCTGGTAGTGCAATAATTAGGCCAACTGAGGGGGGGGGGTCCAGGCATGCGGCGTGCATGCTCTAAATGTACGTGATTGTTCATTCGAGACAAGAGAGAAAAAGGAGCAGAAATAAGGGCAAGGAAAGTGTGTGGGCGACGGTGTGTTGTTAGTGGTAGTGGTTACTTTGGGCAGGTTTCATCTCAGCACAGACTGAGCTCAGGAAGCCAGTATATGACACATCCACTTACCTCACTCCATTACCTCACCTACCATTCTTCCCACTGCTAATAGTGTACGTATGTACGTATACTAACCGCACAGTAACAATGCTGTACAGTAATATATGCAGCTGTATATACAGTAATATATGTAGCTGTACAGTATGTATAGCTGTACATGTGTTTGTCTGTATGCAAGCATGGAAGAGCTGACAACAAGGCTTCGTGCAGTGTTGACTACTCCAATATGACTGTTTTTGGAGTTTGAACGATTCCGTCGGTGAATGCCAAGAGGTGGTTGTCAGATTGGTGTAATGTGGCGAAGACTGTGTGTTGGCACAAACAACTGTGACTTATCCAATAAACATGGTGTTTACTCACAGCTGTGTGTCAATAATGATAAACTACACCCAGGACAGCTGAACTGTGGGATTCCAACCCACGACACTCTGCAGTCTAGGTGAGTGCTCTACCAACTGAGCTACCAGGGCAACTCAGCGGGCAGGGGTTCGAATCTTCAACACAACACAACACAAAGGCACACCTCAAACCACTGTGCTATGGCACAGTATATCACCTCTAGCTAAATTTGATATACGTATCACAAGTCATTGATGATCAAGTGATGCCGTAGAAATCCTTCCGACAAGGATACTGAAAATCATACGAACCCATCATCCCCTGGCTTTCCCCACTACTCTCTCTACAGTGCTTCTCTCTGTACGTATGTACACACATACACACACCCACCTGTCGCTAACATACTAAAACCATGCAAAGCCGATAAGGATACTGCAGCACACACACACACACAATGGTTTCATGTCTTTCATCTCTACACGTACACAAATTGCACGAACTCTCTCAAGTGAGCAAAGGGGAGAGTGAGGCAGTTTCAATGAGTCTGCCACACAATGGGTTCATAGAGCTCTGTGTTCCTGCAACACTGTGGTCTCGCTCGTCCTGTTTGGCAGGAAATACTCGCTCAGAATGAAACGGGTTTCGTTCGCACCTGCACCTGCGAAGAATCGCGGCTCCGAAACAAATTCCCGCCAAAACAGGTCGTTCAAACTTGTATCAGTTGATGCAGAGAATAGCTCTTTTCTGAGATGTACAACTGCTTGGTACGCTAGACATCTACTTCACTATGCCTAAGTTTGAGACTGAAGCTGTTCTCTGCGGTCTTTCTCTTAAGACCTTTGTAACCAACTGTTTTCTCTATATAGCCTGTGTCACCAAGAAATTTATAGTGCCATCCTGTCTACAAATGTGATGTGTGTAACATTTAAACCCCAGTATTAATTCGCGGATTCTAATACATGTAAAGACCATTAAACGCAAATAAGTGTAGTTTTCTATACTCATGTTAAGTAACGCTCTGTAACAATGATGTAATTGACTAGGAACTCTAAGAAAAACCCGTCAGGGTGAGAGGAATGCAGGAAGAATATCGGTGGAGGATATACACGAAAGCATGAGACAATGACTACATACAAAGCCATAATGTACTTCCTACGCCCACATCGAATATTCGCGAGTGACTTGTGCTCACGTACTGTATTACTACATAATCAGTGCACTCAATGAGTGCGTGCAGCAGAAGAAATGTAAGGCTTATACAGCAATGCAATTGTCAGTGCAAAGGGAATGCTAGAAGCCTGTCTGAGCTATAGAGTAAGACCACAGCAGTGAGTATTTGCAAATAATCGGTATTATTCTGTGGTTTTGAGGGCAGGAAGTGGGTGGTTAGTAAGAGTGCCGACCAGTGTTGGCACAGAAAGAGTGGGAGGTAAGGGTAGAAAGAGTGGGTGGGAGAGAGAGAGAGAGAGAGAGAGAGAGAGAAGAGAGAGTATGAGGGAGGGAGGTGGGTAGTGGGAGGCAGGGGGTAAAGCCTTGTTTACGAAGGCAGGGTAGGCACTGGGTAAAGTTGCATAGTCCTGCACAATGTACCCAGCAGTTCGTTGCATTAAAGTTCACAATGTTACGGGTACACAGGGATAGAAACTTTGCCTATCACCATCGGAGGGTCCACTAGCCCTCGCAGAATCTTGCTGTTCTGCGTAATTGCGTCCACAAAGACTTGATAGTCCATTTCACAAGGCACCGCAGTGCACGTCGTAACTTTGTGAGAAAAAACCCCGAGTGTACGTACGTTTGAAACGTACCTATAGATACGTCCGTATGAACGTACGTTTTAGACGCACGTATGTGTCTCCGAACGGTGAGAGGAATGCAGGAAGGGAGTGAGACAATGATGGGAAGAGCAAAGAAGGCTTAGTAAAGAGTACATTATTTCCCTGCATATTGAGCGGTAGGAAGTAGCTAGTAAAGAGCCCCCAGAGATGGAGTCAAAAGAGATTTATTAAAGGCAGAAGGAAGACAGGTATTCGTGAATGGGTGTATTAGCTTGTGATGTTGGGTGTAAATGTTACAAGGGATCATAAAGAAGGATGGACTATATCATTCTTTTAGGAAGGAAAAGAGGGGCAGCAGGGGTAATAAGTACAATGTATATGAGCAACGAAAAAGAGAGGAGAGAGAGGGTTAAGTGCGGGTGGTTAGCACGACTTTTACTTCCTCTAAATGATCAAGTTTGACCGACTTCTCGAAATCCACCGCAGCGGTTTCCCGTCACAGCGGCTCAAATCCGAAGGTCTCACTAAACCAATCAATGCCTTTCTTTAGGTCAATGTCTGACTCAGATCAATGTCTGACTCAGATCAACATCAACCTTGTCAGTATAGTAGCTGGACCGTAATTTACATCAATCAAATCTCGCTTCAGAAACGGATAGAGTAAGAGGAATGGGACGAGTGACGAAGGTGAAGACAAGAGTATTAGACCAAAACAGAAGGAGTTGCGTATTATGAAAATGTGCCCATCTTTACCCACTGCACTTCTATCACGCTGTACGAGCTACATGTTAGGGTGAAAGGCTGCATCGAACCCTAGGGGCTCAGGCCACCTTAATTCACCCCACAACACAAGGAAGCAACAAGGCAGCAGCGCGATAGACCAAAACAGAAGGAGTTGCGTATTATGAAAATGTGCCCATCTTTACTCACTGCACTTCTATCACGCTGTACGAGCTACATGTTAGGGTGAAAGGCTGCATCGAACCCTAGGGGCTCAGGCCACCTTAATTCACCCCACAACACAAGGAAGCAACAAGGCAGCAGCGCGATAGACCAAAACAGAAGGAGTTGTGTATTATGAAAATGTGCCCATCTTTACTCACTGCACTTCTATCACGCTGTATGAGCTACATGAAAAATGAACAGCTCACGCTATAAAAGAAAGAAAAAAAGAAAGAAAACAGGACTTCAAAAGGGCTACAATTAACATACATATATCCATAAGGGCTTACTTGGGACTAGCAAAACACATGTTAGGGTGAAAGGCTGCATCGAACCCTAGGGGCTCAGGCCTTAATTCACCCCACAACACAAGGAAGCAACAAGGCAGCGGCGCGATGCTTTGAAATTCAAACGGCCTTTTGAAATTCAAATCGGATTCTGACAGTGGCGACAGTGGTGGGGAGGCAGTTGAGGCAGCCCTGGGGCTCATGCAGACTCCTTACAGACCAACACAGATCACCTACAGCTGCTCCCCTGGTCCGGCCACAGGTATGCAATCCTCGACAACCAATGCCCATTACATCACCTCTAATGCCGTTTCCCTTGACAACCGCATGCACGGGGTTAATACTACTACATTGTGTATTAAACATCCATACATACCGGGACAGACTAGTATGCATAAACATAGACTTTAAATGCACGTAAGTTGTATACATGTATGTTGCTTATGAGAGTGTTACGTAACAGGGAGCCTAAAATGGGACTCAGGAAGGAAGCGGTAATTTTGTGCGCAAGAGAACCTCGGGGATATTTGAAGATGATATACGTAGCATGGCGCAAGTTTCCCCGGGCTACAGTGGAGTTTCAATGATATACTCCACTTGATATTCACGCTATGTACAAGTCGGTGTATATATAAGGCTATATAGCATGGGCTGACATGTGTATGTATGTATGTATGTACGTGTGTGTACTATGCATAATACATGATAGGATGCTGTGTACATTCTGATGGGGGCAGAGTATGCAAAAACGGAATAGCATGTATAGCTACTTGTAAACATTCACACGGAAGATCCACATGTAATATACACACACACGCACACACAAAAATGTCACTGATATTAGATTATTTGGGGTGTAATAATAATTATCGAACCACAATAATTTTCATTTTCGTCGGAAGGCGTGCGTAGAGAAGAGGCTTCACTAAAAGTAAGTGTGTGTACATCACATGGTCTAATACCTTCATGGGTGGTTGGCGGTATTGCCCTGCTTTGTGTAAGGAGGACGGATGCAGCGTGACTCCACGAGAGGATCAAATGACAGGTTGTAAACATCATTCTTATACACGCGCAACTTTTGCCCTTTTGTCTTATGAAAGTCTCATAAAAGTTGCGTAATGTAAGTTGGGCCGAATTTACGTGCAATATTCATGCAACTTGTTGCACTGAATGATGATGAAAAAGATGGGCACATTTGAGAAGGCAACAAGGAGGAGGGGGGATAATAACTTCACATGCCATGCTCCCATAGAAAACCTTGCAATGAGAGTTTAACAGTTCCTAGTTCTATCTTTGAAGACAAAGTTGAGAGGGCAACAAGGAGGTGGGACAACAGCTCTGAACTTTTCTTGCTGTACTAGAATGTTGAGAGGGTAACAAGGAGGTGGGATGGCAGTTTCTCACTTTTCTTGGATATTTACGTACTAGTATGGCATGCTCCCATATAAAATGGTATGGGGGCTAACAGATACGTACATAGTCCTACTGTTGTAGTATGAAACGTTTAGAGAGTGAAGGGGAGGCATGACAATACTTTTTTTGCGTGGTATGGCATGCTCCCATAGAAAATGGTATATATGGGAGTTAACAGATACGTACATAGTCCTACTGTTGAAGTATGAAATGTAAAGGGGAGGCATGACAACTTTTTACATAGTATGGCATGGTCCCATAGACAATGGTACAAGGTTTAAGGCAGAGAGAGAGAGAGAGAGAGAGAGAGAGAGACGCTCACCTCAATGACGTAAGGGTTGAGTTGTGAGTCGAGGATCACGTCAACTCCCAGCAGATGGTAGCACTGGCGACAGGTATACCCTCCCAGTGACGCCTGCAGGCAAATACACACGGATCCTCACCTAATTCAACTAGGATAAAGTGCTTGTTTAATCTCACATTGTCATGTTCTCAATAATTGACACGGACGGCCAGCCAACATTTACAGGGCAAGAAGAACACAACACACTTTTTTGGCGTGCAAGCACAAGTGACCTTTGAACTGCTGTACACGATGAACGTGCATGTGCATTGTCACGGCGCAGAGTCAGTCTTCACAAGGACGCGTTGAAATTTGGATTTTTGCACTCAGGCCACAGAAGAGAGATTGAAAATAACCAGCACCTACACATTGCGTCATGTGTAAAGTCTGATACCAAGAGTCTATTCCCTTGACCATATCGGGTTTTCTTTATGCCGTAGCAGCTATTGAGCTACTAATAGCCTCAGGCTAGGTTCACAATATGTCACATTGCCCCGTCGCGTCGCGCCGTGCCGCGCCGCGAGGATAGACTCCATTTCTATCTTCACGGAGGGCGCGATGTGGCATGGCGCGACAGAGCAATGCGCCCATATTATGAAGCTACACCAGTTGTTTCTGGAGTACTAGGGGCCTATTTTCTGGATGTAGTGTGGTACGTTCATAGCTGGGTCTGTTTATCTAGCATGATCTCTGCAAAAAAAACACACAGTTTGTTGGTGTCTTAAACAGAAGTAGACGTGTTTTCAAGTGTTATTGCTGGAAATTGACACGAGGCAAAGCAGTGGTATCTCGGAAATGCAACGTACATGTAACGTCTGTTACAGGGTCTATCACACCCATACATTTGAGGTTGCATGCAACTTATGGTTCACGTGTGTACTGTGGTGTTTTAGGTTTCATGTTATACACATACCGATGAAAACTAAGCGAACCAATTGCCCAGCCTAATCGCCAGATCAGACGAAAGCAGTCCAAACTGCTCTACCGTTATAGCAATAGGCTGTAGTAAACAGCGGTAATGGGTCGGTTCGCCTGACTGCCCGGGTCTCCGACACCCCAAACACGGACCCTTATTTACTACCGTTCACACGCTCCCTATCTCTCAGACGTCAACAGCCTGTTTGTTTCTCGGCGACGAACGCACGCCGATTCACGGATGTCAGATACACATTACACCACCAAGGTAGGCCCCCTAGCACCCCAAACAAGGTAGGCCACCTAGCACCCCAAAACACTCCTATAGTGTACAGCTATTATAGCTCAACAAGTGCTACGTCAATGCTTAGAGAAGCCCGTGGCGGAGGAATTCTGAGAGATAGAGAAGCCCGTGTCGGAGGAATTGTGAGCAGCGCACACATTCTACCTCCCCCAGCGTACACGCACTCCAGTCACATGTGTATTGTCATACAAACACTTTTCAAAACGTATACATACACGCAAGTATGTACATGTGATTACACACCAGTTTGATAATGTGTAACCCTTGGTACCCCGGTAGTAGCTCTTGGCTATACCAGCCAGGATCTTCTTCTGTGTCTTAGCTAACACATTCACGCAATCAATAAAGACACCACACAGCTGCCATTAGACCTGGCTTGTGCCCCACGTGGGCTCCCTACGCTACTTATACAGATTTTATTGATGGGATATATAGTATGCATGTGTAGTGTCTCAATCTTTACATACACACATGTTAGTTAGTTATGTACACTGTAGCCTGAAGAGTTTTTTTTCTATTGAGCAATTTTGGACAAAACCAGTACAACTTCAGGACGCAAAATGTTTGTTAGTTATGCAATAGGTGTATCTTCAAATCAACGTGAAAGAAAACACTAACAGTTTCTAGTTGTGCTGTAGTTGCAGCCTTTCTATCAGAGCTGACTGACATGATATCATAGCCGTTTCTTCGCCTTCTTCACACTGGCTTGAGGATACTCTCCAGACCGGTTCAAGGCTTGTTCACAAAGTAACAACAGGGCCTGTGGTATGGTGCGTAACGCACGTACTATAGGATCTGTATGAACGCAATTATGCAGAACCGAAAGATTCTATTAGCACCAGCGGACCCCTCTGCAGGCGATGGCCAGATATTCTATTCCTGTGTATCAATGCAACGACCCGTGGGCTACGTTGCGTAACTTTGTGAACAAGGTTTAACTCCTGGCATGGAGTTAAAGTATTGTACTGTATAAAAGTCTCCATGCAACAAGCTGCATGGGAAAAAAACATAGCCCTTTGAATTTAGTACATGTTGCACTGAGAAACACACTAAGTCTGCATGTGTTCGGATCATACTAAGCAAATACCTACAGCACATGATATATTATAATAATAATGAAACTAAAATTGGTGTCGCCCACTAAACGAAGCCCCTACACAATACAACTTATTCAACATACATAAGAGTCAACAAATTTAGCTCCATAAATTTATTCCATTCACCACAACGGAGCCTCAAAGGAGGACCCTATCATTAACGAGCCCCAATTGTTTTGATTGGTTCTGCAATACTTTGAGACGCATTAAACACTTGAAAAAAAGGCGCAAAAAGGAGCACCTCCGTATTAATTGGGGTTCCACGGTGGGACAGAGAAAGCTGGCAAAGAAGCACCGGCAGCAGACTTTACACACAGAGAGAGTTATGCAATTAATCACCAGTGAAGCTATGCAATTAATTACCGACAAATCTCCGTATTAATTGGGGTTCCATGGTGGGACAGAGAAAGTGTGACTGAAAGCTGGCAAAGAAGCACCGGCAGCAGACTTTACACACAGAGAGAGTTATGCAATTAATCACCAGTGAAGCTATGCAATTAATTACCGACAAATCTCCGTATTAATTGGGGTTCCATGGTGGGACAGAGAAAGTGTGACTGAAAGCTGGCAAAGAAAGTACTAGAAGACAGTCACTGACAACGACAGAAGCACCGGCAGCAGACTTTACACAGAGAGAGTTATGCAATTAATCACCAGTGAAGCTATGCAATTAATTACCGACAAACAAAATCAAGTCATTACTTCATTCAACATGTACGCATATCTAACACCTCGTCACGTAGTCCTGTTATTCCTCCCCCCCTAGCTCCAGATCCAGCGCACGGCTTCCCGGAATGCTCGGCCCTCTCGGAATGTGACACCGAGCAGAGTTCAGGGTCTTCGTGTCAGGTCCCTTGTGGTCAGCTAATCAATCCGCATTCCTCTCTGACCACAAGATTCGATAACGCGTCGCCTGGTAACGCCGTCAGCGCCGCGGCCTTCCGAGCGTGCTAGCGGGCTCGTGGTACGTCCACGATCTCCCCGGGTAGTTCGCAGCAACAGAGACGGAGCTGTGGTAGCCACGAGCTCCTATGAAACACGCACACGCACAGAGGTACGGGCAGACAGTCAAACGGAATAGGTTCGGTCGGCTGGAAAAGTGTTCGAGTTGGTCCAAGGAGCATACGGGAGTGAGGCATTCTCGTGATATAGCTGCATGCATGGAAGCAGTGTGAGTTAGATAAAGAGTGAGTCCAGTACATGTGCTGAATGGGTTTATAAAAGTTGTGTTTTTTGCAATTATGCGTGGGCAGAGGTCAAGCTATTTAGCGGGATATGTAATGGCAAACAGGATGAGTATTAAGTGACATAACTAACAATCTGAGCAAATTTTCTGCCAAATATGGCAAAGATAAATTGCACCCTCGGCAAAATATTTGATTATTGCACAGTATTATTATAATGAGCAGAACACCAGCATATTAATACTGGGAAGAGAAGAGATAAGGTCCGGGGGCAGGGTGGATGGCAAGGTAAATGAAGTATAAGGCAGCCTATAAATGGGGTTATCAGTCATTCTACAAACTCTGTCCTTCCCTATTGTTCCATTCTACAAAACCCTGTTCTTTTACTCTATCATTCCATTCGTCAAACCCTATCATTCCATTCGTCAAACCCTATCATTCAATTCGTCATTCTATCAAACTCTATCATTCCATTCGTCCATTCATACTACAAACCCTATCAGTCAATTCGTCCATTATACCAAACCCTATCATTCCATTCGTCCATTCTACCAAACCCTATCATTCCATTCGTCCATTCTACAAACCCTATCATTCCATTCGTCCATTCTACCAAACCCTATCATTCCATTCGTCCATTCTACCAAACCCTATCATTCCATTCGTCATTCTACCAAACCTATCATTCAATTCGTCCATTCTACCAAACCCTATCATTCCATTCGTCCATTCTACCAAACCCTATCATTCCATTCGTCCATTCTACCAAACCCTATCATTCCATTCGTCCATTCTACAAACCAAGTCTTATCATTCCATTCGTCCATTCTACAAACCCTATCATTCCATTCGTCCATTCTACCAAACCCTATCATTCCATTCGTCCATTCTACCAAACCCTATCATTCCATTCGTCCATTCTACCAAACCCTATCATTCCATTCGTCCATTCTACCAAACCCTATCATTCCATTCGTCCATTCTACAAAACCCCTTTCATTCCACTTCGCTCTCATTTACAAATTCGTCATCTCATTCTCAAACCCTATCATTCCATTCGCATTCTACAAACCCTCCATTCTTTCATCAAAGATTCATGGACTAGTTCTGAAAAAAAATTTAAATGCAAAGCTACGGGATTTATAATTCGGCATACAAGTGAACTATAAATTTGCCATAGTTTATCACTTCCCATGCACATTCAAAATGTTCAGCACATGTTTTGAACTTATTGGAGGCTGCATTTAGTTAGCAAAAAGCTCAGCATTATCCATGTCCATGTAAACGCATGGTTTTGGCAATATATCATAAGTTCCAGTCTCAGATTGTCTCTGGGGAACTGCAGGGTGTGTTGCTGGAAGGGTAGCAATGGCGGATCCCCGGGGGGTTCCTTGGGTTCCGCGGAACCCCCTTTTTGTCGTTTTGCGCACGAGCGCAGTCGGAAATGTTCTGGACAGCGGAACCCCCCCTTTCAAAATCCTAGATCCTCCACTGGATAGTCTCGTGCCCAGACCCCGCCCTCTAAGGCGGGCTTTAAGGCACAATAAGTCACAACGAAGGGTGTGTGTCGACTCCTGCATGCTATCTACTACTGTAGCTAGCCTGTGTCAGACTCTCCGCGAGCTACGTACTAGCGGGAGACCACAAGGGTTTGCACTTTCATCATTTTCTTATCACTTGTCTTTCAGCAACCTCCACCTGTTCGTTCATTTGGCACCATTTTTATATTATGCAGACGGCACTGTCCATACCACAGTGTAATGTATAATTCGTGAAACAGGTGTAACTTTGCACTCACCATAAATGCATTGCATTTGGTCAAATTACTAGCTAATTGCTACAAAGCTATACATAGCTCAACATAGCTATACATAGCTCACGTGAAAGTTTTTCAGAAGACGGTACTCTGCTGAGAGGAGAGTTCTGACAATGACATCGTGGATAGAGGTGAAGAGACGATCAGAGTCCACTCCGCTGGATGAGAGATGATCACTGAGACGTTTGAATGTCCATGTGAGATTGGAGATGTGAGTGTATTTCTTGCCTGTTTGTATCATGATGAAGGAGGGAGAGAAGGAGGTAGAGAGAAGAGAGGGAGGGAGAAGGGTTGTGGTAAAAGGGGGAGGGGAGAGGGGGAGGGAGGTAGGGAGGGAGGGAGGGAGAGAGAGAGGAAGAAAAGAGGGTAGGAGGGAGAGAGGGGGGAAGGAGGAAGAGAGGAAGAAGGGAGGGTAGAGGGGGAAGGAGGGAGGGAGGGAGAAAGGGAGAAGGGATGGGAGAGAAGAGGAGAGAAAGGATGAAAATAGATGAGAGAAGTGAGTGAGGGAGAAAGGAGGAAGGAGGGAGAGGGCAGAGTGAAAGTTAGAGGTAGAAAGCTAGCACCTATAGTCAAGCAAGCTCTCTTCTCCTATAGCAAAGCACATCAAACAAAAGGAGGGAAAGAGAGGAATGGGAAGTGTTAAACAGAAAAGAAGAGATGGAGGTGTATACGCCCGACAGGGGAACACCTACGTACCAACTGAGGTGTTGGTGAGGACCTGTGACTCTCTTCCTCTGTTGGCCTCTGAACTGTTGTAGGCAGAGGAGGCAAACCTCACCAGTCCTTCGTGGTAGAAATAGGCCCTCAGAGGTGCTACTGACGTCACCAACACATATGTCCTACAACAATACTAATACATTATTCTATGGTCATTTAAGAGAGAATTATTAAGGCCCTCATAGGTGCTACTGACGTCACCAACACATATGTCCTACAACAATACTAATACATTATACAATGGTCATTTAAGAGAGAATTATTAAGGCCCTCATAGGTGCTACTGACGTCACCAACACATATGTCCTACAACAATACTAATACATTATACAATGGTCATTTAAGAGAGAATTATTAAGGCCCTCATAGGTGCTACTGACGTCACCAACACATATGTCCTACAACAATACTAATACATTATACAATGGTCATTTAAGAGAGAATTATTAAGGCCCTCATAGGTGCTACTGACGTCACCAACACATATGTCCTACAACAATACTAATACATTATACAATGGTCATTTAAGAGAGAATTATTAAGGCCCTCATAGGTGCTACTGACGTCACCAACACATATGTCCTACAAACAATACTAATACATTATACAATGGTCATTTAAGAGAGAATTATTAAGGCCCTCATAGGTGCTACTGGTGTCACCAACACATATGTCCTACAACAATACTAATACATTATACAATGGTCATTTAAGAGAGAATTATTAAGGCCCTCATAGGTGCTACTGACGTCACCAACACATACATGTATGTCGTATACCAATACAATACAGAGGAACCTCCGATAAGGGATCCTCTGAGATAGGGACGACCTCTCTACAAACCCCATGCTATTACTTTAGTGTACTATTTGACCTCCAAGATAGGGATGACCTCTCTACAAAGGACACTTGTTTCAACCCCATGCTAATACTTTAGTGTATTATTTGACCTCCGAGATAGGGATGACCTCTCTACAAACCCCATGCTATTACTTAGTGTACTATTTGACCTCCAAGATAGGGATGACCTCTCTACAAAGGACACTTGTTTCAACCCCATGCTAATACTTAGTGTATTATTTGACCTCCGAGATAGGGACGACCTCTCTACAAGGGACACTTGTTTCAACCCCATGCTAATACTTTAGTGTATTATTTGACCTCCGAGATAGGGACGGCCTCTCTACAAAGGACACTTGTTTCAACCCCATGCTAATACTTTAGTGTATTATTTGACCTCCGAGATAGGGACGGCCTCTCTACAAAGGACACTTGTTTCAACCCCATGCTAATACTTTAGTGTATTATTTGACCTCCGAGATAGGGACGACCTCTCTACAAAGGGACACTTGTTTCAACCCCATGCTAATACTTTAGTGTATTATTTGACCTCCGAGATAGGGACGGCCTCTCTACAAAGGACACTTGTTTCAACCCCATGCTAATACTTTAGTGTATTATTTGACCTCCGAGATAGGGACGGCCTCTCTACAAGGGACAAGGACAAGGAGAAAATTGTTCTCAGATGTTCCACTTTACTGATAAAACGGTAATTTCAGAGAGATACCTTAGTACGCCCTTAGAGGTGCTACTGACATCACCAGCACAAATGTCCTATACCAAGCAATATACATACAGTGGAGCCTTCCTCTATAAGCTGGACAAAAGATGGTTTCTTTCCATCATTAAAGATATGTCCGTTATATTATTAGGGGTTCAGCAAGAATTTTTCTTGGGGAAATCAAAGGTGTCCTTAATACAAAAGAGAGGTGTTCCCATTACGTGGATGCCCTTCCACAAAGAGTAGCGGCCATTGAGACCTCACACACTACTAGGTTTTTCACAAATGAAAATGCAACGGAAAGTTTACAATAATTAATGGCAAGTGGCAAAAGCCAAGGGTTTTCATGGCCTTATAAAAAAAACTTATGACAATTCAGCTACCCATGAAAACCTCATTAAATGACACGAAAACGCCATGAAAATAGGGAGTTCATGGGCATCAACCGCATTTTAAGGTATTTTTCATGTCCTTGACTAAAAATTCAAAGGGTCAAATTTCATGAACAGTTCCCAATGACATAACCATGTATTTTCATCGGTGGAAAAACTAGTAGTGACAATTTTGCTCACAAAGTCATGCTCTAAAAACATTCATTGGTGGTTGATTGCAAAATGTTTGGTAAACGGTAGGCTGAGAGTTGTCTCCTGCAATATGCGATCATACTATGCAGCTGCTTATATAGGATGAGCACTGGCTGCTATAGTAATGTATTGGGAGCATATCACAATAATATAGGGCCGTCCACTTACTGAAGCATCTACACAACAATAATGGGACATTACGCTACACAAAATGACTGAATTTGAAGGACACCACTTTTTGGTTGGCCACAAATTGCTCTTGTACGATGATGCATGACACATTCTATTCACATTAGAGAGAGAGAATGGGAGTAAATTTTGAAGGGAATGTGTTAGTATGTAAGGGCTAAATTTAGAATCTGTTACTGAAAATGGAGAGCTAATTGCACTGGGCCGCATTGTTTAGTTCTATCTTTAGTAACATTTCTTAATTTAGCCTTGTATGTAGTGACACATTCCCTTTAAGTTGTGAAGGAAGCAACAAAAAGTAAAGAAATTTTCCTAGACCATAAAATAATCATTAACGTTGCAGACAGGACATCTGCAAAAACAAAACTGTTAATACTAATTCTGTAGGCAGGAAAACTGGCACGTATTATGAAAAACACAACCTGTCCTCTTCAATACAAACTCACTTCACCGAAAAGTCAGTACGTTTCTAAGAAACAATGACCGACATATGTATGTATTGTCAACACTGGTATGTTGAAATACCAGACTATAAATCAATGTAGGTGCTGAATTACAAGAAAGCTCATCACAGGTTTGCAGAGTGGGACTGACCTGAAATCAAACTTCTTGCCCTGGATTAGATACGGGTCAGTGAGCAGTGGTTGGGCCACGTGTCCAGCCAAATCGTGCTCGTCCAGCTGTTGGAGGGTCTCGGCCACAAATATCCCATTACCCTCTCCTTTGTCGTTTGGCTTCAGAATGTACGGTCGTGGGTCTGATAGTACCTTCTCCTGCATGATGACGACCACATGTGACGGTCACATGAGAATAGACTGAAAACCGGTGATAGTCATGTGACCATGCACATGGGCAAATATAATATGTATGCTCTCTTATATGCAGTGGAACCTCAACGTTGGTGGGACATAAGTAGGGTACTGCAGCTAACTAAACTAAACTAAAACTTTCGCTAAAACTTTCACAAAAGTTAATCACTTGCTTGAAATGAGTGAGGTTGGTGAGTGTGGTACATAGAGACAAAAACCAAAAGAGAGATACTTTGCTGTTTCATAACATTCCCAAGGTGTTTTGTTGCGAAAGTGTTAAGTATTCAGAACACTGTGGTTAAGGAAGACGCAACATACATAGTTGTTAAAGGAGGATGACACACCAGTTTATAGGTATAATTATAATACATTGTGGCAATAAGACACAGTCCCACCTGGAACTTTGTCATATCCATAGGAAGAACCCAGCAGGGGAAGGTGAAATTCCGTGGACCTTCAAACCCGCCCAGCGCCTCTCGCAGCGTCAGACACATCCCATCCTTCCTCCACAGGGATTCCCGGATCCCGTGAATCTGATTGAACTTCTGACCCTGCCCGAGGAGGTGGTGGGCATGCGATTTGAGACAGAGCCGATCCTGGGCCACAATCCCCAGACACAGAAACACCGAGAACTCAGACAGCCCCACGCTCCGCTGGTGGACCTCCTGTACAGTGAAACCGATTTCTTCAAACGCCATTGTCCATCCTTGGAGATCTCTCTGGGCAAAGTATCGGGAGCGAGTCACGTCCTTTGCAAGGACGAGAGGCTTTGGGTGTGGGGAGTGGAAGGTGACCGAGGCCTGGGCCAGACACAGGAACCAGGCCATGGTGTCCTCTTTCTCCCCACTGCACTCTGCAGCGTTCCCACTGCTCACTACTGAGAGTTGCTGGCGTGGCGAGGAGTCTAGTTGCAGTGGAGCATTGGGCGAGCTGTCCGTCTCGTCCACTGCAGGCCACCGGCCATACCCGTATGCATCATGAGGCGTATTCTCACCCCAGGCGGAGGGAGCGCAGCGCCTTTCGAGCCCGGGTACCACTCCGTAGTAGAACAGCAGGATGTTGAGAGCCAGAACGACCGGGAACGCGAGCTGCCACACGTATACGCGTGGAAACGACACCATGCCGCTCTTTTCCAGCCTCCAGAACTCAGCAACACCCCTCTGCTCTATGCCTCGCCTCTGCACGCTGCACGCAAGCATGCCCCGCCTTCTAGTAGTACTGCACATGCGCAGTAAACTACACTCTGCTCGTGCGCAGTAATACGCGCGTGCGCTAATTAATTTGAGACGAGATCGAGAGGGGATAATGAGTGACGTAAGATGAAGGAGGTGATGATTATTGAGAGAAAGGGAGCTCCTAAATACAGTGGTGATCCTCAGTCTTCAAAGGTCATCCTGTTTTTGTTGTTCTTCATGTAGCGTCTGCAGACACAAAGACACATACGTAAACACGAGTAAACACCAGCTGGAAAATTTCCCTCCCTTTCCTCACCTGTACATCTTGTACTTGCCACTGCTGGCCAGTTTTGTCTTCATCTCGTCTTCCTGCTCTGTCTTGTACTGGTTGAAGTTGGCCTCTACCCACAGCTCCCTCTCTAGCAGTTCGCTCCGTTTCTCCTCCGGCATGGCCTGCATCACATGACATGGATATGTTACTCTGTAAAGTACTAATAATGGAATATGGGATAGGGGGAGGAGAGTCAGGGTTAATGTGTGGAATGTGGGAGAGGAAGAGAGAAGGAAGGAGGCTCCTCCATCCTCCGGCATGGCCTGCATCACATGACATGGATGTGTTACTCTGTAAAGTACTAATAATAATATGGGATAGGGGGGAGGAGAGTCAGGGTTAATGTGTGGATGTGGGAGAGGAAGAGAGAAGGAAGGAGGCTCCTCCATCCTCCGGCATGGCCTGCATCATTGTATATAACAACACGACATGGATGTGTTACTCTGTAAGTACTAATAATGAATATGGGATAGGGGGAGGAGAGTCAGGGTTAATGTGGGAGAGGAAGAGAGAAGGAAGGAGGCTCCTCCATCCTCCGGCATGGCCTGCATCATTGTATATAACAACATGACATGGATGTGTTACTCTGTAAAGTACTAATAATGGAATATGGGATAGGGGGAGGAGAGTCAGGGTTAATGTGTGGAATGTGGGAGAGGAAGAGAGAAGGAAGGAGGCTCCTCCATCCTCCGGCATGGCCTGCATCACATGACATGGATGTGTTACTCTGTAAAGTACTAATAATGGAATATGGGATAGGGGGGAGGAGAGTCAGGGTTAATGTGTGGAATGTGGGAGAGGAAGAGAGAAGGAAGGAGGCTCCTCCATCCTCCGGCATGGCCTGCATCATTGTATATAACAACACGACATGGATGTGTTACTCCGTAAAGTACTAATAATAATATGGGATAGGGGGAGGAGAGTCAGGGTTAATGTGTGGAATGTGGGAGAGGAAGAGAGAAGGAAGGAGGCTCCTCCATCCTCCGGCATGGCCTGCATCATTGTATATAACAACACGACATGGATGTGTTACTCCGTAAGGTACTAATAATAATATGGGATAGGGGGGAGGAGAGTCAGGGTTAATGTGGGAGAGGAAGAGAGAAGGAAGGAGGGAGTGGGCAAGAAATTAGAAAACCTTTTTCACTGCACCTTCACACCCACCCTAATTTCCTTCATTTCCCTTTCTTCCATGTGTAAGTGTAGTTGTTCAGTTCCTCCCCTCCTTTTAGTACATGTAAAATGGATCTTTCACTTCCTCCTGTCTTCCTAATCCCTTTACTCTCTTCCTCACTCTTCCCTCTCCCACAAAATGTACATGGTGACACAAACACACACACGCATGCACACACTTCCTGTGCATGCATACTACCTTCTTTTACTGTCACGACCTAAAATAGCACGACAAAATAAAAGCTTAGCAAGACAAACCGACAGGACTGCATACATACCAGACTCTGTTACAAGGGAGTGGTAGTGATGCACAGGTCGGGAGTTTAAAGGGACCGAAACCTGTGACCTACACGATGATCTGCTGAGGAGCTCCCCTGACGACTGGTGCATTAGATACATGACAGACAAACAAGACAGAGCAGACAGGGTTCTCCGGTTGATGGTGAGGGGATGGGTGGTGGGACTGCCGTGTACAGGCATTCAAAAAGCCATGCATGTGACCACGGACAAAGGCCTCTCAATCCCTAGCACTCTTTCTTTCTTCTCTTCCCCCACACAAACACACATGCACACACCTTCCAGTGGTTCTCTGAGAGTTTCAACCTCTTCCTAGTGATGTACTCCCTGTCCTCCTCACTGTAGTCCTGACCTTTGACCCTGTATCTCCACACCCACTTTGCTTTCCATATCCCGTACATAACACCCCAGTATGGACTGTAGACAGGGGGATAATAGCACAGGTACGTAAGATCATAAGCATTCAGTAGACATCTTCATTCAATATTATGTCTGCAAGAATATTGATGTCTCAACGCAAGGCAAGCGCCTATCAACGACATGGCATGCATGTGTTGTATTGTAATGTTTTGAGCCCTCCCTAATGAGCTGCTCTGGCACAGAGCTCAGTGCTCTGCCAAGCTGAGTCCAATCTGTGCATACGTAGTACACAGGCTGTTTAAGTGTTACAGTGGAACCTCTGAACAAGGGATTGCATCGACACTCTGTGATTCATTCATGCCTATCCCCGTCTTATGCTAGGTTCACAATAATTATAATTATGTCGCATTCGTCTGTCGCGCTGTGCCGCATCGCGAGGATAGAATACATTTCTATCTTCGTGGCACAGCGCGACGGGGCAATGCAACATATTGTGAACCTAGCCTTAGGTATATATACTACTAAACTCTGCAAGAGAAACAGTGCGTGTTAGAGAGAAAAGGAGATTCTCACCTGAATACGATGGTGAACCACAGTACGTCCCAGACCTGAGGTTTACTGTAGCCTCCTCTGCACGTATTGACACACACAGTTTATCATCACGGGGGTACAATATAGTGATTTATGTTTGTCTTACACGACATCAATGTTCTCTTCCAGAATGCTGCGAAGTGTAGCCTCTTCCTCGGCCTTCAGGTCCTCCTGCAAAACACATTATAAAACACACAAAACACACATTATAAAAACAACATTAAAACACACGTATATAGAACAGTGAAGTTTTGTTCACAATCATGTATTCACCTGAAATGTGCACACTACACTATGTAGCTAGCTATCGCTTGAATCTACCTGGTTCTGGTGGCTCGTTGATCAAACATAAAATCACTTACAAACATTGATACAACGTGTTTAAATCTGATGTCTGATCAATTCATTGCATGAGCACACTCCCATGCACACTACTATATAAGCAGAAATCTATATGCAGGCACACTTTGAAACAAAAAGTTTGCTATCTCATTAACAAACTCTACCTGATTCATTAACAAACTCTACCTGATTCTTTAACAAACTCTATCTGATTCATTAACAAACTCTACCTGATTCATTAACAAACTCTTACCTGATTCATTAACAAACTCTACCTGATTCATTAACAAACTCTACCTGATTCATTAACAAACTCTACCTGATTCATTAACAAACTCTACCTGATTCTTAACAAACTCTACCTGATTCATTAACAAACTCTACCTGATTCATTAACAAACTCTACCTGATGCATTAACAAACTCTTACCTGATTCATTAACAAACTCTACCTGATTCATTAACAAACTCTACCTGATTCATTAACAAACTCTACCTGATTCATTAAAAACTCTACCTGATTCATTAACAAGCACATTGTGCCACAAGTCTCCTTGTCCCTTACTTTCAAGACGCCTTTCTTCTTGCGGTCCAGGAGACCTCTCTCTCTGGCAATGCCTTTGGCTCTGGTGCGGTAGTGGGGCATCCGTAGAGCGGCACTCAGTGCAGCGTTGTATGAGTGACTCCAGCCAATGTACTGTTGGGAGAGAGAGAGAGAGAGAGAGGTGTGGTGTGAGAGAGGGAGAGAGAGAGAGAGAGAGAGAGAGAGAGAGAGAGTGTGTGTGAGAGAGAGAGAGAGAGAGTGGTGTGTGTGAGAGAGGGAGAGAGAGAGAGAGAGAGAGAGAGAGAGAGAGAGTGTGTGTGTGAGAGAGAGAGAGAGTGTGTGTGTGAGAGAGGGAGAGAGAGAGAGAGAGAGAGAGAGCGTGTGTGTGGTGTGTGTGTGTTTGTTGCAAAAGAGAGAAGAAGAGAAGGGGTATACGCACTGTATTATAGCCTACATATGTGAGGGGGCATGGGAAAGGGACCTATATGGCTGGAATGTGAAAATTTTCACATTCCAGCCATATAGGTCCCTTTTCCCATGCCCCCTCACATATTATCCTACAATTATACATGTTACCTGTACAACGGATATGACGGTAATGGTGACAGCAATGACGATCCTAACATCAACCTTGGGAGCCACTCTCCTTCGATAGTAGTGGTAGTAATGACTGTACACCTCATCTGTACACACACATCAGACCAGAGAAAGCAATAGTACATAATAGAGAGAAGTAATCTCCGAGATACAATAGGAACGACCTCTCTACAAGGACACTTGTTTCAACCCCATGCTAATTTAAGTGTATTATTTGACCTCCGAGATAGGAACGACCTCTCTACAAAGGACACTTGTTTCAACCCCATGCTAATTTAAGTGTATTATTTGACCTCCGAGATAGGGACGACCTCTCTACAAAGGACACTTGTTTCAACCCCATGCTAATACTTTAGTGTATTATTTGACCTCTCAGATAGGGATGTCCTCTCTACAAAGGACACTTGCTTCAACCCCATATTATTTGACCTCCGAGATAGGGACGACCTCTCTACAAAGGACACTTGTTTCAACCCCATGCTAATACTGTAGTGTATTATTTGACCTCCGAGATAGGGACGACCTCTCTACAAGGGACAATATTGTTGGCCCCATAGCGTCCCTTGTTCAGAGGTTCCTTGCTATTGGCTCCTTGCAAACAGCGTCTGACCAAGCGCCCTTATGTGCATATGTTTGTGCACACAGCGATAGTTTATGGAGATTAAGACTAGGGCACATGTATATATATTTGTAGGAATCAAGGCACAGAGAATGAGGAATGGAGGTGTAGGGGGGCCTGACACAAACCCTCCGGGGCGAACACTCCACCAGAACAAAGCATAGTAAATAGGGGGAGGAGAGGGAAGCGGTATATACCAACCTGGCACGGTGGACTAAGAGCCACATACACCCGTGCACATCACCAGTGCCAAGGACTAGGGAAGGTGTATGTAGGTCCATGAATACAGTCTAAATCTGGTGTCTCATAGAGTCAGTGCCAAGAATGCAATAACATTGGAGTCCAGAACAAAGGACCTATTAACCTCCTATGAAAGAATACGTGAGACTAACTGTATATAGTGTGGCCTAAAATCCTCCTCCTTTATATCAGTACATGTATTCGAACTCTAAAAACCATACTTGAGGCCAAAAAAAGGCACGATTTCATTGCCTGCAACAAAACTCTTACGTGCGTACATAACTTCAATGTATGGGTATGATGGGTCCACGCGACATGTTGCATGAAAATAATGGTGTTGTCTATTGCCATTACGTGCATGTTGCAACCATCATACCCAAACAGTGAAGTTGCGTGCGACTTTTGCTGCATGCAACGAATTTACACCGTGTTGTTGGCACTGCAGTGTGGTCAACATTAGTCACTGCTGTAAATTAACGGTCTTGGTTGTCTTATAGGTAACCCAGTATCCTGAATGTAAACTGGTTAAAAAGATAAACAAAACGACAGATGTTGCAGCTTTGTGAGCGACTTCCTTCCTCACACGTACAATAATACGCTGTGGCACTGTACATGTGGTAGCAAGGAAAAGGCAAAGCAAACAAGTCAATTACATCCTTTTTTCCAAAGAAAGGGAGCTATACTACCCTGGGTGGGATTTGAACCCACGACACTCTGCAGTCTAGGCGAGCGCTCTACCAACTAAGCTACATATAAGGGCAACTCAGCTGGCAGAACATACACCAAGGGTAGCTCTGAGCTATACCCTGGGTGGGATTTGAACCCACGACACTCTGCAGTCTAGGTGAGTGCTCTACCAACTAAGCTACCAGGGCAACTCAGCTGGCAGAACATACACCAAGGGTAGCTCTGAGCTATACCCTGGGTGGGATTTGAACCCACGACACTCTGCAGTCTAGGTGAGTGCTCTACCAACTGAGCTACCAGGGCAACTCAGCAGGCAGAACATACACCAAGGGTAGCTCTGAGCTATACCCTGGGTGGGATTTGAACCCACGACACTCTGCAGTCTAGGCGAGCGCTCTAGCTACATATTGTTGTACATACTGTGACATTGTGTGGTATGTATATAGACTGACCAGGATTGTCCAACATGTAGTCATAGTTAGCTCTCTCCTCCTCATCCTTCAGCACCTACACAGTGTCCCAATGGGTGCATTTCCTCATAATTATGGAAAATTAACACACACACACACGTATTGACATTGCTTAGGCGCACCTCTACTACACAGTAGCCCGATACATTTCCTGTGGGAACATGGCATGGTATGGAAATACACAATTTACAAAATTCATGCACTTGGCGCAATATGTGGGTTTTGGACCGGGAGTGTAGAATTGGTTTGTATACGTATACATTCTCATGGTGGAGGCAACTACTGTATGCTTCCAAGAATGCAAAGAAACAAGTTTCGTGGCCCTTACATCGTAGGCAGTGGTGATTTCAAGAAACTTCTCATGAGCATCTGGACTCTGCATGTAAACCAGTGCAGTTGCAGTGTCAATATCAATACTCTCTATCACATGCACCGCCTGCCTTGTTCTTGTCAGGGTGATACTGAATGGCCAGTTTCCTGTAAGCTCTGCGGATTTCAGCCTGCAGAAAATAACAAAGCGTATCATGCAGATGCTGCGCGTATTTCAGGTGCATGCTTACCGCTTCGGTACCTCTATCCACGTCCAGCACTGTAGGAAGAGAGCACGCATGACTAACGCACTCTCGCGAATGAGCTAAGCATCTTCACTGACCTTCGTAACAGTTTCTCGTTCCACAGTAGAGGCCTTCTATGAGGCCGTGAGCAGACCCCACGAGCAGTAGCAGCAGTGCCACGAACACTTTCATCTTAGCCGCAGTGAGAATAGTGCTGGTCGCGTCCTTCGGTCTGCCCCAGGAAGCAACTGGCATAAACCCCGCTCAATGTTCAATGTTTGAATTTCTAATTATTGCGCATCATAGGAAGTGGTGCGTGGTGACGTAATGGCGTCTTCCTCCGAGTTTATTCCGTTGCGTAAGAAGCAGAAGAGGGCCTCCACTGGTTTAGAGGACAATTTTGTATCCTCCTATATGCCAAAGAATCCTGCTATTCACCCTTCCTCTCAGGATCTTCTGGAGAAAGTAAACCATGACGTCACATGACGCTTTGCACTAACATGACGTCATAATCCACTCACGTGACTTGGGGCCCCAAACCACACCCCAACTAACCTACATAGTGTGGGAATGTGCGGCCTTATTTTGATCCTTATTCACAACCCACTTTTATGGAAACGGGAATGTTTGTACATTGTCTCTAAGTATACAGCAATCGTAAGGTTTTTCATTTGACGTGCAGGCGGTCGAATGCCGTCTCTCTCATGGTATAGAGGTCAAAGGTGAAAGGTGCCCAATGCCATTGTCAAGATTCGATGAACTTCATCTTCCAGCTTCAACTATGGCTCTCCTCCATAGCTTGGGATATGAGGTATGTTATTGGTAATGGATGCAGCACTCACACATGAGAGGAGTTAATCTTCTTGGAAGAGGAAACCCCACTCACTATAGAGTGTTTGTCACGATTGAGTTAAACTCTGGTTGTTCCACGTGCTCTTCAGCACTGTATATATACTAATCCAGACACAAAATGGGACAAAAGTCGTGTTTAAATACTTAGCGAAAAGCACTGTTTTGGGGCAAAGAGAGATGTCTTCCATTTCAGGGGGGTGTCTTTAGAGAGGGGTTCCACTGTACTGCAAACCTCCATGTGTATAATACATCAGGAATTCGGATTCCTTGCCCAGTGTTGTATATGCAATGGTTAAAATGTGTGTATATTTGGTCCTGCAGCATCCTACTCCAGTCCAGATGCAAGCCATTCCGTGCATACTTGGTGGCCGTGATGTCATAGTCCTTGCTGAAACTGTGAGTGTGTTTCATTTCCGATATCCTTGTCCTGGCCCAGCAGGGCTCTGCGTACTTTCCACTCCCATTCTAAACATCCACAGCGTTTATTCAGTAGCGTTCCTTATGTCATGTGTTTCCAGTGGAGCAAGACGTCCGTTTCATCATGGAATCCTCCTCTGGGTCAAACATGACTTAAAGTTGAAACTGCTTCCTACGTACTATATTCTGATTATGTTGAGAAACTGCTTCCTATATTCTGATTATGTTGAACAGCCACGCCGCATAACCAGCTGTAATGTGGTATATATAACCGATTGTAACACCGACTGTAATGTGGTATACACACTGCTGTATTCAGTGGAACGCCCGGGTGGTGTTTCAATTGGGATTTTCAGCAACGCTTGAGCTCCCCAACGTGTATATGAACCAGCAAAGATTCTCTGAATAATGGACACAACCAGGCATTTTGTCCGGGTGTCTTCTCTTTGGAGGTTAATAATGTACTAGGATGATAGGACAGTGAGCATTTCGGACCTCAAAGTGTGTCCTTTCATCAGAGGTTTTTTTTCTGTTATGTTCTTTGCTCGGAGTGTCCTTTATTGGAGGTTCTACTGTACATACATAGGGCTCCGGGAAGACGCTCTCCTATTGTCTGCCACTTTGTCACATGCTGCCTCTCTTCCCTCCAACCCTTCCAGGTATCACTACGTACGGTAGTACGTAGTATATAGGGATGACACCATTATGCCAATACATTTGAGATTTTCATGTTTCGCTTTTATACCTACATACGTACATTTACACCATTTTTTCTAGTTGGTTCTTACGTAGTTTGTACACTGGAAGAAATATTTGTAATTTGCTAGCATTTTTCGTTCTAACCCTGCCTTTCGTCGTAACACTTACCCAACCTTCTGGAGGTTTATTCTCGTCTGTGTTTATTTCTGTAAATGGTCCTCAAATTCCGTGAAAATGCAGACAAATCCGTATTACTGTGAACGATGTATTGTGTGACTTGCCCATCCAACTTCAAAACCAAAGTGTATTCTGTGATGTGTCCAGGAGAGGGACCCAGAGTACTGATGATGGCTCCAACAAGAGAACTTGCTCAACAGGTCAGCAGGTTGTATATACGTATTCTGCCAGATTTTGTACCCTCCGAATATAGGACACCTCCCTCTAGGTTCTTGTACATTAGTGTATTATACTACCTCTGAATAAAGGATGCGAACACTTTCAATGTCCCCAAGGTGTCCCTTATTCAGAGGTTTTTCACTGTAATTGCATTTGTTGTACTGTTGATATGTCCACCTGCTAAGTATGGAGGCCGTCACTGCAGATCAGCATCTACTGCAAACAATTTGTGGCTGGACTCCGCCGCCAGACAGGTGACCCCAACCCTGGAGGAACTCTGACCAAAACCAGCTACTCCACTCTCCTGGTGTGCGGAGGAGTTCCAAAGAAAGACCTACTGACAGAAATTGAGAAAGGTGCTGTCACGATCAATGCGTGGCAGTCATGCAAAACTAAAGGGGGTCCTGATCATTTCGGAATTACTTGGCCATTCTATGGGAATGGAAAGCGGTTGAGCAGCAACTAAAGACTTGTGAATTTTATGATAGCAAATGTTTTGTTCACGAATGGTCGGCCAGCATACACACGGTGCACTAAAAACGGCAGTAAGCGGCGATTTTAAAGTACCGAGACTCCCATCCCTGAGTGATGGCTGGTTATAGCAAAGTTGAGAAAGGGACTATTGAGGGAATGCTTTGTTGACTAGGATACTGCATGGGACACTAGTCGAAACACATTAGCCAAATGGTTCGACTGCATGGCAGTCATAATCAGTGGAAACTAATGTGCTTTGGCATGAGGGAGTGCCATGCCTTAAAATTCCATCCCTACTTTTTGTACCATTTGCCACGATTCGACTGCAGTGCAGTGCATTGTAAACATTTGCACTTGACTAGAAATGCAATGCATAGAGTATGAGAGAGCCACTGTCAATGTGTCCAGGAGTGGATGTGGTGGTGGCTACACCAGGGAGACTGCTGCACCTCAGTGGGGAGGAGACTCTGTCTCTGGACCAGGTGGCCTACCTGGTGGTGGACGAGGCCGACAGATTCATGCAGGGCTCACTGGAGGACGAGCTCAGGAAGGTCTGTGAGTACCGCTTCATCACACACAGACACAAACATGCATGCACGCACACATGCACACGCATGCACACACATTTTTGCTACATTTAGCAAAGCAGTGTGGATTACGCTACTTTCTATATTATGATCAGAGCTAAGGACCACACAGATTCAGAATTTACATATGCAAAGAATGTCGCAACTACATGCAGTGTCTACGTCTGTCTGTATAATCCACAAAGTCTTTGTCCACCGGAAACAATCGTCGCACTTTCACACGAAATTTGCTTGAAATTCTAAGGTCTGTGACTTATACTGCGGGTGCACATAAAGTATTAGTTTTTACCGCACAAGCAATTCAGTAATCAAGTAAAATTCACATACGTATGTGAAAACTATGAGGTAGGTAGAAAGGCAAAGGCACAACAAACAAATCAACTACACCTAGGACAGCTCTTTGGAAAAATAAAGAGCTGCCCTAGGTGGGATTCGAACCCACGACACTCTGCAGTCTAGGCGAGCGCTCTACCAACTGAGCTACCAGGGAAACTCAGCTGGTATATAGGGGGTTCGAATCTAGTACAACATCATGTTTGTGGGTTACCCTGACTCTATCCAGTGACTGTGTTGTTAAGTATTAGTTAATGTGCTCAATGTTGCAGGTGATAGGGAAAGTGACGGAATCGTTACGACCGAGGCAGACCCTGCTATTCTCTGCCACTCTGCCCAACAATCTGGAGAGGCTGGCGAGATCTGCTGTACTTGATCCTGTAAGGCCAGCTTCACAATACGTCGCATTGGCCCTGTCACGCCGTGCCGCACGTGTCATGCTGTGAAGATAGAAATGGATTTGCGATGCACCAGGGCGGCACGGCGCGACAGGGCAATGTGATTTATGGTGAACAAACACCCACCCATCTCCTTGGTAGACATTAATTTACTCTCCTCTAAATGACAATTGCAAAAATCGATACTCTTCAGCTATATATTCACTCCTTTAGTATATAAAATATAATTCGGAATTATGATGTAGATTTTGGTAGCTCTTTTCACTGTGTTATCATCGTGTGCTAGTGTTTTTGTTACCTAGTTTCTTGTAGCTACAGTAGGTACATTTTGACTGTGAATTTCTCCCCTCCAAAAGATTACAATCGAGGTAGGGGCAATCGGAGTGACGGCGGTTGGCGTCGACCAGAGAGTGGAGTTCATGCACTCCTACCAGAAATCCCAGAGACTGCTTGAGACTCTGAGGACCACGGAAACTCCTCCAGTCCTCGTCTTCTGCAACACCATCACCACTGTCGACCAGATTGCAGACCTGCTCCACCGCGAGCAGTTCCACGTGGCAGCGCTGCACTCCGAGAGAGAACCGGGCGTTCGGTTCGAGATAGTGGACGCTCTGAGGAACGGCAAACTCGATGTGTTAGTCACGACTGATTTAGCTTCCAGGGGGATCGATGTTCCGGGGATAACACACGTTATTAATTTCGACATGCCTCTGACTATCGAGGACTATGTGCATAGGTGCGGCCGTGCAGCGCGCTGGCAGTCGCCGGGCAAGCCAGCTCGTTTCTGACGCTTGAGTGTAAGATAGCGAGCGAGTTGAAGGAGCTGTTGAGTGAGCTGGGCCAGCCTGTGCCACCTGAACTGCAGGACACGCGGCAGTTTGGAGGGAGAGTCATCAAGACAGAGCTAGGAGACAGAGCACTCTGAGAACGAGGAGTCTCTGAGATGCAAGAACTTCCATTCTGAAAAATATACTGAACTTGGTTTTGTCCCACTAAACAGACATCTGAGTTTGTACATCCAGTCTAACTACACGTGCATGAATTCACAGTTGATCATGTATCTTGCATTTTTTTATGCTGAAAAACATCTGATCACCACACATGCATGAAAATTCAGATTTTCAGCAGTTACATTGTACATCCAGTCTATTCATTACACACACAAGATTCAGGTAAATTTCAGGGTTGTTTCAGCCACTGATCATGTATATATAACATCTGAATTTTGTTAATCACCCCACATGCACAGTAAATACAGGTAAAATTTAGTAGTTGATCATGTATCTTTACTTTTGATGCTGGAAAAAGATGGTAAAACAGCTGCATGTGATATTATAGTGTAGTAAAAAGGCCCTATAGCCCTAGCCCTGGCTGAGGTGGCTCTAGCAAAGAAAGTTGCTATGTGAGATGGTATCATCAGTCCAGCCACTGCTTGATGCAGCAGTCAAACACAGTCTGGTCTTTGTGAAATCCAAAGTGGTGGACACCTTCTACCGTATGGATGTGCAGCCGGCCGCTGTCATCCAGTGTTCGCAGACCAAAACTGTTCTTCGTATAGAACTGGAGGGAGATAGTCCAAAGTACACAACAGAGCGCAGACACAGAGCAGACACAGCAGAGGTTTCTGCATGTCATTGCTTGTCAATGCTAACTAAGGCAAAAAAGGACAACTCGTTCTAAATCCGGTGAAATCTGACATGTTTTTTTTGTGTGTATGTAATACATTCACATGCACAACCACAGCAGTCACTGAACCCTCCATATGTAGCTATATATACAGTGGAACCTCCATAAGGGATCTCTGAGATAGGGACGACCTCTCTACAGCGGACGCTTGTTCAACCCCATGCTAATACTTTAGTCTATTATCTGGTCTCCAAGATACGGATGACGTCTCTCAAGGGACCAAATCCTCGCCCCCATAGTGTCCCTTGTTCGAAGGTTCCACTGTATACCACAGAATGTCTTGTCTTAGCCAGCTGGCCCTCACTACATGATATTGCCACCAGTCGCCACCAAGAACACAGAGCTTTCAGCTAACCTCTTGATCCACACATTCCTCTATTTTCATGTTCTTGTCATAGTAACCAAACTGACTGGATAAACAGAGGAGGGAACAAACAGTGGGCACTGTGGTAAACCACGTTCAACAGCATAGCGAAACCGCAAGAACACACGAAAAACAGAAGAACGACTCACGTGGACTGCCATGGCTCTACAATGCCGTCATCTGGACCACCTATCAGAACCAGCTTTCCTATTCTCTCAAAGTTACTCTTGTATTCTGTATGAATTGCGATATAGCACAATAACGCACATCATTGTTTCATAGGAGCTAAGGAGTTGGCTGTATATACCTTTGTCAGTAGGAGACTCCAGTGGGTATAAGAAGTTGTTGTTTGTCCGGTACAATGTCATTTGTGTGGGATCTGCACACATGTACTGTTCATGAGTGCAAGATACACAAACGTTTTCACAGTCAGGCCTTCGTTTAGAAATAATAATTATATTCAAGGGGTGGGGGACAAAATGTGTATTGATGGGAAAGAGTAAAAGGTTGCCTTAAACTCCAAGGCTTGGTGAGAATTTATCAAGGGATCCAGTGCCCCCCTGCTCCCCTAAATGAACCCCTGACAATACCCTTACCTTTCCACCAGTTGCAGATTGAGACACTGTGTCTGGCCTCGCTCAGATAGCAGTAGCTAGAATTGGAGCGTGAGTGGTTATGATTAAGAAGAAGTGTTCCACCTACATAGACTTACTGGTACATAAACTCCTTTGTGATAAGTGGGATTATCTCGCTGATCTGAGCCGCTGAAGAATATATGTTATATAGGTTCACTTGAAAAGTTATTCATAATAATTGTAAGGCTCACTGCCGAACTGTCCTGCCATTGGTGAAGCTAGGGATATGAAAGTAATGTTGCTGGTTGGGTAGGCCTCTAGAATTCCCCTAAATATCACACCTCCTGTAATGATAGAGAGACTGTAGTCACACATAGTCCTCGATCAGCCTTCTCCCACTCTCTCTGTGTGTATACAGTGGAACCTATGAACAAGGGGCACTATGGGGCCAATGGTTTTGTTCCTTTGTAGAGAGGTCATCCCTATCTCGGAGGTCAAATAATACACTAAGTAGTTAGCATGGGGTTGAAACAAGTGTCCTTTGTAGAGAGGTCGTCCCTATCTCGGAGGTCAAATAATACACTAAGTATTAGCATGGGGTTGAAACAAGTGTCCCTTGTAGAGAGGTCGTCCCTATCTCGGAGTTCAAATAATACACTAAAGTATTAGCATGGGGTTTGAAACAAGTGTCCCTTGTAGAGAGGTCGTCCCTATCTCTGAGGGTCCCTTATCGGAGGTTCCACACATAAAATGTGAGCTGGCTTACTTACAGTCTCCACGAACAATTCACAACGTACATAATGTCGGTACACAATACCTCTTGTACAGTCTGTTGTACTGAGGGTCTATAGCTAAGCAAGGCGTACCCTGGGAGTGTCCAATGAGAATGGCTCCATCGGGGGAGCTGTCCAGAATGGGCCCAATGACACGGTATACTCCGTGGACCTGCTGCCACATGGGTTTCAAACTATCCTGCAGTCACAGTGCATGTGTAGTGAGCAGAATGAGGTTCTTAGGCTGATTCATACTTACAGGAGGTGCTAGCAATAGTACCTCAGCAGTAGCTATAGGCCTATAGATGAGTTGGCAGCATAGTGAGTATGTATAGTGTAGTGCTCTATATAGGATAAGTTTGTGCTTAGTATCATGAGTTGCTAGCATTGTGATATACTTAGTAGCTTAGTAAAGGCAGTTAGACTACTAGCATAGTGAGGTTAGCTCTTACAGCATCATTGTAGGCATCAATGTTGAAGACTGGAGTTCCTGGGTGAGCTGTCAGAATCCTCTGCTCGAGACTGTCCATAGCATCTGAGGACACTAGCAGGCCATGCATTAGGATGACTGGACGATATCCATAGGCCCTGTCTCCCACTGTAGGCATAAGTACAGTCTCTAGTCCGGTCCAGTCGCAATGACGTTGATCAGTTGGCTTACCAATGATGCTGGATGATGCAAGAAAGATCACTAGGTGGTTGAGAGGACCCCACATGTAGTAGTTAGATCTTGCCACTGTTTCTATAGATAACTACTACATAAAGATAGGCTGTAGCAAGGTACGCTGTAGAAACTCAGGGCCTTGTATTTCCTGTGGGTGTTCCCTACAGGAATGGGGTAGGTTACATGCAACCAATGTGGGGGGGGGTGGCTATATACACACATATGCGCTGGCCGGCCGGCCGCCGCCCGGGCCTCATTAATGAACCCTCGGCGAACTGCGCACGCGTCGTGGTACCACTAATTGATGGGCCGGGCTGGGCTTTTAGTATAGCTAGCTAGGGTCTAGGAGTCGATATACACGCCCTTCATTGTGACCTTCAAGATAATTGGCGAGCGGGCGGCGGGAGTTCGAGCGGATCATATCATCGTCGTACGTCGTGTATGTGCGCATGCGCGGCTTTGTACGCGCTTCTTTTTATCCGAAACTAATTTCCAAATTTTATTTTCACACACAGTGCCTCGCCATATGCGCTGATCGGTCTATATAGCCAGCGAGAGAACTATCCTCCATTCGACGGTATGCGCTGCAACCAGACTGACCGAGGCTTTGTACGCGCTTCTTTTTATCCGAATCTAGCCAGCTAGAGAACTCTCCTCCATTCGACGGCATGCGCTGCAACCTTCGGTGACTGACCGAGGCTTAGCCAGCGAGAGAACTATCCTCCATTCGACGGCATGCGCTGCAACCTTCGGGGACTGACCGAGGCTGTACCTCTTCCCAATCTTCATGGTTCCAAGGTGCAACTTGCAAATACGCTAGGATTGCTCGTGCACATACTGCTGCATGCCTGAGCTGCCTGGTGGACCACGACTGACGAGCAGCGTAAGGTAAGTACCGTTCTTCTCACCTGCTCACCGTTCTGCTAATATACGCATGTAACGGCGACAGGTATATACATCTGTCTTGCTTCACGAAAGGAAAGCTGTGCGCTGACGGTACGTTATGCAGCTCGAACATCGCGGGCAAATCCCAAGTTGGGTCGCTCCCGCTCGCCAACAATGTTCAACATTTCCACTATTATAGTTATATAGACGGAGCAAGCGGACAAGGTCGTGGCCGTGCGTAAGCCTGTGCTAATATAATTCGCATGCGCATTTTCTGCAGGGATAAAATGGCCGACTATGCATTAGCCGTATATAATGCTGGAAGCGCTCTAGCTTTCAACGGAGTAAAACTGCTCGAAATTTCTGACCTTCATTGCCCGTTCGTGATATAGCTATACGAACGAACGAACAGACACTCACAGACTCCGCATGCGCGCCGAGGGTAATCCTGCAGCAGAGTATCGTAGTCACATGGCACAATACCATGGTCAAAAAAGGATCCCAACTATCACAACAGAACCATCAATTCTTGCAGTGCTGGCTCTGGTCGATACACAGACTGATGGCTGTAAAAGTAGCATCTCAAGTGTGCCTGGTTCTGCTGGCTCTAGCTTCACTAGGTGTGTCAAGAGTCTCATCTCATGGAGAAGAGGAGGGAGAAAGGAACGTGTTTTGCGTCAAGCCAGACTCGAATAGTGCAACCAATACAGACCCAAACTGTCACCATCTCTCCTACTACGTGGCCAACTCCAGCCGGTACTTCCAGAACAACACAGTATTCAAGTTCCAGACTGGTATCCACTACCTCAGTGGAGACCTCAGTGTGTCAGGTGTCCACAGCTTAGAACTGGTGGGAGAGTCCAGTGTGGAGCACGGAGAACACTCCAGTCAGATCCACTGTCCACTCGCAGACATTGGAAGTATGGTGTTTTTCAACGTTCAGAACCTCACTATATCACACCTCCTCTTCTCTGGATGTAGTGGATACCTGGATATGACTGATCACTGGATCAAGGACCCTCACGCTACACTGGCACTAATATACTCTCAGGATGTTTGCATATCACACACTGTCATCCAGAATGTAACTGGCGTAGGTCTATTCGGCGTTAATGTACAAGGACGCTCACTCGTCAGCAACTCTGCCATGCTGTTCAATAGAGGCAATTCTACAAGAGATGGTGGCAACGTTTACTTTTTGTACACCTACCACTGTCTAAAAATCCCCACAGAGCTGGTGATAGAGAACACACTGGTGTATGGTGGATCCAGCGACATATTCTGGGTTGTCAGTTCGCCATCTGGACTTACTCTTTTCGTGAAAAACTGCAACAATGTGTCCATAACTGTTCGAGGTTGTAATATCACCAGAAACGCTGCACATAGTGGTATGGGTGGCAACGTTCAGCTAGCACTAGTCGTCGAAGACTATTATCCAAACGTCAATGTTACCTTTGAAGACACGAGCATCACTGACGGTTTTTCCACCTCTCTTGGCCCTGGAGGTGGTGGAGGGATGTACGTCTTCTCCAGCGTCCCTCAATATGCATACCCTCCACTAGTCATCGTAACAGGCTGTGTTTTTCTCAGGGCAACCAGGCAGATGTTGGGGGTGCACTCTACATGTATGGAACCCCACCTCTCACTTTTGTTACCAACACCACATTTGAGAACAACCTGGCCAGGAAAAGTGGCGGCGCTGTATTCCTGGACAGAATCGGCATGTATTCGGACAGTGTTGACTACTATGAAAAATTCTGGATGGGAGAAGTCGTGTTTCGTGAGAACACGGCGGTGTTTGGTGGTGCATTTGCACTCAGTCTAGCCTCTACCATTTCGTTCATCCCCAACACGACCACTAGTTTCACGGCTAACGTTGCCAATGACAGTGGCGGTGCTATCTACACCAGTCCTCAGTCCCAGTACCCTACATGTTTCGTGTCCCTCCCGTGCGATATCCACAATACTTCATGTAGCTACCGGGTACTCTTCAGTCAAAACACGGTCACATACTCTGGCACTGATGTCTACTTGACGAGGGACCAGAGTTTATTATGTGGAATTATGGCCGTGCCGCAACCCGTGGACCAGGCACTGCATCTAAACAACAGCGAAAAACACCATTCCCGAATAACTTCTGGTACCACGTCTGTGTATGTATGTGTGGGTGGGGTGTCACAGCTTCACATGAATGAAACACACATCAACAGCTACCCAGGCAAGACTTTCAATATCTCGGCCATCACGATCGGGTATTCAAACGGTACGACCTATGGTTCCGTTTTGGCCAATGTAACTACTAAATTTGGGAATGCGAGGATCCCGCCTCTTCAGCGTCTACAGCGCATCAGGTCACTACAAAAGTGTTGCAACCTGTCCTACACAGTGACCTCCACAAATGGGTCTGGCAATGTCACGCTCACCCTTACTTCTGAGACTCCATTGGACATTGCCTGGGGAATACAAGTGAAGGTCAACATGACCGGCTGTCCCAGAGGTTTCCAGATGCAGGGACGCGAGTGTGGGTGTGTGGACCTCCTCCGTGAGCACGGGGTTAACTGTGATGTTCAGAGAGGCACCGTCTTTCGTCCAAGCAGAAACGTCTGGATTGGATTTATCGACGGTGGCGTTGTCTACTACACGGCTTGCCCCTACGATTATTGCAAGAAAACACAACAAGAGTTGGACCTGTCTTCCTCTGACTACCCCATGAATCAGTGTGCTTCAAATAGAGAAGGACTGCTGTGCAGCCAATGCCCGGCCAACTACAGCTTGGGTCTGGGAACCTCTGCTTGTCTCCCTGACTGCTCCTCCATTTCACTACTACTGATCATACCTTTTGCCCTGGCAGGTATTTCCCTCGTACTGTTCCTTATTGTGGTTGATCTAACAATATCCAAAGGATGTTTGAACAGCATCATCTTCTATGCAAACATAGTGTGGCTTAACAATGACATATACCTGCCACCCGGTACACCGGCAGTGTTCAAAGTATTCATCGCCTGGATCAACCTTTAGTCTGGGGATAAAAACCTGCTTCTACCGCGGCATGGACACTTACTCCAAGGTGTGGCTCATGTTTGTATTCCCGGTCTATTTGTGGGGGATAATGCTCTTCATGTACGTCATGAGCTCTTGGTCCAGTTTCTTCACAAAGCTGATACGCAAGAACTCTGTCCAGGTCCTGGCCACCCTCTTCCTCCTCTCCTGCACCAAACTCCTCCAGAGTATCGTCACTACGTTCTCATTCGGACATCTCACACTTCCTCACGGTACCGAGAGAACCGTGTGGTTCCCCGATGCTACCATTGTGTATTTCAGCCCTCACCACATGGCCCTGGTGTTTGTGGGGGTATTCTTCCTACTCCTCCACATTCCCTACGTCCTATTCCTGCTATTGGGTCACTGCCTGGTTGGGACCACTATGCGTTCCTGCATTCGGCGCCACCGACTACGTCTCCTCACATTCTCCGAGGCATACACTGGAACATTCAGGCCATACCGAAAGCCTTGGATTGGGCTACTGGTTGTTGTGAGGATTTTTCTCCTGGCAGTGTACGCCTTCAACTACAAGAACGAGGTAGCCATAAACCTGGTGTGCACAGGGGCAGTCACCGTGTTTCTTTTGCTTGGAATGATCGTCCTACGCGGACTTTACGAAAAGTGGTACCTGGACGTACTTGAGGCGGCAATGCTCTTCAATCTGTGGTGTTTCTCAGTTTCCACTCTCTACACACAGGATATTCCTGGGGCTCAGAATATAATAGTCTCGATATCAGTGGGGATGACCCTCCTCGTTTTTCTCCTGATTGTGACTGTTCTTCTCTACAAGCAGCTACCCGAGCGATACAAGGTCTTCAGGTCGCTATTGCAGCGAGCCCTCAGAACGATGGGGTGGAAGAGAAACAACGAGTATAGAGAGATAGAGTCAATGTCAGATGAAACCTCGGCCTTTAGCAAACGGTTGTCATTTAGTTTTACCGAACCCAGAGAGCTGGAACAATAAGCTTATACGATCATGACAAGTAATGATTATGATGATTTTTATTGGTACTCTGGCATTCTTTTAGTGTTTTTTGGTTTTGTTTTTGCAGCCAAATGTGTTTTTGGAGTTTGAACACTGATGATTATCAGCACTACGTAGATTCGTTTCCACATTATTATACGGTCCACCTGGCAAACCGGTTCACACTGGCACATGTGTGCATCATCTGTCAACATGATACACTGAATGCGCAAAAGAAAATGGCGATCTGCAGATGTTGGAGATTTAGCGTACATGCAATTCAGTGGCTGGCGCATATAAATACTTGAGAGGTCTGAAAAATGGAGGCAAAATTGCATTCCCTGCCTCGTAGTCACACTGACATTTACAGCATAATAAAAAAAATGAAAAAACTATAATTAAACCTTTCCAAACCATGTACCAGTCACAGGACAAATGGTCTTGTTCCTACCACACTTGAGGTGAGTGATGACCCCATTGGGGTAGCGGACAAAAGCCGCGTCACTGAACGGAAGGTTACACACCGGACACCTCCTACAGGACCAACACTTTAAAGGTAATGTGGCATTATATAAGGGCTAAATTTAGAAACTGTTACTATACAAAAACGGAAAATGGGCGCTTTTGCCATCTTTAATTTAGGTCTTATGTACCAACACATGCTCTTCTTTAGCATGTTAGGTAATAGTTGTACTCACGTGTTATCAGTGATAACTATTGGATCTCCTTGTAGACTGATGTACTGCTCTCTAACCTGCAGTGGAGACAGAGCATCTCTATGTAGGTTCAAAACCTTCCACAGGTGCATATAATCGTGCAGAAATTGTAGGCCGAGCATGTTAAAAAAGGGCTTAGCAACGGCTCCGTTTGCAACCTTGGTGTACTGTGGTATGTTGGGTTAGGCTGATGCTGCTTCATACCCAAGGCTGAACTACCAAACCTGAACGGGTCTGTGGTGAGTTCTGTCTAGAACTTAAGACAATCACCATATCTCCTACTCTGAATGAAAAAGGTGAGAGAGACTGCCTCACCCTCAGGTTCTCTCCCCTGGAAAGGTTATACTCTATCTTCCCGGTGCGGTGAGTGTCCATGCTGCCTCTGATGCTCCTCAGTAGGAAGGCCTTCACGGTTGTGACCGGCCAGTCGTGAGGCAGCAGCTCCAGGACCTGGGCCGCATCAAACTGGGCTCCGTGGGCATTCAGTAGACTCAGGGCTGGGGTGATGAGGATCTTCTGATCCGACCTGGGAACAACAAACATGAAGACAATGTAGTAAGTAAATCAGAATTGCATCTGGGGAACTTGGGAGTGGGGTGGCGTTAGGAAGCTGGATGGTAAGACAGTCACCACTATATCACCATGTGTCGGATTTAAAACACATTGGACATGAAAAAATAAGAACTACCACCGCATGCCCCAGTGGTCTATGGCCTTGTGCTATAGCTACCATAATATTATTATAGTCCATATTCGGTCTAAGTCAACTGTGCTTTCAAAGGAACTTGTAAAGTTCTCATTTTCTATAGCTAAAGGAGTTGGACCTATAGGCAGTATTGACTTCACACTCGCAGAATTTAAACTTTCTCTTTACTACCTTATTCTCCCATCCACCCTGACACCACACACACACACACACACACACACACACACACACACATGCACACACACACATGCAGACCTATCCTGTGGCTGTAGGTAGACTCTCAGCAGTGTCTGGTACAGGTTCTGCCGATACACCCGGCCTTTCCCCTTCGAGTACTCCTCACAGTATTCCTGGGCCATTGGGTAGTCTCGAAGCTTGTGAACCAACAGACTCAGTGCTTTCTCATGCTCCTCCATCTGCACAGATAAACATGAAACACATATGAACGGTAAAACAAAAAAGAACGGTAAAAAAGTAGAAAGTAAAGTTCAGAGACCTAAGCCATTACACCAGCCCAATGTCAGTATGTTTTCTTGTTATAAGTATTGCTGTAGAACTAAAATCGTTTTGAGAATCGCTTTCACAAAAGGCTTTCTGTGGTTGGCAGGCATAAGTGGCGGGCTAAAACCAAGGAAGTAATTGTCTGTAATGCAGCTGCAGTTTTTGTACAAAGTAGAATCAAAGTGCATCCTCGCACTCGTCCATTAGGTTTATAGTGATACCTACACACGTACCCTGCCATAGAGGACAGAGCACTCTCTATACATGTCAGTGTCCACCACCTCAGACAGCAGACAGGCCGGGTTGTAGCGAGTTGACGACTCTAGAAACCCCTGCAGCTTCACTCTGACAGGGTTTCAATATAAGAAAGACAGGAGAGAGAAAATTATGGAACTCAGTAAGAAGTGTAGATATCTATGGCGTGCTCATACATGAATACTTGTTCACAAACTTTTGTTTCTGTTGTCTATTCCAACCCCCCCCTGTTCCCTTGAACAACTAATAACATTTGTTCTTTCGTGACTTTCATTCAGTAAACTCTGAAGAAAGGTTGTGGATGGTTCCCATTACTCAAATGCCCAGCAACAGTCAAACTGATACACGGTTGATGCCCTTGAAAAAGGGAAACCCTTACGACCTATAAATCTTAGCCAACACCCCACTGGTTATTCGATGAAATACACTGATAGAGACTACCCCTTTGATCCTACCACCTAGGGTTCCTTTTATCTTTCCAGCTAGAGCAGTTTATGTAGGCATCCTATAGTTTTGTATGCTCATACATTCATGACTGGCAAAAGATTGAAACACACAAAGACGTAGGGGTGGGGTTATGAATGACTTTCTGTCTCGGTGTAGGCATCTTTCTGCTCCCCTTCTTTTACATGATGTGACATCCCTACATACATCTTCATACAAATGATTGTTCCACACGTTGGATTATACCTGGCTCTCTTGAGCTCTCTGTCAGGTGCAGAGGTTTCTTCTCTGAGTCCGAGCAGCTGCCTCAGGTAGCTGCTGGCCAGTTGGGTGTGGAATGACTCCTCCTGCATTTCAGACAACGCAGGCAATGTTATACCATACAATGGGAGCTCATTTACTTTGGAGCTGATGTGTGTTTAAGTTAAGGAAGTTGACCCATTGTTTGCGGTTGTAGCATAATATAGTACACTTTCTCCGATGAGGTGCCATGGTAGCTACAAGTGTACGCTCAGCGTTCTCGTCAAGTTTGGAGGTGTTTTGTATGCGGATCACGTGAGATTTCACTCGTGCCATGCCATCCCTACACCATAGAGCGTCTACCGATGCTCTGATAGTACACTTTCCTTGATAAGCTTTCATTGTGTAGCTCAGTGTACTCTGTCTAGAAAGCAGAATTTCGTAGGCTCGAGTCTTACCCGGGGCAGCTCTTTTTCCTAGGCGTAGTTGAATTGCACTTTCCTTGTGGACACCCCTAGTGACACATACATTCATTCTTTCAACTACACTAAAGTACACACAAGCACACCCAGCCTGTGCACTAATGTTGCAATATTTTTAGTTCATACATACGTACAGTGGAATTCCGGTCATTGACGAGGTACTCCAGGTAGAGGAGGGTGGCATCGGGGTAAGGTTTGAGGTACTCCAGAAGGAAGGGCGGCTCCAGCTGCTTGCTCTTCTCTCCCTCCAAGCGCTCCGTGAAGATTTTGACGCCCACCTCCTGGTTCCTGTCCAGAGCCCACTTGGCGTACTGCAGCACCACCTCGATGATGCCACATCTGCGACACGGGACATGCACCGAGGAGAACCCCATTAGCTACAGTATACACCGCAGAGGGGGAAACGTTAGAAGAAGAAGAAAACTTATTTTGTGGTTTATTGGTCGTCTGCAAACGCTTTCTCTGTGAAATTCACTTTGCTACCGAAACATGAAAGTTTTGACCCTCGATATGGTATATACTTATTTACTTTCTCACTAAATTTTTACTGTAGTTATCTCATTTCCTTTCACCTTTGTTCTATCCTTCTTTTGTTTATCTCTCTAATAGTTTTCTGTCTATCTGTCCATTTACTAATTTTCCTCCTTTTTCCTCTCCTCTTTAATACATTTCCCTTCCCCCTCCCTCTCCCCCTCCCCCTCCCTCCCTCTCCCCCTTCCCTTTTCTCCCTCCTGCTCCCCCTTCCCTTCTCTCCCTCCCTCTCCCCCTCCCTCCTCTCCCTCCCCTCTCCCCCTCCCTTCTCTCCCTCCCTCTCCCCACTTCCCTTCACTCCCTCCCGCTCACTTGGACAGGAACTCGATGATGTAGCTGAAACCAGGGAACTGAGAGTCGCTCAGTTGCTTGTCGTATATCCTGGTCCAGATCCCGAGGGCTTCATTTGTCTGGTTGGAGTAGTAGTAAAGGAGGGCCAGGGCATGGTAGCACTGCAGATGGGGTCGCAAGAGAGCAGCAATGTTTTACAGTGGAACCTCTGAACAAGGGACACTAAGGGACCAATGACTTCGTCCCTATCTCGGAGGTCAAATAGTACACTAAAGTATTAGCATGGGGTTTAAACAAGTGTCCTTTGTAGCCCTATCTCGGAGGTCAAATAATACACTAAAGTATTAGCATGGGGTTGAAACAAGTGTCCTTGTAGAGAGGTCGTCCCTATCTCAGAGGTCAAATATTACACTAAAGTATTAGCATGGGGTTGAAACAAGTGTCCCTTGTAGAGAGGTCGTCCCTATCTCGGAGGTCAAATACGGTCATTGGAGGTTCCACTGTAGAGTGCAGTCTAACTCAGTTTAGCCTGGCCATGTGTGAGTGCATAAAATGTCCTTGCAGACCATGAAGTACGTATTACAGACTTTATCTAGCCTCAGATAATATGCACTATGGCAGGGTATTTCTTAATTTTATTGGTCAAATTTTGGTATACACCCATAAAAATCGTTATCTCACACAATGCAGAAAGACTACACACACAATGTGTACGTTTATTGAACAGTGGCATCATTGGTTGAGGGTGACGCCCCTGGTAATCGGGCAGCTGAGGGTATATAAACCCTTTGTTTTGAACCATTATGCCTTAATCCTCCCCACAAATACGCAGCCAAATGAGTACACTGGAAATCCATTTAAAGTAGCCTCACTCCCAGGCCTTTGCATTGCAACTATCCATGAAGCGCGGCAGTATTCAAGAGTATACAAATGATGATGCTAAGAAGGACACGGAGAAATCCAAACGTTATAACGGAATTCCCATGAAGTTGGGGATATTTGGTGCATGCACAAATATAGTGTACCAGGCCTTCTCTCTCTTGCAAAAGGCCTGAGAACGAAGCTAGGAACGAGGCTAGAGGTGTATGGTGTAGCAGCTACCTTGTAGTCCTCGAGGGCCTGTTTGGTCTCGTCAAATGAGAGATGGAGGTCGTGGTTGGTGATGTAGGGAACTAGGGAGGCAGAGTGATCTTCTGCCAGTAGCTTCACCAGGGACGTGTCTATATCCTGGGTGGGTGGAGAGAGGGGGAGGGAGAGAATCACACACATGCACGCACGCATGCACGCACACGCACACAATTTGTACTTTGTTCTACGCTTCAACCCCTCTACTACACACACAAAGCCTCCCATTTAGTTTGGCCTCTGTCTACTCTGAACTCTGACCTCTCTCCTCCCGAGAGCCAGTTGAGTGGTCCGAACTTCTTTGAGGTAGCGGATGAGGAATTTCTTGGCTTCTCTCAGGACCACGCCTCCTTCTGAGGCCTCAGCTGCAGTCAGACAAACACTACACATTTGCTACTATCATCACATAGTTAGCAATCTGTCCTACCCTATGTTTTTGACCACTAGACCCAAAGGTTTTTATCTCACATTATTTTGGTTAGCCAAATATGTTTCTGTTTTCCACTGATTTTGTGTTATAACCACTAGACCTAAAAGGTTTCATTACACATAGTTTACCAATACACCCCGATTATTAGCTGTTCTTACCTTTTCTGCGATCGTCTATGTACATACCAGTACCCATATTCTAGTAGAGTAATCTTCTTACATACAATGGCCTTATGTTGATACTCGCACCAATATTCTAGAAGCACTGACCAATGGCTTGGATGGAGGGGAGACTGTGGAGGTGGCTGGCCACTGGCTGAAAGGTGGAGCTTTGGGGCAGCAGTCCTTCGAACAGTACTATCACCTACACACATTCACAATGTTTCCAAACTACCATACAGTAGGAAAACCCCTTCTAACTTCTTCTAATGGGCGCGCCCCAAGTAAAGAACACTTCTGTAAAAGAAAAACTTTCTGGAAACTGGTCGGCCCAGAGTCAGGTCTACGGTAGAGGGAGCCAATATGTCTAAACCATTGATGACAGTAATCTTTGTGCATAATGTGGTATAGTAATGCTGTTTCACACTTGAAAACACTGCTATACAAACACGTTTGAATTGTAGCTACTGGTTTTGCAAGCAGGGTCATAAGTATATAAAACAGTGATTCAGTGATTATGCACAGCAAAGACTGGCATATATACATGTATAAAGAATAACACTAGACATAACAGTGCTTTCTCTATTCCGGTAAATGACACACTGATGGAAAATTACAGCCACTCATTATGCAAGCAGTGTCATCAGTAAGGCTAGGTTCACAATATGTCGCATTGCCCCATCGCGTCGTGCCGCTTTGCTGCATCGCGAGGGTAGAATCCATGCAGAAGGACGCGACGCGGCACGGCGAGATGGGGCAATGCGACATATTATTGTGAACCTATAGCCTAAAACAGAGTGACTATGATCAGCCAAGAGGCAGAGAAAGAGAACTATGGATATATGCATAACCACTGCGAATAAAAGGGCAAAGGACAAACTGATGGATAGGGCAGTGAGTAACACAGTCTATATGAACGTGAAAGTGAAAACAGGATGTACCTCTCGTGGGTCGCAGCCGCTCTCATGAAGAAGGGTCTCCGCCTGAGAGAAGGACCCGGTGGCCAGGTAGATGAACGCTGCCTTCAGCTTCACCGCATTCATGTACTGCACCCACATGATGATAAACAGAATTTAAGAATTGAAACAGTGATTTAGCTAGTTTTTAGTTTTATAAGTGATGAATTATGTTGACTGTTAAGCCCAGCACACATGGCAGAACTTTGCACGCAACTTTTGTCTTAAAAGTTGCACCATGTACGTTGGGCCGAAGTGTAGCACGCAACATTCGTGAAACTTGCTACTAGAATGGTTGTCTATATTCCATGCAACTTGCCTCGTGCAACAAAAACCGCAAGACTGTTGTCTCAGTGTATGCAGGGTAACTTTGCAACATGTTGCGTGAGATTAGTTCCATTGTGTATATTAGGCATTTGGGGCCAAAGAAACATTGCTATGTATTAGTTAACGTTATAGGCGGCGAGGCGGTACAGGAGATACTCCGAGGCTGTTGACTATACAGCGTATATTCCTAGCACCGGGTTGTTTGAAGTTGGACTACAAGAGTGTATATAGTTTAGGTATGGGTGTAGGTGAGTCCGTGAGTGACGTCTTAGCTACTCCACCTAAAATCAGTGAAGCTCTGTAATGTTGTAAACATACATACATCAAACAGGGCAAAAACGGTCAAAAAATTCAGGCTGCTTGTCCTGCACTAAATCTCTCTCTCTCTCTCTATGGAGACATTATGATATGGGTTTCTTATTTAAATCAGAGAGTGTTCTACGGACCTCTACAGCAGCTGAGGGGTTCTTGCTGGCCTCAAGAGCACCCACAGTCTCTGCCAGTAACACCGCCTCCTCCACCAGTTCCCTCTCCAGTAGATCATTCACCTACAACACAACACAACAAGACTACTTTACAACAAACAAAATGATAAACAAGGCACTAGAAGGTTGATCATTCACCTACAACACAACACAACAAGACTACTTTACAACAAACAAAATGATAAACAAGGCACGAGAAGGTTGATCATTCACCTACAACACAACACAACAAGACTACTCTACAACAAACAAAATGATAAACAAGGCACTAGAAAGTTGATCATTCACCTACAACACAACACAACAAGACTACTCTACAACAAACAAAATGATAAACAAGGCACGAGAAGGTTGATCATTCACCTACAACACAACACAACAAGACTACTCTACAACAAACAAAATGATAAACAAAGGCACGAGAAGGTTGATCATTCACCTACAACACAACACAACAAGACTACTTTACAACAAACAAAATGATTAACAAGGCACTAGAAGATTGATCATTCACCTACAACACAACACAACAAGACTACTCTACAACAAACAAAATGATAAACAAGGCACGAGAAGGTTGATCATTCACCTACAACACAACACAACAAGACTACTCTACAACAAACAAAATGATAAACAAGGCACGAGAAGGTTGATCATTCACCTACAAATTACACAATGATATGCAAGGCATGAGATCATTCACCTACAGCATAACAACCAGTATCATACAAACTACGGCAACAAACAAAACGATAAGCGAGGTTGGCACTTTTTAACACTCACCTACAGCAAAGCAACAAACACACATATTACTGAAATGATAAGCAAGGCACGTAAAGTTTGGAGCTTTTTGGAACACTCACAGCAAACAACAAGTCACACGTACTACTGTAACAAGCAAGGCACAAGAAGGCTTACGCTTTTCGATGACTCACCTACAGTACAACAACTATCGTCAACAGGACATGGGGTTAGCACCATCTCTTAAAAACAAACAAACAAACAAACAACAACAAACAAAACCTCATCCACAAGACACAGAAATTGCATATTATAGTGTTGATAGTTCACCTGTTCTTTGAGTGGCATGGCTGAGAGTAGGTATATAGACTTGTCTCTCGCTGCGTACAACTTTCCCGATAGCTCACTCATGTATCGACCATTCTGAGAGAGGTATGTATGGTACATAAGGACGCATGTAGAAGGGGTGGAGAGAAGAAGAGAAGGGATGTGGAGGGTACATAAGGAGGGAGATATAGAACGATATGTAGATGGAGGGAGAATGACAGGGTGGGAGAGAAAAAGAGAAGGAAGATGAGAGGGGAAAGAGAAGGTAGAAAGGGACATAAAGAAAAGACAGAGAGGAAGGAAAGAAGGACAGAAGGAAGGGAGGTATATTCAGTGGAACCTCCGAACAAGGGACACTATGAGGTTAACGGTTTTTGTCCCTTGTAGAGAGGTCGTCCTGTATCTCAGAGGTCAAATAATAAACTAAAGTATTGGCATGGGTTGAAACAAGTGTCCTTTGTAGAGAGGTCGTCCCTATCTCGAAGGTCAAATAATAAACTAAAGTATTGGCATGAGGTTGAAACAAGTGTCCTTTGTAGAGAGGTCGTCCCTATCTCGAAGGTCAAATAATAAACTAAAGTATTGGCATGAGGTTGAAACATGTCCTTTGTAGAGAGGTCGTCCCTATCTCGAAGGTCAAATAATAAACTAAAGTATTAGCATGGGTTGAAACAAGTGTCCTTTGTAGAGAGGTCGTCCCTATCTCGGATTGGAGGTTCCACTGTATACATAAGAAGGGGGAAGGAGGTTGGTGGTTAGGAGCTCACATTGAAGGGGATCTCCTGGACACATTTCTGGTGGATGAGGTTGAACACTCGTATGACCTCAGCCTCCTGAGACCAGGCCACTATGTAGGGGAAGACGTAGGTGGCTGCCTTGGGAGGGAACTCACTACCCCACTCCACCGGGGGTCTCTGAAGGAAGAAGAGAGGGAAGGAGAAGGCCTACTGAACAGGTAGAATCAACCGGTAGTTATGAAAAGCACAAATTAATACAGTGGAACCTCCGAATAATGGACATGTTACGATCAGGTGTTTTAGGACATCTCTTTGGAACTACCTGTACGAAGCTTTCAAGAAAAGGTAACAAGGCAACTAAACATAATAAAATGTTTTGGACCTCAAAGTGTGTTCTTTATTAATATTGAAACTATTGTTGTCTACTATATTGCCATTGTGCAGTGCAGTGTCGACTACATTAGGGGAAAACTATTTGCAACTAGGCTCGCTTCCTTTCCAGGTTACATATTATGCATATAAACAGCCAGACACTAACGTTGGAGATGCCTGATATTGTGGTAGTGATTCCAAATGACCCGGCATTCACCAGAAACTCTCCCTGAAACAGACACACAGCAACAGTCACACCACATCAACCCTTAGACTGGGTTCACAATAATACATATGTCGCATTGCCCCGTCCGTTGCACCGTGCCGCGTGGCCACGTCCCGAGGAGAGAATCAATTTCTACAGTATGTTCGCGGCATGACGACAATGTGACATATTGTGAACCTAGCCTTATCCCTATACACTACTATCATCATACCCATAAACTTTCATATAGCACTAAATCTTTGAGTGTGTATAGTTGATGCGATACCAAATCGAAAGCCTTTTATTAACCCTCGGCTAGAAGTAATAGAGAACAAACTAATGTTGATACATTATTCGCCACCAAACTTTCACCATGATATAAACTAACTTTCCCCATTCTTCTAACAAAAGGTGTAGATCCGGGTTCGTAGCTCAGTATGTCAAACATCTGTTGGAGTAAGAGAGAGGGAGGGAGGGAGGGAGGAGAGAGGAGGGAGGAGGGAGGAGAGGAGAGGGAGGGAGGGAGGGAGGGAGGGATGGAGGGAGGGAAGGAGGGAGGGAGAGAGAGAAGGGAGAGAGGGAGGAAGGGAGGGATGGAGGGAGGGAAGGAGGGAGGGAAGGAGAGAGAGGAAGAGAGGGGAGGGAAGGGAGGGAGAGAGAGGTTTGTAATGCATTTGATGGGTTATTGAGGATCATATCATGTCCATACATTTCCCTCATGGATGTTGATGATGACATACTTCCCATCTTGTCCAGAGAGAGCTACACACACCGAGTTACCATCCCTGGCCTGGGGTGACATAACAAAATTTCATGTGGTAGAAAAAAAGTGATGTGATTTTGTTAAAAGTTGGAGTCTTGGGAGCACATAGTAATAGTACGTTAGTATTCTAAATTTCATGCACTGTTACTGAGTCTATGAGTAAGAATCACTTGGACCTACAATGTTCTCCCTTACTCCCCCATCTCTTTCCTCCTTTCCCTTGCTCTTCTTGTCTTCCTGGTTAAACCCCACCTACTGAACAAAGAACCGACTCACCATGGCATGTGCAGGCTCTGGGATGCTGTAGTCTTTCACATGCCCGAATCTCTCCCCACTCAATGTGTACTTCTGGATCTGCTTCCTTCGCTGGGGTGCCACGATCACCTGCACACGTTATATGAAGCAGTAAGACAGAAATATTGCTTCGGTCCTCTCTAAGACTTGAAGGGAATGTGCCGGTACCTAGGGGCTAAATTTAGAAATGATAATGATACATAGAGATAGAACTTAGCAATAGGGCCCAGTGCAAGAATGAACAGTTTCTAAATATATAGCCCTTATATTCCTTGACACATAAACTGAGGGACTGATAAACTGAGGGCCTCTAATACAGACACCAAATAGGACAGATGAAAGTGTCCGTATTAGTGAGTTGTCCTGGGTTGAATTGCAAGCAAGAACCGTTGTTGGAGGGAGAAAACGTGTCCTTAATTAGAGAGGTACTGAATCCTCATTAATTTCAGAGGTGTCCTTAGAGAAGGGTTCCACTGTGCTACGGTACTTTGATATTCATTACGTCCAACTGGAGTAGGTGCATGATGTCAGTCTAATGAGGCGTAATAACTTACCTCGAAGGGACCTGCAGAGGACTGGTGAGATTTACTCTCATTGATGCAGTAGCAGTTCAACTAGAGGGATATATAATTATACACAATAAGTGAAGGTGAGCATAGCTAGCTACATAAAACCCATGACAAGGCAATATCATCATTAGAAGAAAGTGTTTGGTTTATGAGACTTTCAATGGTGTTGTAGATTTGAGCCCCTGTCTGCTGAGCTGCCCTGGTAGCTCAGCTGGTAAACAGTTATGCCTAGACTTCAGAGTGAGTTCGAATTCCACCCAAGACAGCTCTTTTATTGTTTGAAAAACATGGGTGTTGCTTGCCTTTGCTTTGCTTTGTGACCTCATGGAGAATGGACACACAGATATCGTTGCAGAATTGTACACACATAATATACCAAGAAGAAAAGATATCCTTGCTAAGATCATACACATCTCTCTCTATGTAATAGACCATCAATGTGGGAGTCATACCTTTTGTATCCTCTGTCCAGTATCATATAGCTCCAGAGTGGACATGTTCATGAGGTAGAGGAGGCCGTCTACCAGGGCCAGCAGTCTTCTCTGAGATGATACTGCAGTCAGCTGCTGGATCGGCTTACGCTGTGTGTGTGTGTGTGTGTGTGTTCACGTGACCCAGGTTTATGGCAGCTACTACAAGATAACCATACAGAGCATTACAGGTTATGGTTTATACGACAAATTCTTAAATTAGGAAAAACCACCCACAGTTTAGAAATGGTGACTGTGAAGTCGGGTAGCAGAGGCCTCTGCCACGTGATACCCAACTAGAGAGAGTTTGAGGGGAACTCGTATACCCTGTGCTAGCGAACACGGCACTGAGTGAGAGTATACTGTATCATACAGCACGGTGGCTTGAGGTTTGCCTTTGTCTTGTGTTGTGTTGTGTTGAAGATTCGAACCCCTACCAGCTGAGTGGCCCTGGTACATATAGCTCAGTTGGTAGAGTGCTAGCCTAGACTGTAGAGTGTCGTGGGTTCGAATCCCACCTATTAGTTGTCATAGGTATAGCTGACTTGTTTGCTTTGCCTTTGCCTTTTTGCCTCACCTTGTTGTTGACACATGCAGTAATAGTGCACAGAATCCGTCTGCGACTCACTAATAGCCAACACGGTACAACTTTGTTGGATGATGAGACAAAATTCTCATGCAACATCAATGTGTGGGTATGATGGGTCCATGCAAAATGTTGCGTGTAATAGAGAACACCCCTATTTACATGCAACATGATGTAACATTGAACTTGCATACATAGCAAAAAGGCACATGTTGGTGAATTGAACCAAGTTTATATAGTACAAGATATCAACTCTGCCCTCTATTTTCACTACCTCACAGTGAACCCATAAGATAGGCTTTTAAACCCACCAGGGTAGTTATCATAAGGTATACTATGAGCGGTACTTTTCCATTTTCATTATGTAATCCAACTGATGGCTACCAACCTATTCCTCCATGGAACAACATCAACAGAACATAGCTAGAGTAATCACGAGGTCATGAAAGTGCTCTATGGTTGAAAGTCTAGAGTGAGTATGTTCAGCATAAAGGCAGGCCCTTCCCATAAAAGGAGCTCTTCTATCAACTCTGCCCTCTATTTTCACTACCTCACAGTGAACTATCAAGGTAGGCTTTTAAACCCATCAGGGTGGTTTATGATTACTAGGGTAGAGTATGAGTGGTAATTTTCCATTTCTGATGACTATACCAACTTACTCATATAGGGAACCCCCCACAGAACATAGGGCAATCAGTGAGGTCATGAAAGTGGTGCTTTATAGGTTGAAAGTCTAGAGGGTCAGTGAGTACCTTTAGAGGGTAGGCCTGTCCTATAAAAGGAGTTGCACTGACAGAAGGAAAGGAGCAACTCAGAAACTACTGAAAATGGCCGGATCTTCACATCTTCTCCACACCTTGTACCTGGTGCTGTGCCTTGCAGCCATGGCACTCCTTGCTCCACCAGAGACTGGCCAAGAGATGCCCAGTGACTCTGTTTTCAACACTGAAGGCACGTCCATAGATGCAGCTCGCTACACTGAAGCGGTTCCAAGCAATGACTTTTCTCTGAACAACATCTCCAGCACCATTGAGGAGATACTTGCAGAGGCTCACGTTGAACGTCAGGGAGACTCTGACCTGAGTTCTCAGACCAGGTGAGACTGACCATGAAAATACACCATGTACGCATAACATACACATATCCACTGCTTTGCAAAAAAGTGTAAGACTGGATTTCAAGTTGTCACTGGGATTGGCCAGGTCTCAGTAGAGAGGGAAGCAGTTCTGTTTACGATTCTGGAATACCACTTGTTCTAGAAGCTGGAAAGTAGGGAGTTTTTTATTTTTTTTATACAGGTGTATAATAATGATCTTTGTGAACTTGCCTCCTGTAAACTGAATAGAGTGCACAAATGTTGAAGTCCAGGATCTCGTTCAGGAATCCTTGCCTTTACCTTATTGTACGGATGGTGTATACGTTATAAGCCTTATGCATATCATGGGCGTCCTGTTATAAGCTGAAGATAGTGCACATAGTGTAACATTTTGTTATCCCACCAATTTCTTCTGGGGTGCAGTAGAAGCGGGCCCACTCAGTATTATGGTGTGTGGAGCAATCTCACTGTGCCTATACACTATGTGGCAATCACACATGTACATATCCCTCCTGCAAATACACACATTTCTTTGTGCTGAGTACTTATGTGAGCAGTAAATGTGGAGCTGGCTCTAAGTGATTAGTAGAGCTACTCAACGTATTATGGAATACTAAAAAGCGATTGATTCAGATGTTCAGATACTGATGTATTCATCAAACATAATGCAAAGTCACACCAGTATAATTATACAAATCTTAAACCTAGAAAATTATCCCATAGTATGCACACATTTCTTTGTGCTGAGGTTTTAGTACTTTCTATCATCTCACTGCAGGTCTAAGAGAAGACCATGTGCCTGTTCGTCGACCATTGGGGCATACGGAGGGAGACTGGGAACGGCATTTGTTGATGTGCCTACCAATCACTGTGATGTCCAAATCACCGACATCTGGATACGCCATGGTTCCATTGTCGATAGTATACAAGTTCGGTACAGCTTCCCTGGTGGAAATGTGCAAACAAAGCCTCGCCGAGGGGGAGGAGGAGGAGGGACAGCCACACACATACGTATTCCACAGGATGGAAAGATCATGGGCGTATTTGGAGGGGTTGGGAATTTTGAAGGGCTAGTAATAACACAGCTGAGGATCCTGGTGCTTGATGCTGGACAACAACCTCTGATATACGGACCATATGGCTCCAATGCAGCCACTAATGCCAGCACCTTTGCAGTTATTGGAGACATCAAGTCGATATTTGGGTACTACAGGGCATACCTGGATGGACTTGGTTTTTTCTATGTGCCATGGGGAGTGTGTGGAGGCCTTTGTACACTGAATACTACACCAGGATCAGGCTGAAATGCTAAAGAAAGGGACAAACGACAAACTGAACTACTTGGACGTAGCTGCTATAGATTTAAGATTTGTATATACTGGTGTGAGTTTGCATTATGTTGGATGAATACATCAGCATCTGAATCACATCACCATTAGGTATTCACAACTATACCAAAATGCGTTCTGTAGCTCTACACTGCAAGTATCCGTGTAAAAAAGCTAGGGAGTGTTAATTATCAGATCCAGCTCCACATTTACTGCTCACATATATCCGCTACAATCTTCACTAACTACATCAACTTTAGTTTGTCCAGTGACAGAACAATGGCTGTCAACATGTTCCACCGCTAGCTACTGAGAAAGCTCAGAAAAAGATCACAAAGACCAGGTCACCTGTGGGATACATATGTCTGGAAAATGAATCTGGGCGTCCGTATGGACTAGCAATAGAGAGAAACTGTTTATCAGATATTGACTTGAAGACTTGTGCATTACTTACGTTTATTGTATTTTGCGTGGGCGAATCAAAGGCGCCGCCAGTACTATATTCATCATACAGAACAGTTTTTGAATGAACTGTACTATATCGCGCGGAACTGTACTATATCACACGAACTGTACTATATCCGCGGACTAGCGTACGCTTTGCGGGAATGACGCCCTCGGCGGCCTTTCGTAGACGGAGTTCGACTCAGACGGTGACACAAACAGCTGCTGGAAGGGCGCTCCGCGAGCTTCTCGTCCGTTCTGAACGCTGGTTTTCCTGGTCGCCGCCTTTTGAATCGCCCACGCATACAATAAATAACTTAATGTACGGAAGCACGTGCTGTGCGCGTGATAATGGTACTCGGGATAGATCATACAGCAACTCGGCTGTGCCTCGTGCTGTGTATGACTATCTCGACCACGCCCCTCGTACCATTATTACGCGCACAGCACTGACTTCCGTACATTAACTATTACATATTACACACCTGTTTAAATTTTTGGAAAAGTGTTATACTGTTAATATAGCTTCGGCAAAGTAAATGTGCAAGTATAGTATATTACCTAAATGAATCAGGAGGGGAGGGGGAGGAGAGGGGGGTTAGTGGGTTGATACAACAACTATCGAATTCAGATACCTATTTAGACATATTAGAAGATTTGAGTGTTACCCACTTTCGGTAGTGTTGAGCGATGACGTGCAAGCTTAGAAGGTGTAGCAAGGGGCGGTCACAAGATGCTTTGTCGGCATGTAAAGAGGGACACTACTAGCTCAGGGGGGGAAATGCCACCCTCAGTGTGGGAGCAACCAGAGAAACCCTGCGCTGCAGGTCATAGTGTGTAGACATGTAGGAGAAAGGTCCCCGAATCAAACCATAGCCACTTTGAAAGTTAACTAGGGCCCCTGGCATGTATTATTATCTATATGTCTCAGGCAAAAGCACATACTTAACTAGAGATGGGTGGTGGAAAACAGCCTAAGATAAATGACTGTATGGCTCATACTCAGCCACCACCGCTAGCACCTTCACAGTTTATGGAGAAATCTATATTCTGGGTATATACCATAATGATTTCCTGGATGGTTTCTAGGTGCCACGGAGAGCTTATGGGTGACTTTTTGCAGTGAATGCAACATCAGCCACTTAAAGTTGGTGATTGCACAAAGAAAATGACAACCTTTGCAGCTGGTAATTTTAGGATTTGCTGGCGAGCGATGTGCATATTCTTTCTGTGTATATATATTTCCATACGAAGTCAAATGTGAATGTGTGAACATCACACAGTGTGGTTTAAAGGTCAAAGTATTTGCCAAACATGGGCTGGGTTCATTCACTAGTGTGATGTTTGGTGAATTCACTATCACACCACCTCTTTACCATATAAGTTGTTTTGGGTATTTCCCTGCACTATGACTTTCATTAAAACTACTGGGCGGTGCCTGTTTACTGCTTATCTACACATACTAGCTTTCTTTCTACACTACTGCCAGAGCCATGGCTGCAGAATCCTCCACTACTACTACTACTGAAGAGGCTCTGAAGAAGATCCAAGACCAGGTCACCTGTGAGATATGTCTGCACAACTGCAAACAGCCAAAGTTACTAAAGTGTTTCCACGCCTTCTGTGAGCAGTGTCTACGACCTCTTGAATGTGCGGGAAAACTCCGATGTCCAAAATGCCGTAAACTCAGGTCTTTACCTGAGGGTGGAGTCAAAGGACTTCCAGGAGCCTTTTATATCAACATACTATTGGAAATCCAAGACGCACTGAAGAAAAGTGGCCTCTGCCCCAAGCACCCTGAAAAGGAAGCAGATTTCTACTGTGAAGAGTGTAACCAGCTACTTTGTAGCTACTGCCTTCTTCCCGTTCACCGCAACCATCAATATGATCTAATATCTGAGTCAGTTGCCAAACAACAGAAGGTAATAACAGACTCTCTCGAGCAAGTGATAAAACGCATTTCAACATCGGAACAAGCTAAAAGTGATGTTGACACTCAAAGTGCTGCAGTCATAGAACTGAAGATGGTTGCAGTGGAAGAGATCCGCATTACCATGTCACACCTGCGACAAGTTCTGCAGGCAAGGGAAACAGAGCTAATGGGTCAAGTAGAGCAGGCAGCTCAGCAGAAACTGGAGACATTGGCAGAACTGCGAGATGATTTGGAACTGCAACTGGGCCAGCTGAAGAGCTGTCAATACTTTGTGGAGGAGAAACAACGTACTTCTAGCCAGAGGGACATTCTGAGCATGAAAAGTTCTCTCGTGAAACACATGAAAGACCTGACCGGTGGTTTCAAGCCAGAGACATTGGCTCGTACCAAACAAGCCTACAAGATTATATTTACTCATAGGCTGGCCCGACTGAAAACGCTATGTCAGCAGTTTGGTGAGGTAGACGTTTTACCTTTAGACAACTTGGGGTGTGAACTAGTTTTAAGTGGTAGCAGGAGTCGATTTACAGGCACGAGATGTACGAATTTCTACGTGTACTTGAACAGACCGTTCACTGCTGTTGTCCTACCCAACTTCAGTGCCCCGTCCAACATCATTGGAGGCCTCGATAGGCCATGGGGTATAGCAGTTGGGAAGGGAGGGGAGATAGTGGTAGCAGAACAGGGTCGTCACTGCATATCAGTAATCAGCAGTAGAGGAGTGAAGAAATCATTTGGCATTCGCGGCTCAGGTCTTGGTCAATTCAATGGTCCTTGTGGTGTAGCAATACATTCCAGAGGAAACATAGTTTCAACGGATCTCAATAACCATCGCATTCATCAAGTGGTAGCAACAGAGTACAACATAGAAGGAACATATGGTAACGGAGAACTTCAGTTCCAGTATCCCCGAGGTATCACACTTCATCCTTACAGTAAAGAAGTGTATGTTGCTGATAGTGACAACCACAGAATTCAAGTTCTAAACTTTGACCTCACATTTTGCAGTAGTTTCGGTACGTACGGCTCTAACAACGGGGAGTTAAACTTTCCATATGATGTATCTACCGACAGGGAAAGGCAATGTGTATGTTGCTGATTGCGGCAATCACAGAATCCAGGTGTTCACACCCAGTGGAGTGTACTTGAGGAAGTTCGGGAAGGAGGGAGAAGGAGAGGGAGAACTAAAGCACCCAGTGAGTATCGCTATTGACTCTCGCAATGTGGTGTACATTGGTGAAAAAGGGAACAATCGTGTATCAGTATTCTCCACAAACAGCCACTTTATTACATCATTTGGAATTCCTGGACACCAATCTGGGCAGTTTAATGGTCCCTACGGATTAGCCGTAGACATTAAAGGAACTGTTTATGTCTGTGATACAAACAACCATCGCATTCAGATATTCAGTTAAAAGACTTGTGCATTACCTGTTAATCATTTTCGGAATAGCCTTTTACTGTGAATATTGCTTCGGCATTGCGCAAGCTTTGGCAAGAGAAACTGTGCGATACCAGTGGCAGTGTGTTCATACACCTGAGAGTCAAAGCTTAAGAGCTAAAACAGTATTTGAGGAGTAATGCCAGAATAATAGCCGTCCTTTTGATTTAGCCCAAGGTTTGTGTACTTTGTGGATGTGAGCACATTCACCATGTGTGTGCACACCTCACTAAAATCTTGGCTATATCAGCTAAATGAATTAGGAGAGGGGGAGGGGGGGTTAGTGGGTTGCAACCCCTTCGTGATGGATCATGAGAGGGATTTTGCTTTTTTTATGACGAGTTATCTCCACGTGCACTCTAAATCTACTGGGTGTGGTTTTATTGGGTTCTGAATGGAGCATAATCTTGGGCTATTTTTGCCCAGTTATACTCTTTTGTAACAGCTGTAGAACATACCAAGTTGTAAAATGATCCACTGTGAGCAGGTGTGCCTTCAGAATTCCACAGTAGGCAAGAGACATGAGGAAACCGAAATTTGAGATAACAAAGAAGGCTTAGTGCAGTACCACAAAAATGGAGGAAGTAACAATGTGTTTACAATAGCTGCCTTGTGTGGAAGAGGGCAATCGTAGGGAAAGTGGTGTGTGTAGGTTTGTGTTTTATGTGGATGAGTAGTTGTTCCGTGAAAAAAAATTCCTCTAAAATGATGGAATCGAGGCACAGGTAGAAAAGGGAGATTTGTCAGAACACCATGTCGGAAAGTAATTCGTCAAGACTCTAGACTCTACACTGCCGCAGGTAACTGTATACTCCACATCAATGGACACTAATTCCTTGTCAGTATTTGAATTTCCCAGTCTTATGTGCATATATATATAGGATGCAAGGCTTCTGAAGTCTTACTTTAGTTAGTGTGTGTAGGGATGCACAAGAACTTGACACACACATTTCCTCATATTCATAGAAATGCTGAATCTCACACTACACGTACAAATGTGTATAGTGCAGTGGAAATAGGAGGAGCTTCAGATGCTCTGCTCCATAAAAAGAGAGCTAAGCCAGTGGTATGTAGCACATTGCAACGTACGTTTGACAAGCAGTTATGAAGGGTCTTGTGGTAGCATTACTGATTTTGGTAGCTGCAATTTCAACCAGTGTTGCATTGGATGATGGCCAATTTCTGAGTGATGTCGAGGCCAAGCGCTCTCTAAGAGATGTGAATAGAAATATTCTAATGAAAGAATTGCTCTTTCAAATGCAATCTCCCGATAAGAAGGTAACCGACTGTGTCTACCACATTGCTGAATATGGTCTCGGGAACTCTATGGTAGAATGTAAATCTTTCCTTGAACATGCTATTGGACACTGCAATAAACTGCTGATGAGTGATGTCAGTGAAAGGAGACAGGGAGAGGACCAGGCATGCCGCGAGATGCTAGCTGCTGTCAAGATTGAAAGAGACAAGTGTAGGCTAAACAGAGGAAGCAACCCAAACTGTGGAAGTGCGGCATTCATTATGCAAGCAGGCGATGATGAACCTCCAAAAAAGAAACCAAAACTAGAAGGTCCAACTTCAAGTCCAGATTCAAAAACTACGAGTCCAAGTCCAGATTCAGATCCACCAAACGGTACATGTGACAGTTGGGCTCCAAGAAAGGATATGTGCAACGCAAAATATTTGTACGGACAGACACCAGGAAACTCTTTAGAGCTGGCATGCCTAAGGATGACTTAGACAAACGATCTAAAACGACGACGTTACCCCTTCAACTGTTTGATGTAAATATAAGGAATACCGCTGTCTCAAACAAACCACCCAATGGCAACCCCCTTGTTGAGGTGTTCACTCTACCAATAGGTCAAGGCGACTGCAACGTTATCAAATGCAATGGAGGGAAGAATGCTATTATTTTTGATTGCGGTAGCCTTGGGGGAAACGTTTTGGGCAAAGAGGAAGAATTTCAGACTCTTATGTCTTCTATACTTACCGGCGCCACAGAATTACAAATTCTAATATCGCATGCTGACAAGGACCACAAGAGCTTGATAAACACTGTTAGAAACTCTTTTTCAGGAAACATAGAAATTATTGTTGGTGGTAAACTATCTGATTATGAATCTTCGATAAAAAATGCCAATGCCAAAGTGGTTGCAGACAAGAGTAAAGAAATGAAGGAGCATGACTTTTGTAACAATGAAGATATAACTTTCACCTTTCTCCAAGGAAACCTTGAATCAAGAAATAAGAATGAGAGAGGAATGCTAATGAAACTATCTTGTAAAATGTGCAAATCCTCACTTCTCTTCACTGCTGATATGGAGGGACCCACTGCAAAAGATCTAGCTGTATCACACAAAGCTTTTCTCAGTACCTCTCATTACAAGATGGCCCATCACGGGGCAAGCACACTGGCAAATCCCAAGGAATGGCTGGAAGTAATACGTCCGGTGGAAGTACATGTCAGTCACCGGTATGATGGTAGATTCCACCATCCACGTTGTGAGGCCTTCAATAGACTAATAGCAGTTGGCACTGTTGGAATGGCCAGTGGAGCTCCTGCTGCAAAGCCACACGATCTTGCATGTTTTGGAGAAATAAAAGAGAAGTATAAGGGATACGATCAATGCGTGTATCACCGCATTTTTAGCACTGCACCACGTGAAAACAAGATATGCCTGATAGTGCTGTCATTCAAGGCTATGGAGGAAGCAACTACTGAGTACTACTGTCGGGAACACAACCAATAAAACACAGATATAGCTGACAGACACATATAGTTTACCATGATAGACCTATACTGCTGCTTACATGTAGTTACATGTACAATATGGCATCATAATTTAAACAACTAAAGTCAGAGCTTGTTATGCGAACGAAAAGTCAACAGTCAACCAAATCAAATGAAGTTGTAAAGCAAACACTTTTGGGGAGCTGTGAAGAAGCCTAACCCTGTAACCATTACTGAGTTTTTGGCAATGGTTATTAACCCTCGGCGCACATGCGCAGCGAGGGTTACAGTACTTGGTCTGTCCGCCTGTCCGTCTGTTACCACGTTTTCTGCCACCACGCGCAAGAAACAGGTAAAATAGCGACACCAACGGATTCAGCACTACACTGGCTCCATTTTTAAAATGGCGATTTTCGTAAAAGTGCCGCATTCAGAAGTTATGGTGTAAAAACCAAGTGAACAAGTCAATATGCAAATTAGCACAGGCTTACCTCGACCGGGCCCGCTTGCTCTGTGTACCTTGGAGGCACAAGAAGTTATAACGAAGGACGTGTATCGACTCCCGCATGCTATCTACTACCTACCTAGCTGTTGCTAGCCCATGTCAGACTCTCCGCGAGCTACTCTAGCGGGAGACCTCGAGTAAACGCATATACACTACAAATAGCCCAGCCCATCAATTAGCGGTACCGCGCATTTGCAGTTCGCCGAGGGTTTGCACTTTAGTGCTTTTCATTAATTTTGCAAGAACCGATCGCAATAATCCGATCATGTTGAGATTTGGAGAAGTAGCCGGGTTTTGTTTAAAGTGGGCCATCCCCATTACGTTGCACATCATTGAAAAGACCCAGCCAACCATTATTAACCCTTAGCAAGCCACGGGCATATATATATGCCCATAAGTCCATAACAATTTATATATGGCTATAATAATAGGCGTTAATATGTTATACATACATCAATTTCTGCTTATTTAAGGAGATACCCATGGCGTCCAAAGGGTATGATTGATAGACATCTGTAGCTGTGACGAAACTTCAAGACTCATGGCCTCCTTTTGATGAAACAAGCTGCAGTTTGAAACCTCACCTGATCTATCTGGGCAGCCGATTTAAAAAAGTGTTTTCCTGACTTGCTTTGCCTTCCTATCTTGTTGCCGACACGTGCATTATTTTCAGGAAGACAAGGTCAACTGCAACAACCATTCTCTGCCACCTTTTTACAGGCAGTCGTATATTATTAATGGTGTGATGGTTGATATTAGTGAAGTTATGATTTACTTACCATAAACATCAATGTATGTAATTTTAATTTCTGAATAACCCCACACAACATAAATGTAAGCACAGCAAGGATTATTGGATGTGTATGTGTGTGTGGAGCTTTAGTGCAACAGAGGCAAAAAAACTACTGCATATATACAAAGTTATGGCTAGTAAAAAAATTCAGTATTGACTTACTTTGATGACCGTAAGAACACTTTGGAGACATTGTTATACAGTATATTGATTATTCAGAGTGATAGAGTATATAGTCCATTGCTACTGCACTGATGTGGCATCCAGTACAGTTGGATCATAGCGTGCGCTTACAACACAGAATTTCATTCTTGTGTGTGAGTTTGTTGCATACCAAGAGGTTTGCTCTACAGCATAAGTGTCTTCACACAGTTGTATGTACATATATACCTTGTCTCCACCAAGTTGGATCTGTCCCTTGACCTTGCTCTGGTAGATGGTCTTCCCAAGAGGACTCAGGTTCTCTTCTAGCTGGTAGAACACTATGAGGCTGCACAAGGCATGAAGAACACATCAATGAACATAGTTACACCAAACTGTATAGGACTTCTATCTTCATGTGGTTGTAAGAGGACTTCTTGTAGCTAGATATGGTGTAGGTGTGGTTGTAAGAGTGTATCTATACCCGTCTGCAGTTCCAACATAGAGAGATCTATCAGCAGTGGTGATGCACTCCACCTACAAGGGGACAGAATAACGCTGATTCTACAAACTGAAAGTGAGCTCCTTTTAGAATATTATTGTTTTCCAAAAAGTTGTGTGGTTGTATGCAATAGTAAGTATATACCTCAGTCCTTGGTCTATCTCGGTAGGACATGCTCCACCACAGGGACCAGGTTGAACGCGTTCACCTGACCCCTACCACGCTTGTTCATTCTCTTCGGCTCAGCTTGTCAACGTCGCTCCTCCGTTTTCCCCAAAATCTCCGGACACTATTCCGTATTCTCTGAACGACACGCCCATTTTCCCAGCAGTTGTGGGGTCCTTCACCGAGATTTCGGGCTCTTTCCTTGTCGTATAACTGGAGCAGAGTGTGTGTCTGCACGAATACCTTCTCGCTAAGGTCGATCCAAGTCCACGAACGCAAGGAGCGTGCAGGAAGATCTAAAGTGAGATGGCAAGTGGCAAAGAGGGCGGGGCTCTGAAAGGCTTGCGGCTGCTCACCATCAACCGGAGAACGAAAGGCTTCGGCTTCCACATGTTCACCAACAAAGCGTTGAAGGTGAGTGGGTGTGGAGAGAGAGAGAGAGAAACACACCAACGGGCGTTCGATTTTGGCGGCACAAAGCAGCTGTGTCAGACCCTTATAAAAAGTGGGTGGGTCTGACTGCAGATGGGTACTATTTGGCTGGCTTTCCACCCACCTGGCTACCTTCTAATGATGTGCTCTCTGTTCCTCTTCCCCCTCCTCTTGTCAGTGTCTCCACATTCTCTTCCACCTCCACAGGGGCAATACATCAAGGCAGTGTTTCCAGGGGAGCCAGCTGACCTTGCTGGGATGCTGAATAGCGACCATGTCCTGGAGGTGGATGGCGTTGATGTCACTGAAATGACACATATGGAGGTATTTCCTTACAGCAGCGGAGAGTAATCAGTTGCACAGTTCAGTGGAGAGCTTTTCAGTCCTAGTATACATAGCACAGCTTTCTTGAATTACCACGTATTGTTGGAGTTTGGCAGCTCAGTGGGTAGAGCGCTCGGTGTGTCTGGAGAGCAGAGTGTTGTGGGTTTAAGTCCCACACAGAGCAACTCTTTTGAAAAAAATATGTTGATATGCACTGGCCTTGTCATGCAGCGTGATTGTGAGCGAGATTTATCATTCTCGGTAGAATATTGAGATGGGAATGCTAACTAGCATAAACGATAAAGGATTTGCAGACAACTAGAGTCAGTAGCAACTCTCAGTTTTAAATCCTGCTCTCTCAGCAATGTGCTTAGGGCTCCATCCTGTGGTCTCTATGTTGCACCAGTTCTTAGTATCCAGTATAATAGCTCTGTGATGGGGTTTTGGCACTTTATTTGCTGCAGGTTGTTGAGCAGATTCGCAGTGGAACTGGTCCGAAAAAGATCCTGGTCATTGACATGGACACAGAAAGAGAAATGGTAGCAAAGGTTAGCACTACTCCTTAGTTGATACAACAAGGGTGTAGGTAGCTAACCAGTTTTTTTGAGACTACAAGCATAGAGAAGTGGCTACTAGAGTGCCAATAGAATGCTGCCAGAATACCATCTCAGGGTGAAATTTTTTCTCGGGGAGCATAGCATGTTCCCTTAAAATTTCTGTTCATCGAGAAGTTAAGACATTGGCTCCCCCAGTCGATGAATGTTATCTACACCCATGTACAAGATGTCTCACTCTTGTCTGTACTGTATGTAACTAATTCAGCATGCACCCCTCTCTATTTCTAGGGTGAGGCTATAGACCGTAAGAATGCAGTGGAGATGATCCCAAGATCAGCCGCCACCGAAGAAACCGACGCTCCACCAGAAGAGAGCGCAAAGGAAAAGGCCCTGAATTTCGATGACATGACCAAGGCTTTCCCCAAGGGAGCCATCCAAAGACAGAAGATCAAGAGTAGAGACTGGAAAGCCTCCGTGGCTGTTTACAACGACCTCTGATGCTGGGCAACGGATTCCCCATACACCCACCGACATCATTGTTACGCTGCATAATTAACTTTCCGTATACTCTTACTCTACGTATACTATTCAAGGGCTCCGCTTTTTATTCGCGCATACTTTCGTGTTTACGCTGCGGCTAGGCTGGCTGGGAGAGAATGGCTGATGAGACGTCGGGGATACTGGGGCAGCAGGGAGGCGATGATCTGTTGGAGGAGGAGGCGGTAGGCAAAGACGAGGCCGGGAAGAGTCCGTCGCCCGAACTCCCCAAAGACCAATCTCTGGAGGAGGACGCGGGCGGAGCGGAGCCCGGGGCCGGGGGAGGAGGGGGGAGCGTCGCTAGACTGGACAGCTACAGCCCTGCCGAGTCGAGCAGCGGGTCCCGCAAGTCCCCCAGGACACTGGTCGTCACTCCCGCGCCTGCCAGTGAGGGAGGAGACCCGTCCACCGGCCGGAGAGTCTCCTTCAAACCCGACGACAGAGACGGGAACTTGGAGCTGCCCGCGGGGCTGGAAAACAACGACCTGAGGGTCCCCGCGGGTAGATACACGCCCTCTCCCATCTCCCCCAGCCCCACGTCAGTTGTTCCCTCCGCCTCGCCTTTCACCTCTCGGCCTCAGCAGCGCCGCAGTGCCTGGAGAAGGAGAAGGAGGGAGAGCGAGTGGGTGTTTCGACCGCTCAAGCTAAAGTTCAAGGTCAAGGAGTTGGAGGAGCTGTACAAGAACTATGTGTATCGACAGCAGCAGAGCCTGGTCTGCATGGCGTGCCTCATCATGTTTTTTCTCTCCGTACTCGTGTTCATTTTCTTCTTTGCCCATTCGAAGGTCAGCTGGATAAAGATTTTCAATGATGATGCTGTAATTTCACTCACTGCTGCTCTTTTTTCAGTTCGATGGAGTGCCATTGTCAGAGAATGAGCTAGATGAATGTCGTAGTCTCGCCAATCTCAGTTTCACCTATTTCGATGTAAGTTTAGTCCGTGGAACACCCCACTCCTCTTGCATTCCCTACCCCTCCCTCCCACTGTTATAATATACACTCCCTCTCCTTCACCACCTATTGTTTCTTCCTCCTCTCTCACCCTCCCCCCTCTTAGTGTGCATGTCTTGTCGCTATTTCCCGATAATACCTTCAATGTTTGCCAAGCTCACCCCGCCCCCCACACACTCGCACACTTTCCTCCCCTCCCACTCCGTACACATGTGTCAACAACGAGGTAGCGAGGTAGAAATGCAAGGCAAAGCAAACGACATACACACTTAACTCATCCTCCTCCCCTCCTTCTCACCCTACCTTCACTCCACACACACAGATGGCAGACGATGTGGCAAACTATGGCGAGCTCCCTTTCCTTCTGATATTCGTCTTCTTTTCAATCGTGTTTGCCGTCATTTCTGTTGTCATTGTCCTCGACCGGATCTCGTACATGCGACTTATGGTCTACTCTGTGATTGTGTGGGCGGCAATGGTCCTAGAACTGTATGCTCTCTTTGCTGTCAACGTCCACAGAAGAGCGTCCGACCAGGTATGTGTGAATATCCTTACAGCTAGAACGGATTCAATGCGTTTTTGAAAAGCAAATGCACATTGGAGCAAGGCACCCACTTATAAGTGTTGTGCAGGCAGGGCAGTAGAGTGTGTCACGAATGTGAGAAACTAAGTTCTACTAGCAATCGTGAGACTCTTGGCCGCTTTTCCACAAGTCGTGAAAGACGATTCACACGGTTCTGACAACTACATACGTAGGTTGACTGGTTTAGCTCATCATGATTAGCACAGTATATACCACTTTGAGCTCTACAATCTCATGTATGTATGAATTTTTCATGCCTTGCACGATGTATCCAAGTTTTCTGTTTACATTTTCTTGCCATCCTCTCTTTGTTTACATCCCTCGTATGTGTATGTATGTATCTCTCCCTCGTATGTATGTGTACATGTGTGCATACCAGATGGGGTTTCTGATCTTTGTCCTGTTTGTGACCTACTTCATGATCCCACTGGGTCTCCGGGTCAACACTGTCCTGAGTGTCTCTCTCTGTGTCATACACCTCGTTCTGTCCACTGCTGTGGCCGAGGAAACTCCTTCTGACATCCTTGGCAGAGAGGTTCGACCCCGCACTCACTCATTCCCTCGATATCTCTCCTTTCCCTCCCCCTTTCTCTCCCTGACTCACTCCACCCTCCCTCCCTCCCCCTCTCTCTCCCTCTCTTACACACTCACTCCACCCTCCGTCCTCCACTGCTCCCTCCCACTGTCTTTTCATCATCTCTGGCCTCCCCTAGTAATTAGTTATTGTCTGTGTTTTGTGTGCTTGGGTGGGGGAGGTTCTTTCTTTTCATCTGATATTATACTTTTAGCTAGTATGCTATAAACCTGTTTTTTCATAGGAACGCAAGTCCACGTCAATCAATGCCCATGACAATGATTGTGCCCCAGCGCCGGGACTTGGACCGTGCATACATGTATAGTATAAACAATGGTCTAGAGGCTGCATAAGAGATGCACACTCTGCATGCGTGTAAACAACGCCCCAAAGGTTGCATGACCTCGCTGGACTGAAATGTGCCCTCTCTATCACTCTGTTCTGTTTCCCGTGTCAAAAATCCATATTTGTCAGACTCAGTCCTTTAATTGGTGGTGGTTGCAGTAACCCTGTCCAATTCCTTCTGGAAGCACTGGGCTATCTAAGACAAGGCAATACACACACGCACACGTGCAGGGAACGTGCTTCTGGAAGCACTGGGCAATCTGTATAATATAGTTGTATACAACGACAACCTCATTTGCTACATACATACATGTGCAAACGCGGTTTAACTGACGCTTTACTTTGTGTGAGTGGCGACCAACATGTGTGTGTGTCTGTTCCGACGGTGTTTACTTCATCCGAAGCATACCCCAAACCGTGGGTCCTATTGCCGGCCCCAGTTGCTCACTTGGCAAGCACAACGGCTCCTTTTCCTCCCGGCTATACTCTATACATGTATACCTACAATGCAGTCCTACAACAATGTATGCCACAGTCAGCTATTACAGTGGCGTGCATACACCGGCAGTCCTGTATGTATGTATATGTATGTATGTATGTATATGTATAGTCAGCAGTACTACAGACCACTGGCTGTTGTTCTGCCTCTGGGGTTCCCACCTCTCCTACACACATTCTCCACTGTACGGTTGTTATTCTAATACCGTTATTCACACCACACGGTCCCCTCCATGTATGTGTGTGTGTATATTGGTTTGTTTTGGTGCCATGATAGGGGTGTAGAAATTCTAGAGTCACTTGAGAAGACTCTCTGGTAATTCTTTGTGTTCAAGACAGAATTACAAAACAAGCCACTTCCCCCCCTTTTCCTTCCTCGTTCTCTCGAAGGGCACTAATATTAAATTCTTGCTATATACTCATATCTATACACTCACACCCTCCCCATTTCCCTCCCCCTTTCCTTCCTTTCTTCCTCCCCCTCCTCCTACACCACTCACCTTCATGTGTACATGTTCTCTCTCCTTCACTTCTCTTCAATATCTCCTCCTCCCCCTCTCCCCCTCCCTCCCTCACTCACCTCCCTCCCTCCCTCACCTCCCTCCCTCCCTCCCTCACCTCCCTCCCTCCCTCAACCTCAGTTTGTTGCCAATACATTTCTCCTGTGCGGAGTCAATTTGGTGGGCATTTTCTACTACTACCTGGCAGACATAGCTCGCAGGAAGTCTTTCTCTGAAACACGCCGCTACATTAAGGCCCTCATTACTATCGAAGGAACAAAAAGCCGAAAGGTTAGGTAATAATAATAATAATACTCAGGTGGCTGCCCATAGCACTAGGGCCATAGACCACGCACCCAGAGCAATGGGCAGAACTAGCTCCAAAAACATGCAAAATAAAACCTCAAGGCCAGTTACGTAATAGTGCACAATTTCCCTTACGAGTTTATGCAATGTTATGTGAACAGTCTTAAAAATGCAAATCCTGATATTTGCCTATCCAAACACTGTGGATACGCTACTGTGCCACATGTTTTAGATGTGTGTGTTTAGACTATTAGCATGGCAGATTCTGTGGGATCCAACTGGGGAAGGACTGTTAGTCAATAACGAGGTCTCCAGGCAAGGGAGGGAAAAATGAACACCACAACTACACCCAGGGACAACTCTTTATTTCAAGGGATAAAGAGCTGCCCCGGGTGGGATTGGAACCCACGACACTCGCCACTCGCCACTCTGCCAGTCTAGGCAAGCACTCTACCAACTGAGCTACCAGGGTAACTCAGCTGGTAGGGGTTCGAATCTTCAACAAATAAAGGCAAACCTCAAACCACTGTGCTCTGGCTCAGTATGTATACTCTCACTCAGTACATTGTCGCTGCCCCCACCCTCCCCAGGATCGGCTACTTCGCTCCATACTGCCAAAGAGACTCACAGCGACCATGGCCGATCAGATCATCGCCTCTCGGAAGAGGGGTGGGGCGCATGACGCCTTCCGCAAGAAGGGCGGGGCACAAGGGAAACAGTCTGAGTTCAGAGATCTACACGTCCGTGCCGCTGACAATGTCAGGTGAGGGACCTGGCCGGTTTTTAGTGCTCTTAAAGGGAATGTGGCAGTATAGTATACTACAGGGCTAATTTGGGAAACTTTTACTAAAAACTTGAATTCTGTGTGCCATTTTGTAACTGTCACAATATGTAGTCCTAAATTTTAGTAAAACCCTGTGCTCTGAGTGCTCGTTTTGCTGCTTACTAAAAACCCTGTATCTTCTATAGGGCAGCTCTTCTTCTTTTCTGAAAAAAAGAGCTGTCCTGGGTGAAGTTGACTTGTTTGTTGTGCCTTTGCCTTTCTACCGCGTTGTTGATATTACTCTGAAGTCAGCATAACATTTTGGTAAACAAAAAGGAAAACATTTTTGGTAAAGGTTTTTAATTACTGACTCTGACTTTTTTCGCTGGATTACACCTCAGCACATCGTGATATATATACAGAGTTTGTCTTTTCACTTGAAGTGCAATCTCCCCTTCCCTCCCTCTCTCCCTCTCTCCCTCTCTCCCCTACTCTTTGCTTGCTTCTCTTCCTCCCTCCCTCCCCTCCTCCATATCCCCTCCCTCCTCCCTCCTCTCCTCCATATTCCCTCCCTCCTCCCTCCCCTCCTCCCTCCTATCCTCTGTCTCCCCTCCCTCCCCTCCCTTCACTCATCCTCCCTCTAGCATTCTGTTTGCAGATATTGTGGGGTTCACAGCTCTCTCCAGCAGGTGCTCAGCTCAGCAACTCGTCCATCTCCTGAACCAACTCTTTGGCAAATTTGACTCTTTAGCTGAGGTATGTAGGAGCATGTGTACAGTACAGGCACACATCAGAGTTACAATGTGTGGTGCATTTCTTGACTTGAGTGAATCAGTTCGAAACAACACGTAAACAGACAATTAAAAACTCTGCATTAATCTATGCGTTTTGTAATAAAAAGCTCTCTGTGCATTTTACCCACTGTATGATTGATTTTACATTTTACATTTTACACTCTGTGTGTATACATGATTGGTTGTAGAAAAATGGGTGTCTTCGTATCAAGATTCTCGGTGACTGCTACTACTGTGTTTCGGGGTTGCTGGAACGTCGAAACGACCACGCTCAGTGTTGCATCCACATGGGACTGGACATGGTCAAGGTCATCAGGTGATCTCAAACCACTAGATATAGAGCTTTACATGTAAAGGTAGTTTGAACGTGGTGTGTATATGTGTATGTAATATCTACACATTGTCTACAATATGTAGTTTGGTGAGGGAATGAACACGGTTTATGGACATGTTATGTCCGCGCAGTTTTTATGTGTACCATGATGGGGTAATGAAAGTGATGAGGTAATAAACGAGGTGTATGTTTACGCAGTCGAATACTAGCTTTAAGCAAGTGGATACAGTACTGTGCAGTCATGCTGATTTTGATGAAGCTCTTGAGTTTTTATCCTTCTATATACATGTAACAATAGACCATGTGATGTCATTGTGGGGAATACTATATGGTGGTAAAATTTTGACTTACAATCCAGCAAAACAAAACAAATCTGCAGCAGTTGGAACTGACGGCAAACCAAATAACCAAAATTAATAATGAAAAGCACTAAAGTGCAAAACCCTCGGCGAGCTGTGCATGCGCGATAGTCTACCGCTAATTGTTGGGCTGGGCTATTAGTATGCATTTACTCGTGGTTTCCTGCTGGTAGCTCGTGGAGAGTCTGGGTACAGTAGTAGATAGCATGCGGGAGTCGATACACGCCCTCCGTTGTGACTTCTTGTGCCTCCAAGGTACACAGAGCAAGTGGACCCGGTCGAGGTACGCTAGTGCTAATTAGCATATTGGCTTGTTCACTTGGTTTTCACGCCATAACTTCTGAACGCGGCACTTTTACGAAAATTGCCATTTTTAAGATCAAGCCAGTGTACCGCTGAACCCGTTGGTGTCGCTATTTTACCTGCGTGGTGGCAGAAAACGTGGTAACAGATGGATGGACAGACGGACAGACAGACAAACCAAGTACTGTGACCCTCGCTGCGCATGCGCGCCGAGGGTTAACTAGTCGTCACTCTGTGTGTGAGTACATATGACTAAGTACGGTAGTACTTAGTATATAGGGATGGGCATGGTACCTAGCATCATAGATGTATGGGGCTATGATAGGGTGTTTGGTAAGAGTTTGGTATTATACATGTATGTACATATCATCATAGAGAGGTTCGTGTTGCTACTGGAGTCAGCACCTTGGACATGAGGGTCGGAGTTCACACAGGTCGCGTACTTTCGGGAGTTCTCGGACAACTCAAGTACCAATTTGACGTGTGGTCTCATGATGTCATCGTCGCCAATCACATGGAGTCAGGCGGCAAACCAGGGTACGTTAAGACATGCATAATGTGCTGGAGAGTGTGATGTTTAGCGGGGCCGCTGTAATAGCAGTCAAACCTTGGTATGTCAAGACAATACATGCAGTGTGCTCCCAAGTTTTTTTCACTATACATGCTATACATGCTACTACATGCTATAATATACTGGAGAGAGAGTGGGACCCGCTGTATAGCAGTCAAACCTTGGTGGGTCGAGACAAGAATTTATGCAGAGTGCTCCAGATCCATTTTTGTACTTTTACTGCGTGCATAATTCACTGAGAGTGTGATATTGAGCGTGATTGTAATGGCAGTTGGGCCTGGGTGGGTCAAGACACTGAATGCAGTGGGTCCCACTTATTTTTAATAGATAAACCTCACGCAAGTGTATAATATTCATGGCTGGGAGATCTACCTAGAC